ATAAATAAATAATACAAAAATACAAGAAAAATTAAATTGAATTAAATTAAAAAAAATATGTCAAGACAATCAAAAATACAATACAATACAATACAATAAAAAATACGAAAACAATAAATAATAGTACAAAAAATACAAGAAAAATAAAATAAAATTTAAAAATATGTAAATACAATAAAAATACAATAAAAAAATACAAAAAAATAAAGTAATAGTAATAATAGTAAAAAATAAACATTAAGGAAAAGCTTGTAATAGTTTAATTGGTCAAAGGTTATTTGGAGTGACTAACTGTGCACCTTTGTTCTCTATCATATAATTTTGTTATACGTGGTTTACAGATTACTCCTCTCATTACCCATGTATATAAATAATACTGTTATTAATTAATTATGATATCACAAATTACCTAAGTGTAGTCCTCTTTTATTTTTTATTGCGTTAACTTAGTTGCCGTCAATCCATCCTTGTAGCTCATTTGGTAGAAAGACATTTTGAAATCCATTAATCACAACATACAAAAATGCAATAAAAATAGTGGAATGGTTAGGAGTTACTACCCAGGCCGGCGCCACCTCCACTCAATTTCATTTCTCTCCAGCGACTAGGTCAGGAATCGGAAAAGACTAGACGGTTTGCGAGAACCCTGGAAGTTGTAGACCACACACCGGCCAATCAGGGAAGAGATGTGAAGCCATGACGTCAAACTCAAGCGTCTGTCTGGGTCCCTTTTGTGGAACAGTACAATATTAAACAAAGCGGTCGAGATGGATGTAGACGAAGACAGACATTCTGTGTTGGCAACGATTCCCGAGATCGAGGATTTAAAGTTGCAACAAAGAGAATGTTTAGTGAATTTTATCAAGGGGAAAGACGTTATTGCCCTTCTTCCTACAGGATTTGGCACATTTACATATGTCACAACCAAATATCAGCGATTGGTTAAATAAAAAAAGTACCCGTCTACTGTTGAGTGAACGAATCTTAATGCTGCGAGGTAGGGGTGTAACAATATCCAAGTCTCACGATACGATATCATCACGGTATGGGTGTCACGGTACGATATTTATTGTGATATTGTAGGAAAGCTCATGATGTGGGAAGGCTCATGATCAGTGATGTAACAATATCCAAATGTCTCAATGTCTACAAAATTTTCATGATATACATCTCACAGTACAATATTTATTGTGATATTTTGTGAAGGCTAAACCGCTAAAACTGTTAATATGCTACTTTTTCCCTCTTAAAATGATTTGACAAGATTTAATCCAAAGAACTAAGACTTAAAAGTGCTTATAACTGTTATTTCTTCATGTAGTCTGAACTGAAACGGAGCAAAGGATCATGGTCTATGTAGTTCCCTCTGTCTTTTTTTAGTTATTGCTGCACCATAACTCTTAATTTAAGCAAAGACACTTGTAATTCGATATATTGTGACGGTCCACGATGTTATTGTGAGAACTTTGACGATATATCACAATATTTCGGTTATTGCTACATCCCTACTGGGAGGCTGATGAATCAGACTAAGGAGTTACCACGGTGACAATGACCACATTCGCAAACACGGTCAAAAACGGTTTTAACATTGTCTGAAAACACAAAAATACAAAATGGATTTAAACAGCACTTTTTCACACGCCTGTTGTACCTCACCTGTTGTAGTTCCAGCTAAATCAGTTCTTTCTGGTCAGATTGTGTTAAAATTAATCACATATTAAAGTTTAACAAAGCTTCAGACAGAGCAGAGCCTACAGTTAGCATCACACCCCAGGGAATATTGATGGCCTCAGCTGCATATTATAAACAGTTTTTTATTGGTCAATGTTCATCTGGAATATCTGGACTAATTATAGAACATTTATTTGTGTAGATTAGAGCCACATCTCCTGACCTGAATAATGACTGGTGCTTTTCCATTGGCGGTTGAGGCGTCACGGTTTAGATTCCAGTAAAGAGGATCTACCTGAAGAACCTGCTCGGCGCCGGTGTTGTGATCAGGTAGAATGAATAAAATGCATAGTAAATATTTCGGATAGTTTACGTACAGGGCTGGAGTGTGAAAGTAGGTGAAAGGCAAGTTTGTTTCGGCCCGGGGCGGTGCGAGAGTCGGGGTTTGAGGGGGCACGAGCCGTGACTCCCCCAGAGATTTTGGGCCCAGCTTCATCCAATCACACATCCAATCTTGACTAAAAATGTTAAAATGGCAACCACAGAATGAGACTACAATACAAAAAATATTAGTGTTTATAAATCGCTACTAGAGACAACAATATCCAAATCTTTCGATACAATATTTTCATGATATGCATCTCACTTTACGATTTATTGCGATATTTTGGAAAGGCAAATATTATTGTAGACAGGATACTTTTCAGTTTTAAAATACCCTGATAAGATTTTGGTGTGAATTATTTAGGGCTGGGTATCATTATGAAGTTGCCGATATGATACATACCTCGATACATAGGCCACGATAGGATACATATCTCGATACAGTGCATTTCCGATTCAATATGATATATTTCAAATCAATTCAAACAGTTCAATAAAAATAAAGACAAAATCATGTCTGTGATACTAAAAGTCTTTGTTAAACCACTTTTTGTGCAAAGTTCATATGAAACACAAACATTTTATTCATCAAAATGAAAATGACATGAAAATGTCAAATGTGTCGCATAAAAAAGTTTCCTTCCAAGCAACAAAACTGTAGCGCTGTAACAAAATAATTTAGTAAAATATACCAAAAAGTACTCTTGGTGATATATCGATACAGCAGCCCACAATATCAATACTGTATCATCACATTAAGCGATACGATATATCGATATTTCAATATTTTTGCACACCCCTAGAATTATTACTGTCATAATTAGGGATGTAACAATAACCGAAATATCGTGATATCGTATAGTCAAAAGTTCTCACAATAATATCGTGGACCATCACAATATATTGAATTACAAGTCTCTTGTCTTAAATTAAGAGTTATGGTGCAGCAACAGTTAAAAAAGAGACAGAGGGAACTACATAGACCATGATTCTTTGCTCCATTTCAGTGTAGACTACAAGAAGAAATAACAGTTCTAAGCACTTTTAAGTCTTAGTTCTTTGGATTAAGTCTTGTCAAGGCATTTTAAGAGGAGAAAGTAGCATATTAGCCTCCACAAAATATCGCAATAAATATCATACCATGAGATGTATATCGTGAAAATATCCTACCAAGAGATTTGGATATAACATGGTAAACTTGGTTACATTAGCACCTACATTGAAAACTTTAGCACCCACTTGTCTTCCACAAGGGAAATTACTTGGACACTGTAGCTCACATATCACATTATATTACAATAACAAAGTGTAAAAAAAATTAAAATATATAAAAAAATGGTATGGAATAAGCTTCTAAATAAGTAGAAGTAAAAAGAGAATAGCAAGAGACTGGTACCAATAGGACATAAACAAAAAACTATATACTCATTTGAAGTGTCAGTACTAAAAAAGTCACAGAAATGAACCTTTTCTGAATAGTTTTAAAGTGATCTTGAGCTGCATCAGAACAAGTATAAGAGCACAGAGACTAGTATACCATGGGCCATTATGGAAACTACCTGGACCACTGAGGGATTACACAGTTATACATTTAAGACTATGATTTAATGTATAATAATCGTTTCTCTAATATTACCATGTGGCCTTAGTTCTAATAAAACTAAAACGAGTAAAATTAGTAGTTCCAGTAAAAGTCTGATTAGCAAAAAGTATCAAACAAAACTACATTCAAGAGATAGCCTAACAAAACAGCTGATCTTGGATATCTTGGCTAAAATAAAAGGAAAGAGTGACTACTTCCCTTGGCCATACTGCTCAAAATAAACTGTAATTGCAGGCTACATTGACCGAGTATGTAGTCTATTGTTCTGGCCTGGGCTCACTGGGAGACTTGAGTGGCTTAAACACAGAGGTAACGAGTGAAGAGGAGATGGAATCTAAGTGGTATGTGCCAAGACAAAGGACGACAGAAAAGGTCATCTGATCATGACTCAGATAAACAGAGCAGTTTCCAGAGTGAGCAAGACACATATTGGCAGTGTTAAAAGGATCAGTGGCAAAAAATAAATAAACACGTTTTTAAAAAGGCTCAGTGACAATTATATTTTGTTTTATTAGCACAATTTCAGACCACAGGATTTCTATCTAGGCACTACTACTACTACTACTACTACTACTACTACTATTACTACTACTGTCCATAATTTCTTTGCCATAAAAAACAAGAATTAGATATGAATTACGGCATCTATGGTTTGTATTTCATCAGTAATCAGTGCACTGTATTTTTAAAATTGCATACGATAATGCTCATATAACATATCTGAGTAAAAGTAGTACACTGTTGCCACCTGTTGGACAATTATTGTATTTTATTTCCCCATTCAAATTACGGGGCGATATCGTTCTCGATTTCCTGGCACCCTATTTTAAATTTTTTTTTTTAATTAATAAGTCATTTTTGTGGAGATATACATTTCATGTAATTGAGAGATGACGTAAAAATGCATTATTACTATTATTATTATTATTATTATTATTATTATTATTATTATTATAATAATAATAATAATAATAATAATAATAATAATAATAATAATAATAATAATAATAATTTATTATTATTATTATTATTATTATTATTATTTTTAAATATTTTTTAAGAAAACATTTTACAGTTTACTTGACTAGATAAGATAGTTTAGCATATCGACCATATTGTTAGCAAGTTAGAAGGTAACTTCGAAAACAATGCGTTGTGGCGTTGACAAAACGTATAAATCTATAATTATTTTTTTGAACCATTCATAAATGTTGTGTAAATTGTGTAAATGTGTTGAAAACTGAAGTGAAGCGAGTGAGTTTCAACTTTTTTTTTAGTCAAACGTTAACGAATTACTCACTTATCTTGACGCACTCCGCCTCTTTGATCAACAACGAATCCTCGCGAGAATCGACGAAATCTCGGAGTAATGGCTGGAGATCTCGGATATTAGAAGGTACTTTTGTGCTTTTATTTACTTTGCCGTTTGGTCAAAATAGGCTGATTTAAAGCGCGTTTTTCGTACAATCCTCGACGTGTGCGTGCGAGTGGATTATGCGCCGTTCTCGAATAGAAATCTGTGGTTATTTACATCCGCGGCGCCGGTGCAAAACATGAAACTTTCGAAATAAGAGCACAAGGTTTTCCGCGCTTTTTGCCATTGCGAGAACAGCTAGCGTAATCCGGACGTAATGAATAAATATGTGGCAAACTGCGCCAATTTAAACGCGTATTGTGCAAAGAAGTAGAGTTATAATCAACATAAAAGCGCGCATTTGATCGGACCTAGTTGTAAAAAGCCTGTTTATATGAACTAACCCGCGTCGTTAGCCTTAGCATCTGTGCAAGGCCTCAGTCAGGAAACAGCAGCGAGCTTTTATTTTCAAAACTGCGTTCATCTCACCTGTCACACTCCAAATACAGAATGCACTTTCAAATTAATACTTCCATTCAATGTATGTAACGTGAAATAACTCTGTGCATTTACTGTTTTATTGTTTTTCTGCTTTTTACCAGGTGGAAAAGCTGCAACCTTAAACCGAAGTCTATCAAAATCAGGACGAGGACTTTTTGAGTAAGTACGACTTCATATGGATTAAAAATTGAATTATCTTTTATTTTGTAAATATACGAATTTTATTGAATTTGCCATGCATTTTTATACGCTATATTACATTTTTATTTATTTACATTGCTCGTTTGTGATGAGGATTTACTAAATACTTCCTTTCCTGCGTAAATAAAATGTTCAATAAGTTCCTATTTGTAATTTGTATAAGCAGACACGATATAAGGGAACATTACTGTTATTATTATAAGTCCATATAGGAGGAAATAAAATACAGGAAGTTAAGGTTTGAATTTTGATTGTGATTTCGATTTGTGTGTGAAATGATCTCCAAACTCATATAACTGAGCTGAAACGAAGCTTAACAGAGTTTATTTTTGATGTTTTTTTTAAATATAAATAAGTGTATTTATTTTAGTTTTAAATATAGAGAACAGCTAGATATATAGTTTATTTTTGATGCATTTATGTTTTTCTATGCCTTATTTCATGTCCAACGTATATTTTATTCATTTTATGTTTTATACATCGCAAAACTGCTCTAAGGTTCATATTTGTAGCCTATATTTATTTTTAATTTGAAAGTTTTGCGTAAATTATCAATGTCTTGTTTTTTTGAGATAGAAATGCAGAATAAATGCATCCTCTAACTAAAAAATTATCATTTAAATAATCATGATTTCAGTATTGACCAAAAAATCGTGACGATGCTTTTTTCCATAATCGAGCAGCTCTACAAGAAGTAAATATTTGTGGTTCCACTTCCTGTTTATTGTGCTGCTGATAGATGATAACTCTGGGTTCAGCAATTTTAACATCCAATAATTTAAACACATTTGTAGAAATTTGCTAAATGTTTTCGGTTTGCATCTCACGATAAGATATTTATTGTGATATTTTGTAGAGGCTAACAAAATTGTGAATATGCTACTTTTTCCTTTTTAAAATGTCTTGACAAGCCTTTAGTTCTGTCATAATCTAAAGAATCAAGTTTTAATTAAGTGCTTTAAACAGTTATTTCTTCATGTGTTATTTGTCTGCACTAAAACAGAGCAAAGGATCATGGTATATGTAGTTCTCTCTGTTTTTTTAAAGCTATATTGCTGCACCATAACTATTAATTTAAGCTGAGAGACTTGTAATTCGACGACGAGATAATACGATATCCTGATATTTTGGTTATTGTTACATCCCTAGTTGTGATAATATATATATAGTCTGACATGATCATAGGTCTGTAAAACACAAGTTAATTTATTGGAAATGTTATCCCCTGTAATGTTTTCTACTTGTCTTTCTCCTCTGCAGCAGCCATGGCTCAGGTGGCGTCCCACGGGAAGCTGCTCCTCCAGCGTTTGCACCAGCAGCGAGAGATGGACCTGCTGTGTGACATCACCATTAAAGTCAAAGACGCTGAGTTCAGGGCCCACAGGAACATTCTGGCCTGTTTCAGCAAATACTTCAACTCATTAGCCACAAAAGGTCAAGATGTGGCCTCCCTTGACCCCGAGAAGGTCAGCCGCTACGCTCTGGAGAAGCTCCTGGAGTTTGTTTACACTGGACAGATGAACCTCAGCAGGTAAAGCAGGGAAGATTTGATGTTTGTGTCTATTATTTTGGTGAAAAATCAATAATATCTGTGCTTTTGCTGTAAATTAGTCCCTTTATAAGCAGTAACATTCCTTATACTGCAACCTTTTCATTAGAAATAAGCACAAATATTGACCAAAAACGGACTGTTGCAGATTTATTTGTATAGAAATTGACAAACAAACTACTGACTAAGCCTATGTATTGTGTCTAAGTATTTATTTAACTTTGGCCTTATCTTGTACCCATTAAAATTTGTAGGATTCTAAAACTTACTTACCTAAAGGCTTGTTGCATAAAAGTTTGAAATCGTAACATTCTTGAAGGCAACTACTGAGATGGACAGTAGCAATTCTTAATATGTTTTTTTCTGTTTTGACTAGTAGTTTAGAATACTTCATAAACTGTAACAGGTACAAAAATACAGGTATTGGTACCAAAAAATAAAAAAACCTAAGGTAAATTCCAGAAAATACATATAGAAAAAGACCTTTATCTAGGCCCGTCATGATAATTATAATATCGACTTCCCGTTCAGTAAATGACAGATGGAACAGTGTATTTTGAAGTTCAGTATTTATCGTGTGGACAGTTTTTTTTTGCATTTTGGGGAATATTTTGACATTTTTTCCTGCACTGTGTAGGGTTTGAGCTGTGAAGAGTTTATTAAATGACTTCTATCACTGCTATCACTGATTTAAGATACAAACTAATACTTAAGTGTAGTGTTGTAGTACTCAAGACCGGTCTTGGTCTCGAGACTGGCCCCGAATCTTTACAGTCTTGGTCTTGTCTCGGACTCGACCGCATTTGGACACGGTCTTGTCTCGGTCTTGAAGGTGCTTGGACTCGGTCTTGTTACAGACTCGAGGTCGAACTCCAATTAGGAACTTGAAAAAGCAGGTTTAAAAATCCTACCCACTTTCTTCACTTTCTTCACAGTTGTCTGTAAAGTGTCAGTGGAAGTTGTATTAATTAAAGAAGGGATTGTTAAACACTCTGGGCCCCTTTTTGAGGGTCCAAAAAAAGGGGCACACAGTTTAAGTACAGTACAGTTTACATGATTATTTACCGTATTTTCCGGGCTACTAGGCTCTCTGGATTATAAGACGCACTGTCATTGAATGGTCTATTTTCAAACTTTTTTCACAAATAAACCGCACTGGACTTTCAAACAAAACACAACAGTGTGATGGGTCAGTGGGACTTTGTTTGGCACGTTCACGGTGACTCTGGGCTTTGTTCAGTTGTGACGTGTAGGGAGGGTGCTGTCTGGGATCGCTGGATTGTCGGCGTGTTCGCAGTGACTCAGTTGTTCAGTTGTGTCTAGAAGTGGCACATTGCACTCGCTTTTTCGGTTCGTTCCTTCATTCTGTTCCTCGTCGGCGTGGAGTGATGAGTGTGGCTGTGGGTGTTTTTCGCTGTGTGGTCGCCGTCTGCTCCGTGTGTGTTTGCGTGCGCTGCGGGTGGTGTGGCTTTGTAGTTTACTGAAGTCGTGCTGGGACACCCGAGTGGATTTGTGTATCGGGCGCTCTGGATTGTGGGGTGTGCAGTCGTTTTTTGATGTGGTTAGAGCAGGAGTGGGCAAACTACGGCCTTTTAATCCGGCCCGCCGAACTGGAAGAAATGACAATAATAAACCTTGTTGATGTTTTATTTGTCATGCATTTCCAGCGTTTCCCAGTAGATGGCGCACTATATATACATTGAGGTGCGGCGTATTATATTGGCCGCAATGCTTTATGGGAAAGTGTTCTTACAGGAGTTATTCGGACCATGAGTGAAGTAATGGTGTTCAAGATATAAGGCTGCACTGCTTCTTTTTCAAGTTGGTGAAAATAACACATAGAAAACTTGAAGACTCTGAGTTGTGGATGTCAATTTAAGCAACTTCATAGTGTCTGGTTTTACTGCACTAGTAGGTGTCTGTGTGTGATTGTTTGGTAATAGCTTTGTTAATGAGTTATTTTTAGTCAAATTTGAAAACGGTGAGGTCATGTTTATTTATTTGTCGTGTGCAGTGGAACAGATTTATACACTTTTATGTGTCTGAATCATTCACAGAAATGTCGAAGCGTCTGAAGTTCTACATAAAAGTGAATATGATGTAATGAAGCCGAGCTCTTAACACGTTATATCTTGTCTTCTGTCCGGCCCTTCAGCCAAACTTTAGGACCTTATGTGGCCCGCAAGCCAAAAAGTTTGCCCACCCCTGGGTTAGAGGCTTAAGAGCGCATCTAATAGCCCGGAAAATACAGTATACATTATTTTACACATTATTTTAAGCTTAAATTAACATTTATCAGATAAAATGGAAATAGATTTATAAAACATTGACATATATATGTGCCAAAATAACTGTAAAATTCAAATAAATGTAGAAAATGACAAAGATGGTCTTGATTTGGTCTCGATGGGCTGTGGTCTTGGTCTCGGACAGGTCTTGGTCTTGAGTACTCTCTGTCTTAATTACAACACTACTTAAGTGTTATTCTGCTATTTATCTATGGCATTTCATGTTTTTTAATAACACTGTGCATTTAAAATATTTTTTTTTGGACGGATAATCAATTAGCTTCAGTATTATTGTTTATATTTTCTTCAGCTTTATATCGTACTTCAAATTTGTTAACATGACAGGCCTACATTTTATCTTTGAGCTTGATTGAATGTCAAAACGTCTTAAATATTACAATTACATATTTCTAACACCGGGTCTTTCGTTCCAGCACTCGTCACAGTGCTGTCCGTCGCGCCGCCGTGTTTTTGGGAATGCCCGACGCCATTAAAAACTTCCCGGACGCTCCTGAATCCTCCGAACAGGCCGAATCCTCACAGTCCGACGCCGATAAAGAACCGGACACCGCTTCTTCAAAGAGCCCCAACCCGCAGCAGTCGGAGGACATCCCCAACTCTCCTCTGTCTCTGTCCATCTCGTCGGTGACTGGCAACTGGGCGATGGATGAGGAGGGAGCGGAGCCTGAAGAGGGCGAGGAAGACTTCGAGAAGCTCATAGACGATGACGCCGACTATACGCCAGGGAAAAAGCGAGCGAGAAAACCCAAGACCTTTTTTGGTTGTGAAGATGGCGAAACGGGCGAAGCGGGAGAGGAAGCAGCGACCACGACGAACATCACCACCAATGCGTCGCGCGGGAGGGGGACGTCGAAGGGGCCGCGGCCGACCTCCCATCGTCAAATCGGAAGAAGCGTTCACAGAGGACGCCGATAAAGACTCTCAAGACATCTGGGACACGTCGGCCGATTGGAGCCCATCCCAGGATGATTTTGACGAGGCTCCGCCCAAAAGAACCAGATATGGAGGGAGGAGGGGGCGGGGCAGAAGGGGGCGTGGCCGAGGAGGAAGGAAGAGGAGGTTTGACGTGTTATTGGAGGAAGACGGCGAGGAGGGAGGAGAGATTGGAGAGGACGGGAGGGAGTACGGAGAGCAGGATCCGTCTGAGGCGAATGAGCAGTCTTTGTCGTGTACTGAGTGTAATAAAGTTTTCAAAGACCAGAGCAGTTTGAGACGACACGAGAAAATCCACAAAGGACTGAAGCCGTTCGCCTGCATCTTCTGCTCAAAGACGTTCAGACAAGCGACGCAGCTCAAGACGCATCTACGCATTCACACAGGTATTAAACTTAATATTCAAAATGATAAAACAATAGATGGCGAGATGGTTCAAAAGCACTCTGAGAAAAAAGTACAGTAAAAGTCCTTACACAATTGTTTTGATTTTATTCAGAATTAATGAAAATGTTCAGTGTTCAACCCAGAGTCCTGCACCGGGTCGGGTACCTGCAAATAGCTGCTGAAAAACAGGCAGGTAGTGATTACACACGGACGGGTCAGGTGAATCAAATGAACGACAAACGGGAGAAAAATACCTGAAGAGTGTCCAGGACGTCCGTTGCCATGGAAACAAGTGGCAATTACCGGTTGATGCCAAACCAGGCTGAGAGAGACTTTAGTGTTTTTATTACATAAAACTATCAACAGAGGTGATCAGCTCAGTAACTGCAGTCCCGGTGCAGTCCCGGTGCAGTCCCGGTGCAGTCCCGGTGCAGTCCCGGTGCAGTCCCGGTGCAGTCCCGGTGCAGTCCCGGTGCAGTCCCGGTGCAGTCCCGGTGCAGTCCCGGTGCAGTCCCGGTGCAGTCCCGGCGATCGGCTCTGCGGTTGCAATATATTTATAATCCGTTAACGACACGGCGTTGGTTTAGTCCTGGTATAGTCCTGGTATAGTCCTGGTATAGTCCTGGTATAGTCCTGGTATAGTCCTGGTATAGTCCTGGTATAGTCCTGGTATAGTCCTGGTATAGTCCTCTGTGGCTGCGGTGTGTATATATTTATAATCCACTAATGACACGGTGTAGGTTTAGTCCCGGTCTAGTCCCGGTGTAGTCCCGGTGTAGTCCCGGTGTAGTCCCGGTGTAGTCCCGGTGTAGTCCTCTGCGGCTTATGCAGCGTGTATATATTTATAATCCACTAATGACACGGTGTAGGTTTAGTCCTGCTTTAGTCCTGGTCTAATGGGCTGAACCCAATTTTATCACGGGCGCAGGAGGGTAACAGGTGGAATGTTCGCACGTCCAGGCGGGTGCGGGTTTAACTTTGATATAATCACGGGTTAATGAGCGGGTGTGGTCCTGTACTGTGCAGGTGCGGCTCTCCAAAAATGGACCCGTGCAGGACTCTGGTTCACCCCCTATTCATCCCATAGAACCCAAATGGAGGTGCACTATGTAACTTTTCTGGTGAAAGGCCCGTATGTATCTTATTTTGATGGATATGTAATTGCTAAGCCTAGAATGTTCCACAGCAGGGCATTAAGCATAGAGCTACGAAGACAGGTCAACTAAATTCCATGAAGACAAAAAGAAAAGTCATGTCCTGAACCTTTTTAAGTGCAGAGAGTTTAAAAGGAGCTCAAAACAAGTTAGTCAGCCACAGGAAACTCACAACACAAACACAAATTAAACTAAAGAGAATTTTCAGTACACATTTTTAATTATAATCACATAATCAAGTCTATGAAGAATATTTAATGCAAAGAAAGAATTGTAATAGTGAAAAATTGGCTCAGGCCGCTTTAAGGTTTCAAAAGGCACTGATATGTCCAGTAAATTAAACGTCACTGGTTATTCCACATTTTCATCATGTTTATTAAACTGTTGTAAATGTTGTGTTCAGGGGAGAAGCCGTTCGCCTGCACCAGCTGTGACAAGTGCTTTGCTCAGAAGTGTCAGCTCGTGGCCCATCGGAGAATGCACCACGGAGAGGAGAAGCCCTACACCTGCGAGCGCTGCGGCTTCAAGTTCGCCACCTCCTCCAACTACAAAATACACATCAGGTAAAATACGAAAGGGGCGTGGGTACAAAGCATCTCACTGTGTTATATCTGTTATGTTGTTCGATGGATTTTTGGAGGCTTCCACAGTAAATCTCTCATGTAATTCTGGGAAATATTACCAGCGCAAACACTTAATAATGATAATAATAGTACATAACACTTGTATAGTGCTTTTAATGACACTCAAAGATGCTTCATTTTTATCAAGCAGACACAAACACGAATGAAATTAACAGATAAACAGGAGATGCAGTTATTTAAAGGCTTGAAGCACATTGGACTTGGACTAATAATTTTTATAAAAGTGTTTTGTTTTTTTCTATTTTTACTACAAAACTCAATCCAATTTATTGAAGTAGTGGGAGCTGTGTAATTGTTTCTAGACACACAATCAGTCAAAATCTTCCTCCAAATATAAAGGTTACATTAAACGGTGTAAGAAAGCTATAATCAAGAATAATAATTTAAATGGAACCAATTTTTTTACTGAAAATAATGATATGTGTTATGATGTTTCTAAAAGTTTGAAATTGTATTCCTGGTGGTTACTAGAAAGATTTAGTTGCAATTCTTAATTTGTTTGTCCATCTTGTCCAGTAGTTTATAATACGTAATAAACTAAAACAGGTACGAAAAAAGCTATGTGAAAAATGCAAAAGACTTTAAATTTTAAGTCTTGTGAATCGAACATTGTCTCTTGTGCTGTCTCTTGAGATTTCTGTCTTGTCCCTCGACGTAATGCCTAAGAAATGTATTATGACTAGGGATGTAACAATAACCTGAAATATCGTGATATTATATCGTCAAAAGTCTCACAATAATATCGTGGGGCATCACAATATATCGAATCACAATTTCCTTTGCTTAAATACTTGGTTTTATAGTCGCAACAACTTATAACATGGGAAACTACATATCCCATGATTCACTGATTCATGATTCAGTGCAGACAACATGGAGATATGTTTTTTACTTGAATTCTTTGGATTATTATGGAAACAATTCACACCAAAATCCTGTCAAGGTATTGTAAAAGCAGAAACGTGTCCTATTTACAATTACAATCAGCCTCTCGATAATATCACAATAAATATCGTACTGTGAGATGCATATCGTGATAATATCGTACCAAGAGATTTGGATATCGTTACATCCCTAAATTTAAATCTAAAGTCTCGCGGATTGAACATTGTCTCTTGTATTGTCTGTCTTGGGGTTTCTGTCTCGTCCCTCATGCACATTATCGTTGTTGTTGTGTTCCAGGCTGCACACAGGGGAGAAGCCGTACGTGTGTGACATCTGTGGACAGGCGTTCGCTCAGAGCAGCACGCTGACGTATCACAAGCGGCGCCACACGGGGGAGAAACCGTATCAGTGCGACCTGTGCGGCATGTCCTTCTCTGTGTCCTCGTCGCTCATCGCACACGCCAGGAAACACACAGGTCAGGACTGAAACGCACACCGGACTGTTACCACGGTGAACGATTTAAAGGGGCTGTGCCTGATTTAATTTAATAAAGTTAAAGTGTCCCGATGGAGAAATGGTGCGCTTACTTTTTAGCAGAGATGGGACCAAGTCTTTGATCTCAAATCCGAGTCAAGTCCCAAGTCTTCACGTAATTTCAAGTCTTTAAACCAAAAAAGTACCAAATATAGCTTAGATTTTTACAGTTTATATGAGTAACTAAACTGATGAATAACTAAATTGTACTTTTAAAAAATCATGGTATACAAGTATTGATATAAGAGTTGTAGAAATGCAAATTGTTCCTTTTTAAATGTCTTGACAAGAGTGCAAATTATTACGGTCAGAATAGAAAGAATTAAGATTTAAGAGAGCTTTATAACAGTTATTTTGTCATGTAATCTGCACTGAAATGGAAAGATCAGGTTCTTTTTAGGTCCTTTTTTCTGTTTTTTACTGTATGTTTTACTGTAATGTACTGTATTGTAGTTTATTTTACTCTAGTTAGTACATTTGAGTATCACAGTACTTCTGTTCCATCCAAAGTAACAAACAGAAGTGGGAGCGACATGTTCCAGTTTGTTTCTGTAAAATTCAACACCAAATTTTTTCTTAAAACATATATATTTTTGGAAGCATCAAGTCGTCTTAAGTCATTGACCTTCAAATCCATGTCTTAGTCCATTTTGTCAAGTCTCAAGTCCTAAAAAAAATAGTGACTCAAGTCTTGTTGTTAGTTTTACTGTCCTCTGAAAGTTGAGAAAAGCATTTATAAACTCATCGCTGTGAATAATTGGGATGTTTGGACTGCGGCAATTTAAGATGAATTACTTTGTTTTCATGTTTTTTTAGACTGTAAGACAAAGAACGCTTTAAATGTGCACAATATGCTGCCACGTACTTTCAAGCATATAAATGGGCATTGCTTTACCTTGAATGTTTCCCCTTTTTTACTTCATTTTAGATTTTTTCATTGCTAAAAATGTGGAGGTGTCAGACAGACTCTTTATGCAGAAACTTCACACCTTTTTAATTGGCCTGTTAAAGTTGAGCAAAACTTGACTCCTGTGTCTATAATGCAGTCTTATTTTTATTTTTTCAGGTGAGACTCCGTACAAATGCGCTCAGCCTCAGTGTGAGTCAAAGTTTGTCACATCGTCAGAGCTGAAGAAACACATGAGGAGGCTTCATCCAGGTCTGTGTACTATAACAACTTTATCAACGTTATGAAATGAACCTTTAAACTAAATTAACGACATTGTACAATTGAATATGATGTTGATTTTTCTTTTTCTCACCTTCTGGACTTGTTGCTCGTTTCAGACGGGAACAATGGCGTCCAGTGTCTGTTGTGTGGAAACAGATTTGCCAGTGTCAAAAACATGATCAAACATCAGGAGAAAGCTCACGCCGATGAAGTGAGACAGCACAAGGAGAGAGCCCGAGCAGGTAACGCAACACAGAGTCTACGCAAACTTAAAACTCACTGAACAACAACACATGATATCTGTGTAACCACTCAGGCGTCCACATGATGATCATTTTATGATATTTTAATCAGATCAGTGAAAATAGATAGGTTAAGTTAGGCCTCTTGAAACTGACTAGTATAAAATTTATGACACAACATCTACTGTAGCCTTTGTATAACGTTATTATGTGAACCCACTTTCCTTACAGTGGGACAGTCATCAACACACCAGTCAACAGGAAGCATTTCACCTTCATAAAGCAGTTTAGTTTTCATAATTGAGCATTAAAAGATGTTGTTGACATGATGTTACCACTGAGAAGTAAACTGATTGTTCTTTAGATGTTAAAAACGGCTCTAGCATAACCGTAGCATATGCAGTAGAGCACAGCCGCCAATAACATTCTTGGATATTCATATTGTACTAATTTAGGGTATTGAACTTATCTGCATTTTGTGCGATATATATTCTAAATGTTTCTTCTGGTAGTTGTTAAACAGCAGGTAAAAGAGTGGCTCTTTTCCATTAAATGGAATGTTGTTTTCTAGGGATGCCCCAATATCGATACTGGTATCAGATATTGGTGCCGATGCTTAAACATTTGCTAGATGAGGTATCGAATCTATGATATCGGTTCAGTCAATATCCTGGACTTTAACAAGTCTATTTACAGTCTGATTTTGGCCCAGGATGTCTGAACGTACATTCACACAAATCTGTTCAGTGGTGATTTGAAGGATAAATAACAGTTGCATAACATAATTGGATCTCTTATGTAATAAGTTAATTGTGTTTTAAGGAAATAAGTGCCATTTTTCATCCCTGCACTGGTATCAGGTAGTGTCAGTTATCGGCAGATACTTAAGGTCATAGTATCGATATTGGTATCGGGACATGCATTACATTTTTCGTAAGGCAACCTCACTTTTTCTTAGTCATAACATAAACTCTTACCAGTCTGACCAACTCGTCCAAACAATATTTACAGCTTTTTATAAAGAAATACAACTAATATTATGCAGAACTGAGTTAAGCATTTTGGCCCTCCACAATATTTCGCGTATCTGTAGAAGTATTTAGTCCTGACTTGTATTTCACCTCTAACTTCTTGTCTCTTTTGTTTCCAGTCGTCCTGTTGTCGTCCAGTCACCCGGTCGCCTTCGTCCAGAGCAAACTGTCCCAGGACCAGAAGAGCCTCGTCTTCACCGAACCCCCGAACCCCGAGCCCGCCACGCCCGGCCCCAAAACCGACATCACCATGGACCCCGGCGACGCCACCACCACCGCCACGCACATCACCATGGTCGCCGACACCTCCGCCCACATCGCCATGGTCACCGACACCGCCGCCACCCACACCGCCGCCGGCATCACCATGGACGCGGGCTCGGCCACCGTCACCATGGATACGAGCACGGCCGCAGCGCTCTTGCAGGATTTCAAGGCGGAGCCCACTCACGCCCCCATCAGCTCGGAGGAGGGGGCGCAGGAGGTGAGTTTTGAAGCGGGCGCGGAGCAGACCATCACGTCGGATACTCTGCACGCTCTGGTGGAGCAGCTCCGGCCGACCTCGCCCGCCTCAAACCTGGAACAAATTGTCATAATTCAAACTGTGGACAACGCGGAGCAGGGCCAGACGCCGAGGAGCACGTAGAGTCCGGGGGAAATACTCAAACGCAAAATTCTCCTGAGATGTAACTATACTGGCTTAAGCAAAAATCTTGTAATATCGGCACGGAGTTGTACAGTGTTGAATGATTAAAAACTGGATTTGTAAAGTAGAGGTGAGCAATATGTAGAGCTGCAATCATTTATCAGAATAATCGAGGCTAGGATTGTCAGAAATATCGAAAATCTGATACTAACTGATGTTAAAACTAAAACTCCTACTGCAAAAACACAACATGAACAAGAAAATCTAAGGCTACGTTCAGACTGCAGGACTTAATGCTCAGTTCGTGTTTGTGAAATCCAATTTTTTAACGAGGTCACTGACATTTCCAATTAAATGCGACTTGTTTGTGGTCTCCAGTGTGAACTTTAAACGCCCCAAAAGTGTCACGAATGCACATCGGAGAACACGACGACGTCACACTCAGCGAGCGTACTCGGTGAGCTCCTGGAGATTTTAAAGTTGCTGTCGTACCGGAGCCAGAACATGTACAGCTTAATTGTTTTAAGAAGGAGACTGAGAAGGAGGAGGATGGGGTTTTTGGCGTTCATGGCGTTTTGTGGGGCAGTGGCAGCAGCGTCGCAGCCAAGAGCAGTGGGATTGCGATGTGCTTCACTGCTTCACTGACACGGAGTCCAGACACAATTTTCGTTTGACGAGAAGAATGTTTGTGTACATTTGTGACGTGTAGGTGGGATGAATGTGACCTGACCGTTCAGACTAAAGTCGCACGTCAAAAGATCAGATATGTATCGGTTTTAAGAGCACATATCCAAGTGTCCTGGGTCGTATTTGAAAAAATCAGATCTGTGTCATTCAGACTGTCATTAAAAGATCAGATACAGGTCACATAGGGGAGAAAAAATGTGATTTGGGTCACTTCAGGCTGCAGTCTGAACGTAGTCTAAGAGTTCCTGCACAATTTAATATGAATTTGAGCTTTATCAGAAAAAGCATAAGATCTCATAATAACATAAAGAAAGTCCAATTATTTTGTACATGAAAATTACATTTTATCACTAAAAAGGAGCATTTTTAAAAAAGTTTGTGGCCATAATTAGTATCGAGTGAATTCCTTGGTATCGAAATAGTGTGGACATTTTTGAAATAAATTGTGAATAGTTTGACAAATTGAGACTAGTTTTACCCTCAGAATTATCATCTGGACTATGCAGAGTCATAAAACATGCCAAATACCTTTTTTATTTTTTATTGTAAAGTCAAAAGACAACATTTGATCAGTTTCTGGTTTTCCTCTATAACACATTTTGAATTTTTTGTAAATATGCTGTTACTAGAAGCCTTCAGTCACCATATTTCTACCTTTTATTTGGTTAAAAAGTTTATTAAAAACTGTAGAAACAATTGCAAAAACTTATGGTAGTCACTAAGTTGAACTCTTATTGGTCCGCCTCGTCATGCTGGGTGTGAGTGACAGGTGGGTTTAACCAATCACAGTGAAGTAGAATGCTCAGAAGATCATTTTATGAAAATGTACAGCTACTAAAATTGAACTCGGCTTTAAGAAAACCTTAAGTCATATAAAGTTTTTGCCATATTGGCCGCTCTACTATAATGCTATGACGATACTAGAGGTTTGAATCGTGCGTTTCCTGCTATTGTGACACCTTCTGTACAGTGTCGTGATGTTTTCTAAGTCTCCTGTAAGAACTCGTTGCTCTCGATCGTACGACGTTTGATTATGATTTGTTGCTTTTTGTGTCTTTACCTGAATTACATGGACCCTGAGACAGAAACTGGACTAAAAATATCTACTCAAGAATTAATCTGGGAGATGTAATGTGTGTTTATTGTATGAACTTGGTCATAAAGCCACAACTTTGCCGCTGTTTAATTTGCAGTTGTATTTCAATCAATATAATTATCTATAGTCCACAAGTTGTTATTGTATTTCTTTAACATTACAGTGAGATAAATTTAAGGTTTGTGGAGTTGAGCAGTGACCGCTCGCCCTCTGGTTCTGGAAGTAAATTTATCATTAATTTTTCCCATAGATAAAAAAGAAAAAGGAAATAAAATCAGCTGACGAGAAGAATTCGTCTGTCATTCGTTTTTCAATATAAATCCAAAAAGAAAAGGAAAAAATCAACTATTTTCTTCATTATTTGTCTCCAAAACCAAAATTAAAAAACGGATAACGATTAGTTTTTTTCATTTTTCGATTTTGTGTTTAATTGAATAATGGAAAAATTTATTTAACTTGACTTAAACTGCGGTGCCGAACTTTTGCACCGCATACTGACTAAAACAGGACTGGACCAGGTCCGACCAGACCGGAAAAAACTGGGACCGAGACCAAGACTGAGACTGGGACCATCACAGGACTGAGAGGACTGAGGCTGGGATCAGACCAGGACCAGGCCGTGACTAAGACCGAGACCAGGACCGAGACCAGGACCGAGACCGGGACAACAATAGGACTGAAAACGATTTAGTCCTGGTTCAGTCCTGGTTCAGTCCTGGTTCAGTCCTGGTTCAGTCCTGGTTCAGTCCTGGTTCAGTCCGGCATCTCAGTTTAAGTCACGGAAACACTTGTTATCAGTTTTTTCCATTATTCATTTAAACACAAGATTGAAAACTGAAAAAACAAATCATTATCTGTTTTTTTTTTTTTTTCATTTTGGTTTTGGAGACAAATAATGAAAAAAGAAAATTAGTTTTTTTCTTTTTTCTTATATATAGTTTTATATTGAAAAACAAATCAACAAATGATACACCGATTGAGAAGATGATTTAAAGTCTATTTCTGATACTTAACATTAAACATTTTGTTGTTTTTATGGATACGTCATTGCTCTGCCTGGAATGTTCCACAGTCTGACATTAAACAGCTCTACTTTATATTTATTCAATTACAGCTGGTTTTATAGCTCAAAAATACCTAGAAAAACAGACATTCTGACTCTGAGAGGGGTCGCCTTGCCACAGATCTGACTTGTAACTTGGTCTGGTTTGGTCGTCATGAAGATAAAAAGGTTTAAAGCCACACTGTGAAACATTCCAGACAAAAAAAGAAAAGCATTTGACGAACGCTCCACCAGAAAAGTTACACAATGCAGCTTTGAATTGCGCTTTTTGCCTTTAAAACGATCACATTATGGATTTTAATTAGCACATAGCTCGTAAGTCTTTAATATTTCATTTTCCTGAAAAGTCTTTGGGAAAAATTTATGGGAAAATTTTCTTTCGGAACCAGCCTGGATTTAGAAGCGCGCAGGACTGTCGAGCTCCACAGACTGTAGTGATTTCTCAGATCAATAGTCTAAATTAAAACTAGATTTATTATTTTCTTTCTATTCAGAACATTTTTTTTGTAATCGTTGCTAGATTATTATGAAACTTTTTTTTTTATTTATAATTTTTTTTAATCTGCAAGAACGTCATTATTCTTTTATTTAACCAATACATGCAAGTAACTCTTCAATTTGTTTTAATTTGGTCTCAAAATTTAAAAACCTAATAGGCTTTTGTGTTTTTTACAGCTTTTTATTTTAATTGTACCAGACTTTTATTGATGGTTGATCACTACAGATTTTTCTCTTTGTAGCTGAAATAATTGTGTATTTGTTTTATTTTTATTATTTTTTTTTACAGTGTTTCAATCAACTTAATTGCTGTATTGGTTTAATTTTAATTAGGTCTTGGAACAATAACGTGTAAACAAGGCTTGTAACTACTACGCAATGTAAAATAAAATCCAAAAGGGAACAATGTGTAGAGTTTGTGTGTAAAAACAAAGGAGCACCAGCTGATAAGGATTTTTTATTTGAATTTTCAGTAGTTAACAATTGAAAAACCTCCAAAAAAGATCAACACTGGCAAATTTTATAACATTAAAACAATAAAAAGAGGTTATATTTTAAATAAAACAACACGGAGAACTTGGATCAGTCGCTGAATCACGAACTACAGCTTCAAGTTGATACAAACAAAAGTGCTTTTAATAAAACATGAAATAAAATGTGAACATGTGAGTTAGTGTCAGGTTAGAAAAGCATCGATGTCAGTGACTTCCGGACATTGGCCATCTCCTGCTGTTGCTGGAAAAAAAAAGAAAAAAACATGAAAATTAGAACATTTATAGATACAGTAAAAAGTCAGAGCTCAGATTGGATGTAATGAAAATCCGGACATGTACAGAGGAGTGAAGGTGAGGCGCTAGGATGTGTCATTTGCCCAACTTTAGGAACATTTTTTGAATGTCACTCTATACCTAGTATCAATTGCCAAAGTAAAATTTCTTAAGAGATTTCATGAAATTCTATTGATGTTTACTGGGTCCACAAAGCCTCTGAAGTTTAGTGCCTTAAACCTGAGCTGAAAAATCAACTTTTCTTTAATAACATAAAAAAAACAAAAAAACATTTTAGCTCTATAGTATCAATTTGGTCACAGTTTTCTCTCTATCATGATTAGTTTCTGAGATATGGCAAAAGTGTCATTTCTTTGGGACTTCAATTAGATTAGACTTGATTAAGAAATTATTATATGAAAACAAAAAACAATTAATTTGAAAATATATAAATAAAATAAATAAATGTACAAATAATGCTTTTTTCCCCCTTTCTTTCTTTATATATAAAAAAACATTTGAGAAAAACTGATTTTTCAGCCAGAGCTTTATGGACACCGTTAGGATGGAACTTAAGAGATTTGGTGGACCCAGTAGATTTTATTAAACTGAGCAAATATTCCACAGATTTTCTTTAAATTGGTGCTGTCACATTTTAAAATTGGGTACAAGTTGAATTTCTGACACTGGGGCAAATGATGCTCCCTATTAGGCGCTGAGATGATTTCAGGATGTGATGATAAAATTGCAACATAATTTTATTGAAGACAGTAAGTTTTAGTGTAAATAGGTCAAATAACTAGAGACTGAGTGACCAATATTTGTTTTTTCATGGCCTATACAGATTGTTTAGAATTTGCATTTATTTATTTTATTTTGTTTATTTCATTCATAAAGTATAAAAAGACATCAACAGTGTCACAACATCAAACATACAAGAAATGAATGAAAAGGAGCAGAAGGAAGAGTCATTTTATCATGTTAATCCACCCGCTCTTCCCTTTTCCAGATAAAACGTCAACACTGATGGTTACTAAACATTTCAAATCAGTACATTTAATTTCATTTACAATTATTAATCAATTGTAAACAGAAATCATAATTTTTATGCACAAAAGCTTAGTTTCCTTTTTCATACATACACGTTGCACTGGAGTTTTTTAAATGCCATTATTGTACTTGATCCTTTGATTTCTTTGTCAAGACTCTTCCATAAATGAACCCGTTTCAAACACTCACAGGAACCAATGGCCGATGACCCTTGACGATATTTTTTGGCTGATAGGCAGAGCCAGTTTTGGTCAGTTTCCCCAAATTATCTCATTTCAAACTCATCTGCAACAAACTGTGTAGACGGCAGTGTAGTCAGATTTTTTGAATAACCTCTATAGACTGAAGTGTTCAAATCAAACTTTATGCGTGTGTTTTTCATGTATATCTAAGCAGCTACTTGGGCCAAACAAAATATCGGCCTCTGTTGGAGAGGCCAATAACAGATTTGCTAAAGAGAGCAAATATCGGCCAAACGACAAATGGGTCTATCTCTACAAATAACGCAAGAAAATTAAGCAAATAAACAATTAAATCTTTATTTTAAATGTTAGTTTGTGCTATTGTAGGGGGTTCCAGCCTGACAAGTTTTGGGAACCCCTGGTCTAGATGACGACCAACGGGGAGATTTATGAAAACAGTGAAAGAGGATATGAAGTTAGTTGGAGTGAGAGAAGGGGATACAGAGAACGTTTTAGAGCAGGGATGTAACAATAACTGAAATATTCGTGATACTTTATTGTCAAAAGTCTCACAATAATATCGTGGACTGTCACAATATATCAAATCACAACTTCCTTTGCTTAAATGCATGGTTTTATAGAAGCAACAGCTTATAAATACAGGGAACTACATATCCCATGATTCATTTCAGCGCAAACATGAAGAAATGTTTTTTACGTGAATTCTTGGGATTATGACAGAAATAATTCACACCAAAATCTTTTCAAGGTATTTTAAAAGCTAAAAAGTGTCCCATCTACAATTTTAAAAAGCCTCTTTAAAATATCGCAATAAATATCGTACCGCGAGATGAATATCGTGATAATATCGTACAGAGAGATTTGGATATCGTTACATCCCTACTTTAGAGACAAGTAGCAGTTATTGACTAGCTATTAAGTTGTGGTATCGTTATAAATTCCTGCACTTACAGTATCCATGAGTATCTTCTTCTGCAGCACGTTCATCTCTTTGCGCAGCTCCTCTGTCGCCTTCTGGAGGAAGCTGTCGTGGCTCTTCTGCATCTCCTCCATGTTCTTCACAAACACGTCGTACAGCTCACGCACGGCCTTCAGCTTCTGGCCCTGAGCGGCTCGGGCCTGCTGCAGCACCTTGAGCTGCTGTTTAAACAGATTATTCATGCGCTCTTCCTGCTCCTCGCCCCTCTGCGCCTCCGCCTCCCACTGCTGCAGCGCTGCGCTCACTTGCTGTGAATATTGCTGGGTTAATTTTTGGCGCTGGTTTTGGTGCGTTCTCCACAGTTGCTCGAGTTTGTGCTGACTGCCCTTCATGTAGTTATTGGTTAAGGTTTCCAGGCGTTTCTTTTTGGCCTGTGTTTAGAAATATCACAAAAATCAATACAGAGGACATAAATTCATACTTTTTGGCCCTGGTTTGAACCCAGTTTGAGTTCTTATATAACCTTGGTTTAGTTCTGTTCTAGACCTGGTGTAGTCCTGGTCTAGTCAAAGTAGTTTAGTTCCAAATTTAGTCCCAGTAAGTGTGAACCCAATCTATTGTAATTTTCTCCCCTAAAAATACATGGTTTAATTGCCGTATTTTCCGGGCTATTAGTTGCTCTGGATTATAAAACACACTGTCATTAAATGGTCTGTTTTTGAACTTTTTGAACTGCTGGATTGTCGGCGTGTTTGCAGTGACTCAGTTGTTCAGTTGTGTCTAGAAGTGGCACATTGCCCTCGCTTTTCCGGTTCGTTCCTCTGTTCCGTTCCTCGTCGGCGTGGAGTGATGAGTGTGTCTGTGGGTGTTTTTCGCTGTGCGGTCGCTGTCTGCTCCGTGTGTGTTTGTGAGGTTTTGTAGTTTACTGAAGCCGTGCTGGGACACCTGAATGGATTCGCTGTCGTTTTTTGATGCGGTTGGAGGCTTAAGAGTGCGCCTAATAGCCCGGAAAATACATTAGTAAAGAAAAAAATATAATGAAATGTAATGACATACGCTAAATATCTGGTTCAGAAGACTCAAAATAGACAGTAAGGCTACGTTCAGACTGCAGGGCTCAACCCTCAATTCCGATTTTTTGTGAAATCTGATGTTTTGCGAAGTCGTTCACATTTCCAGTTAAATCTGACTTGTATGTGACTCCAGTGTGAACATTAAACGGCCCGAAAGTGTCTCACATGTGCACTGGAGGACACAATGACATCAACCGCGAAGTTGTCCAAACATGGACGCGAGTATTGAGCACCTGGAGATTTTAAAGTTCCTCTCGTACCGGAGCCAGAACATGAACAACTTACTTGTTTTAAGGAGGAGACTGAGAAGGAGAAGGGCGAGGTTTTTAGCCGTGGCGTTTTGTAGGACAGCGGCAGCTACGTCCGTTGAAAGAACGTGTGGATGTGGAGACGTAGCCAAGAGTGGTGAGTGGTGATGTGCTTCACATCAGTGACACGGAGTTCATTAACAATTTTTGCCTACTTCAGCGCAGAATAGTGACGTTTGTGGCTTGTTGATAACGTGTAGGTCGGATGAATGTGCTTTGGCCGTTCAGACTGAAGTCACATGTCAAAAGATCGGATATGTATCGGTTTCAGGACCACATATCCAAGTGGCCTGGGTCGCATTTGATAAAATCGGATCTGTGTCGTTCAGACTGCCATTAAAAGATCAGACACAGGTAACATAGAAGCCAAAAAATCAGATTTGGGTCACTTCAGGCTGCAGTCTGAACGCAGCCTAAGTGATATTTATAGGACAAAATATATCAGATCTTCAAATAAGGATTGCCTGGGACCCCACAGTAAAAAAAAAAGTACATATAACTATATAAATATGGACCTTTCCTGGATAATTTTAGAATAGTAAGTAGCATAAGAAAGTAAACAGGAAGGGTGGGATGCATATTGTGAGCACAGTACCTGCATTGCTTTGCTGATGTCCGACCCAAACTGCTCCAACATGGACTGGAACCCGGTGCCCACAGGAACTACAGCGGCGTCAGCGTCATCGTCATCAAAGTCGGAGGAGGAGCGCTTCTTTGAGAGCTTTTCCACTAGTGCAATATCTGGAAAAATAGAGGTACAAATCTTTAATATGACCATGTGATTATAACTCATTTCAGCTTTCAGTGAGCCACTGTCAACCCATCACTGTATAGACATAAAAACATCTGGCATTTTATTCACATTATTTTTACTTAAAGGTGGATTACCAAACCATAGAAAACATAACAAATGTGTATGTGTGCATTTGATGAAATCCAAACTTGAATATATTGTTGCTTTAATATAGAATTGAAGTGTAAATAAGACTAATAAGTGCTATTTTAACAAAACATGCATACTGCTATATTGAAGACAAGTAAATATAGACTTTAATTGATTTGCTAAAATGTATTAAATAGTTCCTCATACTTTCTTGGTCCTCTGCACCTCTCACGTCTTTGGTCGTCGTGTCTTTAAATGTTTTCCTGTCAGTTTTACCGAGCGGCTTCATCTTCTTTATTGGTCTTTTCGCGGACATTTGTTTTCGAATATCTAAATTGATAATCTCGGGTGATCTGTAGTCTGGAAAGTTAAATTAAAGTTCAAGTAAAGTCTATGTTAAAAGCAAATAATTACAAATATATTTTACGTTTGGGTACCGCTAATATTAGTCTATAAATTTCCCGCCACTCGCACCATACGCAGTACGCACTTTTACGTTTCACACGTACACGTCGTCATAGCAACCAAACAAAATTAAAACTTAAAATAATTTATATATTATTTTATTTAACAAGATAGAAATAAACGTGAAAAACTGGGCAGAGATAGATGTAATTAAAAATGGAATAAAATACATAAAGTGTTTTGTGTTTTACCACACAGTGCGACGTTCCACGTACGGTCCCCCAACGCGTCGCTATGGCAACCCAAACTTTTTTCCTAAGACAGTGAGTTAGCAAGATGCTATCTGAATTATATCACACCTTTTGTGCAGAAAATGAAATTATACCCAATAACTACATTTCGGCCGTTTTGGAGGAAACGCCAAAGACAGAGTAAGTAACTTTATCAGCAGTTTTATTCAATACGTCCACCATAATAACGCTATGATTTACTTCTGTGTTATCACCGCCGCGTTGTTGTTGTTGTTGTTGTTGATGTTGTTGTTGTTTTAGTTAGTTAGTTAGTTAGGATGCCTACATTGAGTTACCCAGTGTGATTAGCTGGTTAACAGTGTTGGGAAAGTTACTTTTAAAATGTATTCCCCTACAGATTACAGATTACATACCCCAAAATGTAGTTTGTAACGTAATTCATTAAATTACTTAAAGTGAGTAACGTAATCCGAATACTTTGGATTACTTGATATTGTCGTGCTTTTTAAAACTACATGAATGTACCAACCACATCCTAAAAATTTCTCACCTGAATTTTTTTATTTTTATTACAGGAAATATGTTCTGAAACTTGCAGGAAATGACACACTAAAACCTGCTGAAAGACTTCATGACCGAGATGCTCTAGCTCTCTCAAAATGTCTGCTGAACACTAAAGATGTGACAGGTGGCGTGAAATATAATGGAGAATTATCATTTTATTTAGTAATATAATTCGACTATTTTTAACTTCTTTCTCAGGTCTAGATCTGAGCTACAATTTCATTAGAGATGATGGCATAAAACACTTGACTGAGCTCCTTCAGGTTAATTAATTTACATTTTTATTCTCAAATTGTATATTATAGTTGGATTTGCTTTGTTTGACATGATATCTATTTATAGTGTGTTTATTTTTGTCCACTCTACAGGAGGAAAACTCAATTGTTGCGCTCTCTGGATCTCACTTTCAATGAGTTGGAGGACGATGGAGCAGGAATCCTCTCCCATTGCCTCCAGGTTCACATATTTACAGACAATATTGACAAAATGTTTTGCTGCAAAATGTGTATTAAAGCCTATTCCTACATTTCAGTCAAATACAACATTACTGTCCCTCACTCTGTCGGGGAATAAAGTGAAAAATACAGGAGCAATGAGTTTGGCTGGTCTCCTGCAGGTCAACAACACTCTCCAAGTCCTGCGCCTGGCCAACTGTGACATGGTAAATATGACTTACATGTGTAGAGTACATAATAGTTTATAAATGTTCACATATGTACAACAGTAAGTCTTCATAATTGGTCATGTCTATAACCAATATCACAACAGTAGTGGAGTTCATGTGAATAATGTGTGAATTATAATCACCAGTGTTGTGGTTTCTTCCTTTATTTAGAAAACTGAGAGTGTCATTGCTTTTGCCATCGCGTTGACAACCAACCAGACACTGCGCTGCCTCGATATCAGTCGCTCTCTGACATTTGGACCTGAGGTAACAAACCTAATTTAATCTATTTGCCTGTTGAGTAATACCATAATAACTACATGAAGCACAAATGAACACTTAATTCATAATGAGCGCATCAGTTATTGAGAATAATTCAGGTTTAGTAACTTCTTAATTAATACAGTGACTCTAACTCTTAACCTTAACCACTTCATTAAGTAGTTACTAAGCCTGAATCCTTCTTAATTAACTATTTGTTCATTATAAATTAAGTCTTTGTTTATGCTTATTACCTTTTTCTAGTCTTATTTCTGCTCTGATGATGTATATTTTTTTTATTTAACTCGTCTCAGGAGGAATGGCATTGGGCATTGCACTTCGCTCATATGCTGGCTCTGAACCAGAGCCTTGTGGAGCTGCATTTAGGGACCATGGGAATAATGACGTGTGGAATTGAGAGACTGAGCAAAGGACTTCTCTTCAACTACACCTTAAAATACCTCAATCTGCACAGGTCAGAAACACATTTTATACCTTAGTTATTCTCCCTGGATGAAGTAATTCTACTGAACAAAGATTATAATTGTTCTTTCATATTGGTTTCATTTTACATTTTATAATCTCTCCTCCTCTTCTGTCCATAGTAACAGGATCACTCGGGACGACGTGCAGCCACTGGTCAACGTTTTGATGAAGGAGAATTGCGTTCTGGAGGTGCTCGATCTCTCGTCCAATCAGATCCAAGACGAGGGTGCTGTACTTCTGAGTCAGGCTTTAACTTCTCCAAACTGTTCCCTCAGAGAGTAAGTTTATCTGTATTATGCTACTGCTGCAGTATATTAAAGTAGAATTAAACTGTTTTCCCATTTGAAATAAACATAGCAAGTTTTAAGAAGACTTCCTCTTTGGGTTGTTTGTGTGGCTATTGTTGCAGGTCAGACAATAGACCTCTTGCTGCAGTATAGTGTAGCTACTTTATGCATTAAAACCTGTATTAAAAGTTTAGTCAGGTACAGGTTTATTCCAGTTTAAATCTAAAATCTTGGTTTTTGATTGTTAATTTGCCTCAGACAGCTTTTCACATTATTTAGTTATTATTTTAGCTAAAACTCTCTGGAATTGATGCATTGAAAACTAAATCTATGGGTTGAAATTGAAAATTTAATTGAAAAGATGCCCATTGATCACATCTATTAAACTATTAAACTGTGTCTTCTGTATTTCAGGCTGTCTCTTTGCAGTAACAACATCGACTGTGAAGGTTTGCTCGCTTTGGCCAACGCTCTGAATCTGAACTCCACTTTAACTCACCTTTACATCTGGGGCAACCACTTTAAGGAGAGTGTCTGCAAGGTAATACACGCGTCTACATTTTCCTCCAGACCTGTGATTCTTCAGTGACCATATAAGTTAATTTGTGACCCTGAGTTACTTTATAGTTTAGAAGGACAGTATACAATATTTCATAAACTTGACCTGTCAGTGTCCCCAAATATGAGTTCAAATCAAATGTAGCTTTTACTGATAACAGCGGTAATGCTGATTAATTCTTAATTACAAAAGCTACTGGGCGCCAAAGAGACATGTCCATAGACTGAGAAAGAGAAAAAACTTGTATCTTTCTTTACTCAAGTAGGTTTAGTTGTGATTGTAGTACTTTTTTTTTTTTTTACAGTAAAAGAACAGGCTAGATACTGTCCCATGGGTCAGTGTTGCCTTTTTTTTTACCTTCATTTTGCTGTTGTCATAATCTTTAGTATTTTTAATTAAAAGTGCACTATTTAACTTTACTGGTGGAGAGCCGTCAACTGCTTTTCTTTATGGAGATGTTATTGCTTTGCCTGGAATGTTTCACAGTATGGCATTAAGTCTTTTTACCTTCATGGAAACCAAACCAGACCAAGTTACAGGTCAGATGTGTGGAGAAACGACCCCACTCAAAGTCAAAATGTCTGTTTTTGTAGGTATTTTTGAGCTTTAAAACCACCTGTAATTTAATAAATGTAAGGTAGAGCTATTTAATGTTATACTGTGGAACATTCCAAGCAGAAGAATGATGCAACCATAGAAACAAGCGGGTGATGGACTCCCAACCAAAAGTTACATATATATATTCCTTTTCCAGGCTTTCAGAGACCTGCTGGACAGCGGCCGTCTGGACCCGGACCACACAGACGTCAGAGCTTATGAAGTGGACGGTCATGTTTATCTCTCTTGGGTTTTTCAGACTTTGAGAAAACGATTTTATGAACCTGAAAACAACTTCAGCGTCGAAACAGGGGCCAGGCAAGAGCAGCCCACAAACAGAATCGCTACAAAAGGAATGAAGTTCTATGTGTAAAGATTTCCCTTTATCCTACATTTTTTTACATTATAAAACTAGTTCCTCTTCAAGATTGTATTTATGACAACCCTGATTTTGTCCTAAAGTTTTTATATGATTTATGTTTAAAATGTAAAATGATTAATTATGGCAAGTAATGTTGCTCATTTTCTGTTTTAGCACTAGCAGCATCTAGTGGTGACAAGTGAGACTGCAGTTTCTCATTCAGCAAGTCATTAGCTCAGTGTCAGTTGCACAATAAAAAAAAAAAACAGACACAAATAAATCGTATATTTTCTTAACATCAATGTGCAGTTAAATGTTTGCTTGTTTTTTTTTTCAACATAGTGCTTAGAAAACAACATTCAAACAGTTCAATAGCCTAATTTGTAAGTGCAAGTACAACAACATCACAGTATCTGATTGAGACATGGTTTAGTTTAAAGCAACACTGTGCAACTTTCTGGAGGTAACCATGGAAACGGAAAGTTAAAATCGTACATAGGAACATTTTTCAAGGAGATAGATAATAGTAATGCCGTACTATAGAACATTATAGCCAAAATAAGAGTCACGAGACAATGAAAACATCCAAAATGAAATACTTTTATAGTCTATCATTTGGGTAAAAAGTTACCCAGTGGTGCTTTAATTCGTAATAGTCTTGTTTAATACTTGATTCTGTGTTAGGTTTTTACTCCTCAGGCTGAATCTCTTTGTCCTGACTGGTTTCCTCCGTGTCCATCTCTAACAGGACATTTCTTTTCCTCAGACTATGATCCAGTTGTAGTTTTTCTTGGCCTCCGATCGTCCATCTTTGTAGTCCCAGTCTTTTCAGAGCCGTCAGGCGAGGGAGAGCGCGGAGCAGAGCGGGCAGCCAGTCCGAGCAGGGGGCAGAGGTGATAGGTCGCAGGCTCAGGTCAAGTTCTTCCAGTGAACCCAGTCCTCCAGAGGTGAACAGACTGGACCAGCCATTTGACCCAACGGAACCATTGTAGGAGAGATCCAGAACTCGGAGAGAGGAGAGAAAGCCGCCATGGCACACTGAGGCTAAGGGCAACAGAGAATAGAAAATAAATTAAGAAATGGAAGGCTGAAATTATGCTGTTAGATTAGTTAGATTAGTGCAATTTCATTAATTAAACAGCAGTAAAAGAAATGACTTTAAAAGCAAATTTTCATCAGTAGTTTAGACTTTGAGGTTATTACAATTTTCAAGATGTGACATACTGTTTGAACTGCTTAGAAGTATCTTTAAATTGGACATTCGTTTTAAAATTACTATAGTTTAAAATGCATAGTAGTCACAGCATGTTATTGGACTCAGAAAAATCAAGTGATAAAACAAATGTCAGTGTTTCAGGTGGCATCTCAACATTAAGAAATGCTGGGTTTCAGATGACAACACAACGTTCCATGGACTAATACTATTTAATACAGATTTTTATTTATTTTTTTATTTATTCGATATTTTACCAGGTAAGTCAGTTGAGAACACCTTCTGATTTACAATGACGACCTGGTCAAGAGGCAGTATAAAACAGAAGCACAAACAGAACACACTTACACATCGAACATAACATGAAACAGTGAATAGAGACATAAGACAGTGAAACAATTGCAGATTAAAGATATAAAAGTGTAATGTAAAATACTCTGGTTGGAGTTTTTAAAAGTTGACAGAGGTAAAAACTAACTGATTTTTAAAGTCTGTTGAAGGTGGTTTCAGTCTCTTGCTGCAGAAAACTGAAATGAGGAGCGTCCCAAAGCTGTGCGGGCTTTAGGAAAGACCAGAGTCATGTATCTGTTGGAGAGCAGTGTGCGTCTGGAGCTGTGGATTTGCAGTAGATGTGCAGTTAAACATTTATAATGAACAATAACCAGTGGGTTTGTCTGCGGGTGTGGAGAGAGGGCCAGTTCACGAAAGAGTAAAGTGTGCAATGATGGGTGGTAAATGATGCACCTGTGACAAAGCGAATGGCTGCGTGATAAATCACATCGAGTTTATGGAGCAATCGTTTTGATGCAGAGCAATGGGAGTGTAGCTATGATAAATACAGTTAAAATGTAGGCTTGTGCTGTAATAGTACAGGTTAATGGGTAATAGATTATATTAAACATTTGTGAATAAACTATCTGGATATTTTATGACAAATGCAATGTTATCAATTTGGAAAACTGGCTCTTGCTCCCCATCTGGAAATACGACATCATCACACCACCACCAAACCACCAATATAACATTTAATAGAGATGGTGATATGCATTTCAAGGGCCTTGGTACTACTATTACTCAGGATTTTCTTTTAAGATATTTGCACTATTAAAAAAAAAAATGAAATTAATAGCGAGAAATGGTTATTATCCTCAGTTTGGGAGATTAAATTCATCGGCACCAATACAGGGAGAAAGTATAAGTTTTGTTTTCATGAGTATCAGCTGTGACATTATGAATTGTTAATGGCTGCAACAACAATCTTAATTATTCATCACTCTAAAAACCATGGATAGTCTAAGTTTTAGTGATAGTGTGTAAAATTGCTTTTGCGTTTGGTTACCCAGATGTTGAATGTCCTGTGTGTTGAGTTCACAGCTGCTCAGTCTCAGCTCCTGGAGCACCGACGGCTGAAGAGCTTCAAGAAGCAACAACAGTCTGCCCCCGACCACTTTACACCAAGACACGTCCACACAGCGAAGGTACGGCACAGCCACAACTAAAAGAAAATAACACAGACTTAGTTTTAAACATCTTTCTCTCTCTTCACTATTCTAAACTCCTTCACTCTCATCTGTATCTTCTTTCACAATCTCCTCTTTGGGCTTCCTGTTTCCTGGCAGTTTTGAACATAATTTGAGAAGTAAAATGTTCACCTTGCCTTAATTTAACCAGGAGTTTTTATCAGTTTCTTGTATGATAAAACAAGTTAAAAGTTAAACCCTGCATACCCAGAGCGGTGTAGGATTTGTGGGTTAGATCACAGTTGTTCAGGGGGAGTCTCTTCATGTGGGTGAGCGGGAGAGCAGGGATCAGCGTATGCACCGTGTCTCCTGTCTCCTGATTGGACGAAACATTCAGGTCTGTTAAAGAAATCAGAGAGGGCAGCACCTGGACTGGAGACAGGAAACAACAAGGGTTTCATTAGGCAACTGTAGTTTAGTTTTAAAACAAAATATCTGAAAATCAAGAATAAATATTTCGAAAGTTCAAAATGTAAAATCGTACCCAGAGCTTGTATGTCGGAGCGCGTCAGTCCGCTCAGATGGAGGTCGAGTGTTTCGAGCAGAGACAGGTGCGACAGGTGAGGGGAGAGGAGCGACAGGTGTCCAGACAGGCCTTTGTTACAGGACAGGTCCAAGAGACGCAGCGAGGGCACGAACTGGAGAGATTCACCTGTTCAGCAACAAACAGAGAAGAGTTTTCCTCATTTTATTTTTTATTATTTATTTAACACAGTGCACCTCTGTATAAAAAGAAGATTTTAAATGATCCCAACTTTAAAGAGAGTGTATAGAAAATGAATACTTCAAATTTCATAAACATGATGCATTTGAGTTTGCAGATCCCAGATTGCTTTTATTGATAATTATGTATTCTTAAATAAAAAAAAAATAGAAGGTCATGTTTATGTAATTTGGTGTTTTGGTTCTGTCCAATCAGTTCTTACAACTAAAACCAGTTGGAAATGTAACTGTGCTCAGAATTCAGGAGCTTCTGAGCTTTTAAAAAAAAAATGCCTGTCCATATTTGTCCCTTTAGGTTCAGTGATAGTGACAAGAAATCCAAATGTGATGGAAATACTAGTATAGTGTGTTATAAATCGTACCCAGAGCTTGTAGGCTGAGAGGGGCCAGTCCCACTGCCTGAAGTCTGAGTGTTTTGAGGGAAGTGTTTTTGGACAGAGCGGAGCACACGTCTTTGACTCCATCAGTGAAGTTTGGGTTACAGGAGAGGTCCAGTACAGACAGACACGACATGGAGGACAGTATCTCTCCTAATAAAAGCAGACATGTAAAATAACGGTACCTAAAAAAATATACTTCCCCAAAATGTATGTCGAAATAAAACAATGTGGAATTTAAAGACAGCTACTAGTCATTTAGTAAAAAAAAACATTATATTTGAGCATTACAAAATTAAATATTGTGTTTGTATCTGATTCAGAAGTTTTAATTCTAAGTAAAATCTTTGAAAAATATATCATAATATTTGATAGTAGTCTTAGTAGTAAGTCTTTATTTATATAGCGCTTTTCACAGACATTTTTGTCAGAAAGACGCTTTACAGAGCATTATTCAGCATTATTCATTCACTCTATACATAGGACTAAAGAAAGGACTAAAGAAATCTAAATCTGAAAGTACTTTTTCTATTATAACAATGTACTTCATCAAAGGCTCAATTTTAAACATTCTTGATCCATGAGGAAAATTATATAATGTATAAAATAAGTCAAATGTGGTATATAAGCTACACACAATAGAATAAACTTTTATCAGGGTGACGACATAATTATCTCTTTTGTATTTAATGTTAATTTTATCTTCATAGGTTCAATGGACTGAAGTGGAGGAAAAGTTTTACCCAGTGAAGTGCCATCCGCCGCAGTGAGCTCACAGGCCACCAGGTGGAGCTCTGTCAGAGTGGGCTGCAGTTTACCCACAAGACCTTGCAACCCACCACCGCCGAGCGCTCCGTTCCAGGACAAATCCAGGACCTCAACTGAAGGTAGGCAGCTCAAAGCATCTCCTATAAAACACAGACATTTAACTCGGTTTTAAAACACATTTGCAGAAATATTGTATCAACGTGTTTAAAATGCAACATAGCAATACAACTTTCCCCCCAGAAGTCCTTAAAATTGCAAAAATAAAAGTAAATACATGAAATAAAAGGTTTAATAGCTCAAAATGTTCACCAGAAAACTACCTAAATCTCACCAAATAAATAATCCTGCTCCTCAGTAATGACGACTGGATGGATTGCAGGTCTAAACTAACTGTTATGTAACCAGTACAAGTAATTAAATATAAAGGACAAAAACAGGACTACAAAACTGATGTATGCTGGTAAAATAAAATCGTACCTAGAGCGCTGAGGTCTTGGTGGTTGAGTCTGCAGCCGCTGAGCCTCAGAGCGGACAGACAGTTCATGTGGTTTAAGTGGGAGGAGAGAGCGCGGAGACTTCCACCAATCAGATCGTTCCAGGACAAGTCCAAGTCCTCCAACAGCGGCACGTAGGGCAGCAGGGTGCCTGTGTGGACAGAAACATCACCTGTTCAGTTTTGACACAGTACTAAATGACCTTTAAATTACTTTTTAAAGCCACACTTTTTAGAAAAACAAAGAAACTAAAATATCAAATAATAGAGTTTTTTTTTTTTTTCATTTTGATTGTTTTTTTGACTGAACAACATATATCCTTATTCTGAGCGAGTTTACATGAAGGTGGGCCTGCTCCTGCTTATTTCCTCCATGGACAGTGACGTACCACATCCAGAAAGTTACACACTGTACCTTTAACTCCCTTAATATTGCTTTATTCATTTGAAGAACGCCATACTGCAGTTTATAATTTAACTTAGAGTACTGAAATAAATTTTAAAGTGTAAATAAAATCTACACGTTTTACCGAGTTCGAGGAGGTCTGTGGCGGTCAGGTCGCAGTGGGACAGGTTGATTCTCCCTTTCTCTGTCTCTGAGCCGAATCGGTGAAGAAAAGCACGAACTCGCCCCCACCCCATGCCCTGCTCCTCGTCAGACTCTGGAACAGCTGAAGGTTCAAAGGAAAGGAAACACAGAAATATGCTGTACAGTCAACAAAAGATACGTGTTTGGTGAAAATACCTATGTGACATCTGATTAATATCATTTTAATATAGATCTGTGTTTATAGATCTATATTAAAATAGGCAGATTCAACACAATTTATGTTCTAAATAAATAAATAAATAATGAAAAACACAAAACACAACACACAACAGAAGTAAAAATACAGATAATGAAAAGGTCGGGCCAGATTAGTACTGAAATAACTGCTGGGAATCCCAAGTGTTGCAGTGGGACACCTGTGGCTCTTTAGTCTAGTGGATATTGTTGTTGTGTCGTTAAGCAAGACACTTCACCCATCTTGCCCAGTGTGAATTTGGAGTATGTGAGCGTTTGTGGTGGTTGGAGAGGCCTATGGGGCAAACTGGCAGCCTTGCTTTCCTCAAGTCTACCCCAGGGCAGCTGTGACTACAATCGTACTTTACCACCAGCGTGTAATGAATGAGTAATGTACTAAAGTGTCTCAAATGCATTATTATTCATTATTATTCACGATAGTCTTGTGATCTGACCTGGACTCTGGACCTTCGCGTCGGGCTCGTCCTCTCGGATCACGGTCCGCTCTGAGGCCCAGGACAGGAGCCTCCCCAGGGGCCTGCGGTCTGAGCGCTTCCTCCGGATCTGGTTCATGATGAGGTCCAGAGGAGAGCGCCTCACACTGCCCCCTGTCCCCAAAAACACACCGCAATGGACACGAAAAGGACGCTGATTTAACATTTTAAGCACCTTAATCTGAACACTGGCAAAATGACAACACAAGGTTCCGGTAGACTATTAAAAGCAATGTGAGGGTCATATAATAGTGTTGTTACCAGTCAGGGGCGATGCCAGACATATTTGTTTGGAGAAACTATGGGAGTGCACACTTAACATGTAAATTTAGAGCTTTTAATGTACGTGCACCCCCACCGACACCCTACCATGTTTGCTTTGCTGTTTTAAACAAGTTTAAATGCAGTTAACACCCTGCAGTGATTTATGAAACCTGGAATTATTGTTTTATTGCCGTCACATTTTGAACACTCTGTAGTTGCCATTTGATTTTTAGTCAAGATTGAATGTCCTAAGAAAATAGGGAGTAACAGGAGTGCATTGGATGTTCGTGGAGTCCAGTGCCCCCTCAAACCCTCCTGGCATCATGACTCCTGTTACCAGTTGACTCTTATTGACTCATTTTTTTGTCTTGATGCAACTGGATTTAACTTCAAATGCATTACAGTTTAGTATATAAAACAGGTACAAGACATTGTCTGTTGGCTCGACTCAAAACAGCGTTGGCCCGTACGGGGATCGAACCCGCGACCTTGGCGTTATTAGCACCACGCTCTAACCAACTGAGCTAACCGGCCACGCACGTCATTTTACGTCTACAATTACGCACGGTCTGTCAGTCTGAAGTGACAAAACAAGAAAAGCAAAACTTAAAATTTCTCTGCTCGTTTTAGAGAAAAAAAAAACAACAAAAAACAAAAGGTTAAAGACCGAGTTAAAGGCTGACAGTGCGTTTAAGTGTAAAAAGCGTCACTCACTCACCCGTGGCTCCTGTTGACTCCATCTGCACAAACTCTATGATCTGCACGAGGAAATATTAGAGGAAGACTTGTTCGGAAATCAGCATTAATCCGGCTGCAGAACGTTTGGTGAACTGGTGAATCCGCCGCTTTCGTTTTGTTGTCAAGTTAAATTATCGCCCGAATCGTCTCTTAAGTTCATATCACGACATAACCCGCGTGGACCTCTTCTTCGCGTGTGTCCAGTCCCCCGCTGTGTGCACATAAATCCGTGGGTTTGCAGTGACCGGGTCCCAAAACGAGCGCAGGTCGGACTCTGCTCCTGCACCTGTCCCGTGCGCGTCAGGTGGATCGTCCCGGAAGAGAAGGCACGCCCACAAAACATTTATAACAAAGGAAAGTTTATGAAGGTGTGTGTTAGGTTTACAGTCTATAATAAAATGCTACATAACACGAGCTCTTGGCACAAAGCTGAAGTAAGTCCACATAGCGTTACAGCGTAGGAAACAATGCAATTTATTTAGCCTATTTCCTTATCTCAATTTGTTTTGTACAGTGTATTGTATGAACACAATGAAAAGTATATAGGACAGATAATACACACCATATACTCCACACAGAAAGGCGTGAGAGGTACAGGACAACATTCATACTATAATACTCCCTACAACTGTACAACAACTCACCCTTATGTAATAGATAATGTCCTCTTGTATGAAGCTGTGATTTTATATAATTTATATAACTACGTCTTTTTTGACAACTCTCTCTTGCTCTTTTTTGCTACTTATTTAGAATTTATTTTTAACATTTATATTTTTTTCTCTTTGTTATTATATTATATTGTGATATGTGAGCTGCTGTGTCCACATAATTTCCCTTGTGAATCAAAAGTTTGTCTAAATCTAAATAAGTTACCTAAAATGTTAAAAACTGAAATACAAACATTAGTTTTTATTGTTGTAGGCTTATATATTATATTGGCTTTTCATGTCCACAAAATTATTATTTATTAGACCTACTATAAACTTCAGCATCATCATGAACATTTCTATAGCCTGTATTTTCAGTGACCAAGGTAAAACTCAGCTCCGCCCCTTTTCCCCTCCATCCTCACAGGTGTAAACTCAGCTCCGCCCCTTTTCCCCTCCATCCTCACAGGTGTAAACTCAGCTCCGCCCCTTTCCCCTCCACTAAACTCAGCTCCGTCCCTTTTCCCCTCCATCCTCACAGGTGTAAACTCAGCTCCGCCCCTTTTCCCCTCCATCCTCACAGGTGTAAACTCAGCTCCGCCCCTTTTCCCCTCCATCCTCACAGGTGTAAACTCAGCTCCGCCCCTTTTCCCTCCATCCTCACTCAGCTCCGCCCCTTTTCCCTTCATCCTCACAGGTGTAAACTCAGCTCCGCCCCTTTTCCCCTCCATCCTCACAGGTGTAAACTCAGCTCCGCCCCTTTTCCCCTCCATCCTCACAGGTCTAATCTCCTTCACCTGCTGAGCTGCACACCTGTGAGTGATTACCTGAGGCCTGGTCGGTGTAAAAAGCTCAGCCTCTGCTCATCCCTCTGTCTGTTTTTAATGTAGTTCTGTGACAGAAGTGGCCTAGTTTGGCGCTTGGACTTGACACAATGGAGCTTTTGATACGGTAAGATCTGTTTGGTCGCTCGTGAATCTTACGAAGAATTCTGCTCGAAATTGTAGTGTTTTTAGCTACGGGGTGAGTGTATTTGGAGGAGATGCATGTGAAATGGAAAGTAATCTCAGTTGTAGTTTTAGTGTGACTTTGGAATAGTTGGTTTAGTTATTATGTTCTGGCATTTCTTAAACTGTAAATTAATCTAAACTCCTTTTTATTTAGGTGGGTGTTCTGTTTGGTTGCAGTCGCAGCACACTGGGCAAATGGTAAGTAGGCTGATTTTTAAAGTCAGTGATTTATCTGTTTTTAAGTGATATCTTTACTTAACAGTTCATTTTTGTAACCCATTAGCAGTAAGTTTTGGATTTGTTGGATTTGAAGACCCAAATAAGCCTCATGTTCCCAAACCAGGGATGGGGCTTCTGAAGCCTTGGCCTCCAAGACTGGTGGTGAACCAGGTAAGTGCACACAAACATGCAATAAAAATAAAGGTGCATTATATAACTCTTCTGGTGAATGGGCAGTCATCTTGTCTGCATAGATTATTGCATCGTCTGGAATGTTCCACAGTATTGACAAAGTATTAAGCTTTTAATTGATTAAAAAAAAAAAAAAAGGCTTAGAAAGTGAGTTTATACTTTACCCTGACTTACTTCTGCACAGACCTAATGTGCAAGTTGACCTGATGGTGTCAGCGTCTTGTCTCCATGGGGATGGAGAAGTTTAATGCCATATTGTGGAACGTTCCAGGCAAAGTAATCCTAATGCCTCCCTAATCAATGCAGGAATGGAGCTCAGAGTAATATTCTCCATATTGAGTGACTCCAACAAAGGTTAAATTGGCCACAACAACTTAAAATAACATGTGGACCCAATTTTTCCTCCAGAAGTGTCCATTCCAACATACTTCATAAGCTCTACTTTTTGCATGCCACAACTTGTTTACTTGCAAATTAGCAATAAATTTACAATTATCTTGTCTGCAAGGTTAATTAATAACCCAGATTTTTGTCTTTTATAGCCGCAGGTGAGACCACCAGGCCTAGTATTCATGCCTCCACCAACTTTAGCAACCCCAAGACCACCCGTGTTTGCAGTTGTAAAGCCCCAGAAACCCGCTGTCCGCCCCACTGACTACCCCCCTTTCCACCCCCCTCCTTATACCATTTACAGGCCGTGGAGGGTGCCTGCAAACACCCAAACGCAGTCGGGGCAATCCCAAAACCTGCCCCAAAAACAACCGACCCAACTGCCCCAACAAACTCCACCTCAAGTTCCCGCAAAGGTTCCTGGACAATACGGTGCTTACTGGGTCCAAGTACCGAGCTATTTAAACTTGGGTCAACAGAAGCCTCAGGTATTTGAACCCACTGTGGCTCCTCCGGCAACAAAATCACCAAACTACCCATTTCCACAAGCTCCTGGTAATTCGTATCAAAATCTATTCATGCGACTATTGTCCAAACCTACTGCGTTACCAGGCAATGTGGTAAAACCAAGAAAAGATGTTACAGAAAAGCCCACTCAGGTACCAGTTAAAGTATATGTGGGGCAACCAATGAATCCACCACCTAAAACACAAATGGGAGGAGGATTTGTCAACTATGGGCAACCAATGAATCCACCACCTAAAACACAAATGGGAGGAGGATTTGTCAACTATGGGAAACCACAGCAAGTCCCAGAACCACCTCAAGACGTAAGGGGACCACCGCTGTCTGACTTTCCAGCTTATCCACAGTATCCTCCATATAAGTTTGTTCCGCATGTGCCAGGATACTACATCTATCCTCTGTACCCTGATAATCATCACAATCCTCCTCCTCCTCCTTATCATCCTCTTCCCCCTCATCATCCTCTTCCCCCTTTTCCCCTGCCAGCAGAAAAACCAGCATATTCAATAAAGGGACCTCCCATCTTGCAGAAGGAAGAGAAGCCCAGCTTTCAGTGGTCCCCTGAAGGGCACTGGATTCCAGTTTTTTCAAGTGAATAATCCACAAACAAATCTTAAGTCACTTTATAATTTGGGTTTCACAAGACTACACCTGGCAGGTCCAAGTGCCAATGTACCTGTCACTTTGGCCACATGTCAAGCCATCGTGCCACTCAGCAAGATGACTTTTAAGGTAAGATTAAAAACTATTTGGACAAAATATTTTTAAAAATTGTTTGCTAACTTATGTTTTCTCTTTCAGGAACTACAGTTTGCGTTTTCACAATCAAGAATTTTACAAATAAAAAAACACAGCATTTTACTTGACATGTGTGGTGTAGTATATTAATGATGGCACAGTGTTTTTAATACTCCCTCCACTTAAAACCATACCTCCTTCACATTGTAATATAAAAAACATTTGTAACCTCTGCATCAACCTGGTGTTTCCCAAGTAATAAAGCATTGGATTTATATGGCAACTTTCAAGACTACAGTGCATTATTCACTCCACACTCTTGTAACATTGGCCACTCTGCACAACTACAAGAGACTTTGCAGAGTTTGAAAGTGTCCTACAGTGACTTTGAGAATATTACTAAAAGTGTAGATGTTTTGCAGTGCCAGAGAAATGTTTGTAAACTGGTGTGTTCCTGTCATTATTTGGCTCTACCATGAATTTGAATAATCAGATCATTGAAGTTCTAAAGCAGGGATGCCAAAATTAAAAACAAAGTCATGGGCCAAACTATTGAAAAATGTCAATATTTGCATGTTTTTTCTCTTGAGATATGTAATGTTAAACCTTTTCCTATTAAAATGATTAGTCCAGAACAATAATACATTTTTAAAAAATGTTTCTCTAGCCTATCTAGTTTTTTTTTTACTTCTTTTAAATGTTTTTTTTCCACAAGCCAACAACCAGTCAAAAACAACAGCATTCTTCAATGAAAATCCAATTTTTCAACTATGAACAGTCAAAAATCATAAAACATTCATCCAAGCTCAGTTTGCTAGACTATGATTTACTCTGATACACATGGGTCCAAAGCAGAAACAAATACTCGGCATCTCTTAGATACAAGTTCATCAAAGTAGTAGTAGTAGTAGTCGTAGTATTAGTGGTGCATGAGCTACACTGGTGTTGCAGATGGCGGGCAGGTCTAATACATATTTGATTTGAGCTCACGGACCAAATATAATTATATTTTGGCCCAAATTTGGGGTGAGTCTGACATGTCTGCTCTAGTGTGTCCTGTGAGGCACTCTGTCAGATTCACCTCTTAAGTTGTGGAGACACTGGCCATCTAGATATATTATTTACTTACTATGAACCATATACGTGTTATTAATAGACTGAATTGAAGTTGACCTCACACTCACGCTCATACCCGACAATGTGGGTGAAGTTTCTTGCCTCTAGCGCCCCCCGTGTCACCTATTTTCCCAGTGGTCTCCCATCCAAGGACTAACCAGGCCAATGTTGCTTAAACTTGCCTGTGCTTTTAAATATCTTATTTATGTCTACTGTGCATGCCCTTATCCTTGTGACAACACTTGTATTTCAACCTGGATGCAAAGAAACAAAATACTCTCCGATTTCAATGATAAACACGTTATTTGGACAATACAATACAATTTTCATTGCTGGTTTCTTTAATATTGGTGTGGTCTTAATACTTGATTTTTCAGCATATATTTTCGTAATGAATACCTGCTCAAATTACAGTTTATTTGCAGTATTTAACTTGTTTCAGCCGAATTGCCAAGTGCTAAAGTCAATAATTTAGCTCATTTGAAAGGAGTGACATGGACTTTTTGACCGCTTTTTACCTTATCTCAGTACGTTTTTACATTACAGGCTCGCTCGTCTTCACTACATGTTACTCCGTTTAAGCTTTTGCAAATGAAACACGCTTACTGGTTTGTTCTGTGGCAAAAAATCTAACATTTATTCAGCGTTGTCACGATAAAACAAGCTTAAATTAAAAGTCATTTGGTCCCTTTAGACAACATGAGATCTTCTACTGGCTTCATAATAACAAACGTTGACATTAAAAGTAGTATATTTGTTCAAATGCTCTGTTGTCCCCAGTGTAGATGGGACTGTGATGATAGATTAATAACTTTCTTGCCGCTTCTTCGCTTTCAAATGAGTGCAAGCTTTTCCTGGCTGCAAAGAAAAGAAAGGAAATTGTTAATTTAAAGGTGCATTGTGTAACTTTGCTGGTGGAGGATCCGTCAAATGCTCCATTGAGATGTTTTTGCTTTGTCTGGAATGTTTCACAGTATTGTATTAAACCTTTCTATGTTCATGAGACCAAAGCAGACCAAGTTACAGGCAGTGTTTGGAAGGTGACTTTTAAATTGTATTCCCCTACAGATTACAGATTAAATACTCCAAAATGTAGTTTGTAACGTAATCCATTAAATTACTTAAAGTGAGTAATGTAATCTGATTACTTTGGATTACTTGATTTACTGTAGAGCAGCAAAGACGAGGAAATCGTAACATAAGATGTTTTGTCTGCTAAAAGAAAATAAAAAAGACCAGTCTTTCCTTAACCATATTACAAATATTATTGATAGAAGAGGAGGAGACACAGTCCGTGCAGCATGATTTAGTCCTGTTAAATCCTGTTTTAGACCTGGTTTTAATCCTGGTTTAGTCCTGGTTTAGTTCTGGTTTAGTCCCAGTTTAGACCTGGTTTTAGTCCCAGTTTAGTCCTGGTTTAGTCCTGGTTTAGACCTGGTTTAGTCTTGGTTTAGACCTCGTTTAGGCCTGTCTTAGACCTGGTTTAGACCTGGTTTAGACCTGGGTTTAGACCTGGTTTAGACCTGGTTTATTCTTGGTTTAGTCTTGGTTTAGACCTAGTTTAGACCTGGTTTAGACCTGGTTTAGTCCTGGTTTACTCTCGGTTTAGACCTGGTTTAGACCTGGTTTTAGTCCGGGTTTACTCCTGGTTTAGTCCTGGTTTAGACCTGGTTTAGTGTCCGGCAATGAGTGGAATTACTGGGGGGAAAAAAAAAAAAGGGATATAGCCCGAAATGTGAAAACAGGAAAATACCGCTGTGTAATCCATTTATTTCAACAAAGTAACTGTAATCTAATTACCACTCATGGAAACAGTAACTGTAACTGAATACAGTTACTCATAATTTGTACTCTGAATACGTAACTCCAGTACATGTAATCTGTTACTCCCCAACACTGGTTACAGGTCAGATACTGTGGAATATTCTAGGCAGAGCAATAAAGTATCCATAGAAACAAGCAGGTGACGGACCCCCAACCAAAACAGTTACACAGTGCACCTCTACGCTGGTTGCAAATTAACTGACCGTATACAGATTTGTGATACTGTACCTTCATTGACAAAGAAGTGAGCGAAGTAAAACGTGGCTCTGACGGCGTTGGAGGTGTGGACATAATACGGTCTGGTCCATTCAAACGGATTCTTCTCCGGATGCCACTGGACGCCATAAATTGGATAATCATATGCTGGAAAAAAGTATCAATAGTTGAGCTTTTCCTGAATAGTTTTAAAATTAATCGTAAGCTTTATGAGACCTTCTATAATACCACATGATAATTTTAACATTTTGCCTTGAAAATGACATTCTTTTATCTAAAATTATGTGTATTGTGTGTATTTAGTATCAACTTATTCAATTTATTTTGAGATTTCAGTTTAGTACAAAGACATCTAAGAAAAGGGAATGCCCCAACAGTTAAACAGTTAAACTATATCCCAAAAACATTAAATTAGTCAAGATAATTATGCTGTATTAATTCAAAGATGCATTTTTTACCTTCCCATGTGGAGATGAACTCTATTTTCCCATCTGTATTTGTGGACAGCACTTTGTAAAACTTCCTCAGATCGTCATTGGTGTTGTAAGTCTGCACAAAAAGAGTTTAGTATAGTTTCTGTTTACGCCACAGTTTATTTTAATGAAAGTTTTTGCTTATGAGTCATAAAAGTCTACATAAAAATACAGATATTTACAATTTTCTTTTAAAGGTCCTATCTTACATAAACTCTTGTGAGCTTTAAATCATGATATAATGCTGTTACGTCCTCAAAAACAGACCTGGAGTTGTGTTTTGTTTCATTGACATATTTGATTAATCCTTTATCAGTCTGTCTACACCTCCAAAGCTCAAAATGCTCTGTACCACCTTGTGATGTCACACAGTAGTAGTTTTCAAGTTAACAGCTCCTTTTACCTTTAGTTCAATAGATTTTGGCCATTCCAGGGTTGAAATTATACAAATGATTCTAGTGAAGGTGTGTGGAGTTTAAAGTTTTAACAACTTTGTGTGTTAAACATGTGTGAATGAAACAAAATACAACTCCAGGTTTGTTTGTGATGAGGAAACAACATTATAACACTGATCAGAAAACAGGACCAATTTGCAGTTTGAAATTGTTAAAGATTATCGACTAATGGGACTTGAATACAACTGATTTGAGATTTGCAGTAAGACTTATCGCTGCGATTATTGCGATTACAATAGCGTTTACCTCCACTGATACACTCCACATGTGTGAGTTTTCGGTCAGGTCCTCTGTTGCCAGCATCTGCATCACTTCCGCTGGGAAATCCTTAAACATGCGGCTCCCACTGGCTTCTGCAAAAAAGAAAGAATCAAACCAAATATCAGTAGTGTATGGGACAAAAATCTAAACTAATTGATACTGTATATATAATAATTTGCTATTTGTTGCATTACTAAAAAGATTGAGAAAGATTTGAAAAGATTTGTGTTTGTAGTTTGTACTTTTAGACTTTTCAAACCAAAACCAAGACCAAACCTGAAATCTGAGCTCTTAAACTAATACAATAATCACACGTAGGACAGGTTTTCACAGTCCAAACAACAGGATTACCAGGTTCATAATAAGACAAGAATGAAGTATTTTGTTTGTTTGACTACTGCCACTTTAGCAGTTTGTTGATCACAGCATTTGCAACTTCAGTTTTGATTAAAACGCCCCTATTACGCTATTTTCTGATCTATGTTATGTTTTTCCTCATCAAAAACAGACCTGGAGTTGTGTTTTGTTTCATTCACACATGTTTAATGCACAAATCCTGCTTATTTAGACTGAGTTTTTCTCTCAAACTGAAAACATTCCTCCTTGATTAATACAGGAATTGTGTTTTTAAACTCAATGCAGAATCATTTGGATAATTTCAGCCCTGGAATTTCAAATCTCTACTGACCTAAAGGTAAAAGGAGCTGTTAACTTGAAAGGTCTCAAGGTCAAACAGAGCTGTAGACAGACTAATAATCAAGGGTTACTGAAACAAAACACAGCTCCTGACGTGTTTTTGAGGAGGTAACATTATAACATGGTTTAAAGAGTAAATTTTGTGTAACAGGACCTTTAAATACAATGTTTTTGGGGGTAGTTATTGAAGACTATATCAAGAAATAAAGTATCGTGAGTGTACTGCATGCATATATTAAATACTACAATTATATATTTGTTTGAATAGCTAATGCTTAACCAGTGAAATCTGATATATGTGTTTAAAGATACTGCTGTATAGGTTGTGTTTTTTTAAGGAAATTCTGTACAGAGCAGCTGACGAGGGGACATCTTGGCTGGCACCAAACCTAAATAGATCTGGTCATTCCCATAAACGGAGAGGCTTCAGGGAGGATCCAAAGCGTGAACCTGATCAACATATCATTTGCATATTTCTGTGGATGCATATTTATGGTTTAAGGGACAGACAAAGGTGTTCAGACTGCCTGAAGTAAGACCTGTGCAGATATGGGCCAACAGGGACAGTGGTTTGACCCAGAGCTCTGTATTAGAATTGTATTGTATAGGGAATAAACTAGTGTGATTTCAATCGATCGATTCCAGTCATAATTTTTCCACGGAACACGCTAACATTATGTAGACAACACCCTCCCTACTAGGGATGGGCATTCGATGAAATTTTCTTAATCGATCGTCGGAAGAATTAACGATCGATTATCGATTAATCATTAACGTTTTTATATTAAAATGATCATCATTATTATTACTATCTGCACTACTAATCTGCATAAATAAACTCAACTTTACGACATATAAACCGTAACGACTCTAGAGCCACATCAGCCATTTGCGATTATAATGTGTTTAATTCAGTTTTGCTCAACTCTCACTGAAACGAAACTTAAAACCGCATCGCTAATTTGCATAAACTAAGCAAAGATAAAACTACAGCTCTTGTGATTTGATGTGGTTCAATTTCTGTCAGATTAAAAGACATGACTCAGTGGAATACAGGTTAGTGTGACCAGATTTGCGTTTGTCAAAACCAGGACACCGTACGGGGGGAGGGAGGTGGGACCTCGACATCGACACTGCGCTACTCTCACCCGACAAAACTTTTTCCCACTATACACTGTGCACATGGACTCACACTTGTCCCGAACGCAACGGAAAGTGTGGAATTTCTTGTACAAATCATCGTTAAATACACATTTGTGCTTCAGTACGTTGCAGACTGACCGACTGTTTGTGTCTCGCTCCTTCTGAGTGCAGAGACACATGTACAGACCCCTGTTTAGTCACGCTACGCACAGCAACCTACATTCGGTTTCGGTTAAAATGAACGTAATCGATGAAATTCTTAATGATTAATTATCAATTAATCGACTAATTAGTCATGCACATCCCTACTCCCTACACTCCACAACTGAACAAAGCCCAGAGTCACTGTGAACGCGCCAAACAAAGTCTCACTAACCCATCCAACTGTTGTGTTTCGTTTAAAGTCTGGTGCAGTTTATTTGTGAAAAAACGTTTCGAACGTTAGACCATTTAATGACAGTGCGCCTTATAATCCAGAGCGACTAATAGTGCTGAAAATACGGTAAACGTAGCCCGAATGACATTTTTTATAAGGCAACCTCACTTTTTCATTGCTTAGTTGTAACATAAACTCTTACAAATCTGACCAGCTCGTCTAAACAATGCTATTTACTGCTTTTTTTTTTTTTTTAAATAAAGAAATACAATTAATATTATGCAGAATTGCGTTAAGCATTTTGGCTCAGCGCTCCACAATATTTTCTGTTTCTCATGTGGCCTCATGGAAAAAATAATTGCCCAACATTGATGTAAAGTATCAATTCTTAACAAAAAAGTGAATTGGACATAAATAAATGGTTTCTGTCATTACCATTCGTGAAGTTGAGCGGGAGAGACACATTGGTCGTATCCGTGTTCACCAGTATGGGTTTCTGCGCGGTCAGATAGGCCAGCTGCTCAAAGCCCAGACAAGTGCCCCAGATCGGGAAGTAGTCTCCTCTCTTGTTGGCCTGGAACAACACAATACAATAATTTTAAAACAAAGCTGTGTTGACAAACCATTTTGAACAACGAAGAAAACAGGAAACGTGTCTTTACCTCAATAGCAAAGTTGTAAAATATCTTAGCAGCTCTGGCGTAACCCGAGGTGACGATGCTAACACCTCCTCCTGGCAAGAGAAGCCTAAAAAAGTAAACGAATAGAATTTAAAAAGGGGTATTACACTTTTGTGGGGGTATAATTGCTAACACATAACATATTTAGATCATCATGTTACCTTTTATTGTATTGAAAAGGCTGTAATTGACAAAACAATGTAATAAGTTGTTTAATTTGTTTCAGTTTTTGCTTATGGGCTGAGTATTGGAAAGATGATTGACATAATTATAAAACTTCTTCAGGCATGTTTTTGATGAGGAGACAATGGTCTAACATGGTAGAAAGCTCCAAAAAGTTAACTGTGCTGAATACACCTTCTTTAACTTTAAAATCTCAGCTCTTGTTGACATGTTTTGCATGTTTATTCTAATAAATATATCCAATATTCAAAAATAGGGCTGGGTATCATTAAGAAGCTGCCGATACCATACATACACTTCAATAAAAAAAAAAGTGACGCTAACGACTTCTTGTGCAAAGTTCATATGAAACACAAACATTTAAATCATCAAAACAGTGAAAATGTCAAATGTGTCGCATAAACAAGCAACAAAAGTGTAGCACAGTAACAAAATAATTTAGTAAAATATACCAAAAAATACTCTTGCCTGATATATGGATACAGCAGCCCACGATACTGATACTGTATCATCACATTAAACGATACGATACATCGATATTTCAATATCTTTGCACACCCCTATTCAAAACACAATCACAGTATTCTGATATGGTGTGCGAAATTTGCTATGAAGTTGGAAAATTTTACCACACTTATGATGCACTATGTAACTTTATGGGCGTACGGTACGTCTCCATGGAGATGTTATTGCTTTGCCTATAATTTTCCCACAATAGGGCATTAAACTTATCTATTTCCATAGAGACAATCAGGTGACGCCACTAAAGCATTGGGTTTGGAATTATAAGTACTTTTTACTTCTGCCTAAACCCTTTCGGTCATGATCCATGGGGTTGTAGTCTGTGTTTTGTTTTGTAGTGGTGCAAAATGATCGAATAAAAAAACGACTAATACTAAAAAAGCCATGTTAAAGATTTGTGAATCCGCTAACACGCTCACAGTACGAAAGCATTTTTCATTTTGTAATTTTTATCAATTGGTGATGATATCTTATCCTTCGACGTCTCAAGTTTCAATCATCAATATCCCTGCAACTGAATAAATACAAGCTATATATGTTTAATGCCATACTGTGTAACATTCCAGTCAATGCAGTAACATCACTGGATACTGTGGGTAAAATCCCTCAGTTCAATGTGTCAACTGGACAAAGGTTTATTTAGGTCACATGAGGTACAGGTCCGGTATTCAGTTGTACAGGTCATGTGAGGTACAGATCTTAGCCAGAGAAAATAATTGGTTTGAGAGGGGAGTCAAAGAGGCTATTTTTGTTAGGAAAGACAACCCTTCTTTGAACAGACATGGAGGCCTCAGACACCATCTTTCTCCCATCTACAACTCCATCCTCAAACCTAAAACAAAGAGAACAATGGGGGGAGCCAGGTCAGGGCCAAAGGTGTGAAAACCCTCATTGTGGCCCTGAATGATTCTGCTAATATGTCCCCACACTCAGTACAGATGAATAGGCCAGGCTAATAAACAGAAACTGTAAACAAGTAGAGTGTTAGTTTCAGAGTAGTTTCAGTGTAGTTAGCTCCTCCCTGCAGGCAGATATAAAGAAGTGTTCACCAGCGTCTGACCAGAACTGAAGGAGCAGCTTGGATGAGTTGCGAAACGTTTTTGACCTAAATAAACATTTGTCCAGTTAACAAATTGAATTTCTCCTTTGCCATAATTGGATACTGAAAAGGTACAAAAATAGCATCCCAAATTAGATGGCCTACATATAATACATATAATGTGATAAAGTGATCATGCTATACTGTGGAAAATTTTAGGCAAATAACATCTCCATAGAAAAAAACACATGGGTAATAAAGCTAATAAAGTTGCAAATAGTGCTTCTTTAAAGACGCATTGTTTCATTTTTCTGGTGGAGGGTCCATCAAATGCTTTTCTTTACAGAGATGTTATTGCTTTGTCTTAAATGTTTCACAGTATGGCATTAAAGCTTTCTATCTTCATGGAGAACAAACCAGACCAAGTTACAGGTCAGATCTGTGAAGAGGCGACCCCACACAGTCAGAATGCCTGTTTTTCTAGGTATTTATGAGCAGTAAAACCACTTGTATAATACATATAAGTTAGAGTTGTTTTACTTCAACATTGCAGGCAATGTTACAAGGCCAGGCCATAAAAACAAGAAAGTGACGGGACCCTCAACCAAAAAGTTACACAATGCACCTTTCAGCTCTTCACTTACCCGTTGATAGAGTTGAACAGTTCTTTGTATTCCTCTTCGGTTTGGTTGATCCTGAGAAATACAGCGTACAAAACAGTTACACATTTACACAGCAACATATGGAGGAGGAGATAAAGTCAAAATCTTTTCTCACATGACGGGAACGACCCTTGCTCCGGCCGACTCCACAAATTTGACGTACGAGGCTGCGATGTAGGACTCAGCTTTGGGCTCGGAGTCATAGCTACTGACCTCTTGGGAAAGGATGCCTGTAAAACACAAGTCAGGATAATGCTATGTAAGGTTAAAGTTGCGCTGTGTAACTTTTTGGTCGGGGGTCTGTCACTGTCACTGCTCTACATTACATTTATTCAATTACAGGTGGTTTTATTGCGCAAAAATACCTAGAAAAACAGATATTCTGACTGTAAGCAGGGTCACCTTTCCACAGATCTGACCTGTAACTTTCTAATTTGGTATCCGTGAAGACAGAAAACACATTTGATGGATCCTCCACCAGAAAAGTACACAATGCATTTTAACGCTTAAATGTGCGGCTGGAATATATCACATCATTTCACATAAAACCTGCGAATCTGTAATTTAGAAATGTACAAATTTTAAAATTTTGAATCAATGTCAGGGTCCCATAACTTTTCTATTTTTTCTCACTAATTATGTGTAGTTTAAATCCTGAATTGCGTAATCCAGTACCGCCGTGTATTATATAGATTTTAGAAAAGTAAATAAGGATGTGACGATATCCAAATCTCACGGTACGATATTTATTGCAATATTTTGAAGAGGTTGATATAATTGTAGATGGGACACTTTTTTACTTTTAAAATACCTTGACAAGATTTTGGTGTGGATTATTTCTGTCATAATCCCAAAAATTCAAGTAAAAAAACATATTTCTTCATGTTTGTGCTGAAATGAATCATGGGATATGTAGTTCCCGATGTTTATAAATTGTTGCTATTATAAAACCATGCACTTAAAGCAAAGGAACTTGTAATTCGATATATTGTGACAGCCCACGATAATATTGTGAGACTTCTGACAATACGATATTACGATATTTCGATTATTGTTACATCCCTAAAAGTAACTGAATAATGTCAAATGACAAAATTAACTGTTGCTTCCAGTGGTGGGATAAGGTAATGAAGTACAAAAGTAAAAGCACAAAACTTTACTTTTGTTTAGGTATCTGTACATTTACTTAAATACATTTTACAGTGGAGACTTTTTACTTTTACTTCATTACAGCTGAGAATGTGTACCTGTACTTTCTGCTCCACTACTTTTTAGATTAGATTTTGGATTGAAAAGTAAAAAGCACTTTTCTTCATGGTGTGAGACCTGCTGAAATGGCTGACACATTATTATTATTTTTTTTAGCACATTTAATTTAAGTTAACGTCCCAACTTTGAGTGTAAAATCCCTCGGTCATCCAGGTAGAATCCACGGCAAAAGGATAAATTCAATTTGTCAACTGGACAAAAGGACAGAGCTACACAGAATTTAAGAAGCAGCGAAACCTGTTTGACCAAATAAACTTTAGTCCAGTTGACAAATTGAATTTATCCTTTTGCTGTGCCAACTGTGAGCAAACCAGATACACAAAAACAGCTATAAAAATTAAGAAATCAGTTGAATCACGTAAAATCAGCCAAATTATTTATCAAAAACACTACATTTCATCCTTAAATTGTTCTAAAAGTGCTTTATTTTGGCTCTTTAAGTTTTCAGCAGGTACTTTAATACTTTTACTGAAGTAGATTTTTTCATATGATACTTTTACTTTTACTGGAATAACTTTTTGCCTTTGTACCTGTACTTTTACTCAAGTAACAAAATTGACTACTTTATCCACCTCTACTTCCCAACACTGCCTATAACTAAACACATTTTAACTAAACATATTTCCACATCACTGCAGCTCACACACAGTATTAGTATTAGTACTATTTGAGTTCTTGTTGAGTTCTTTGAAAGGAAGGAGATTGGAAAATGATATGAGCTTAGTAGGTCCTAAATCACTTCTGGTATTTGTTTATGCAGATCCAACTCGTAAACATTTGAGCAACAGTAGGTAAACTCACGCAGCCTAATCACCGTGACTCGTGATTTTTTGCAAGTCAACGCACTCTCCCCGTGGTCACAGCAGAGGCAACGCTGACACAAAACGTACACATAAGCGGGATTTTGCAGCTTAAAACAATGAATCAACCAAATAAATCTTACCGATGATTGGCCTGGCACTGCCGCTGGACGTGGAGAGGTTTGGTAAAGGTAAAAGTGTGAGCAGAGCGCAGCAGAGGAGCGGAGCGCGCATGTTGACGCGTCGCCGTGAAAGACTCGACTGTACGACAACTCTGCCCACAAGCCACGAGCGCTCCTGTGTCACGTGACCCAGCGCAGGTCTTATCTCTGACACCACAGGCCCGCCCACTTTTACTGTACTTCAATAAGACAAGGTTTCTGTTCACGTTCTGTCCTTGGATTTCATTAAAATGCAGCCAATCTATTATTTTAGTATTAAAGCTCATCTATTACACAAAATAATAGATTCTCGTGTGCTTTAAACCATGTTATAATGTTGCTGCCTCCTCAAAAAGTTGTATAGAGTGACCAGACGTCCCTATTTACCCGGGACAGTCCCAGTTTTGAGCCCTGTGCCCCTGTCCCAGCAACTATACTTTACACAGTGTAATTCGTTTATTTTTAAAAAATGTGTTTCATATCTTATTCTAACCTTTTCTCTGTTTCAGTGTGAAGAGTGTGGTAAACTGTTCCTGTGTCCAGACTGCAGACTTCAGAGCTCCTCAACAAATGTGTTTTTTGTCTCCTCAAATCTCCTCCAAGCTTGTATATATTGTACAACAAACTGTTGGTGCTGTTGCTTTATGTCACATGACATACAGTTTGTTCTCTCAAAATATGTCAGATATCATATCAGCCAAAATCATCTCAAGTCTATATGAGACTCACACTCTTATGTGAAGATCATTTAGGTTGACAAGCAGCATTTAAGTATTTTCTATTTGCACGATTAAAGAACTGCAGCAATAGCCTCATGTTTAACAGACAGCTGAGGGATTTTTCACTGAAAATGAAGGTGCTGCATCCAAACATGGATCCTCTGATCATAAAACAGCCTGTGTCCTGATGCAGGCTTAAGTCTGAAGTTTCTGTGCTGTTCATAGACTGTATACATAAATATTGTTCTTTCTGTTCTGTGTGAAGCACACACTTTATTCTAATGTCTGTGAGAAGTTCACAGAAACACAGACACTGTCAGGAAAATTAAACCTATGAAATTTATAAAGGTTTATATTATTGAGCTGAGGCTTTATAAACCTCTAAAATGCACTGGCATGTGACAAACTGCACAGAGTCTCTGCAAAACTTTCCTGGAGAGAAGCTTATATGGATGGATAGATAGATAGATAGATAGATAGAGATAGATAGATAGATAGATAGATAGATAGATAGATAGATAGATAGATAGATAGATAGATAGATAGATAGATAGATAGATAGATAGATAGATAGATAGATAGATAGATAGATAGATAGATAGATAGATAGATAGATAGATAGATAGATAGATAGATAGATAGATAGATAGATAGATATAGATAGATAGATAGATAGATAGATAAATAGATAGATAGATAGATAGATAGAAGATAGATAGATAGATAGATAGATAGATAGATATAGATAGATAGATAGATAGATAGATAGATAGATAGATAGATAGATAGATAGATAGATAGATAGATAGATAGATAGATAGATAGATAGATAGATAGATAGATAGATAGATAGATAGATAGATAGATAGATAGATAGATAGATAGATAGATAGATAGATAGATAGATAGATAGATAGATAGATAGATAGATAGATAGATAGATAGATAGATAGATAGATAGATAGATAGATAGATAGATAGATAGATAGATAGATAGATAGATAGATAGATAGATAGATAGATATAGATAGATAGATAAATAGATAGATAGATAGATAGATAGATAGATAGATAGATAGATAGATAGATAGATAGATAGATAGATAGATAGATAGATAGATAGATAGATAGATAGATAGATAGATAGATAGATAGATAGATAGATAGATAGATAGATAGATAGATAGAGAGATAGATAGATAGATAGATAGATAGATAGATAGATAGATAGATAGATAGATAGATAGATAGATAGATAGATAGATAGAGATAGATAGATAGATAGATAGATAGATAGATAGATAGATAGATAGATAGATAGATAGATAGATAGATAGATAGATAGATAGATAGATAGATAGATAGATAGATAGATAGATATAGATAGATAGATAGATAGATAGATAGATAGATAGATAGATAGATAGATAGATAGATAGATAGATAGATAGATAGATAGATAGAGAGATAGATAGATAGATAGATAGATAGATAGATAAATAGATAGAGAGATAGATAGATAGATATAGATAGATAGATAGATAGATAGATAGATAGATAGATAGATAGATAGATAGATAGATAGATAGATAGATAGATAGATAGATAGATAGATAGATAGATAGATAGATAGATAGATAGAGATAGATAGATAGATAGAGATAGATAGATAGATAGATAGATAGATAGATAGAGAGATAGATAGATAAATAGATAGAGAGATAGATAGCAGTGTTTCCCACAGAAAAATGTCAAAGCGGTGCTGCCGAAAAACTGAGGAGGATGAGTGAGGATTCACTGCACGGAGAAGAAGTGAGGAGCGGGGTGCGCGGAGTTTCTGTGCGACGAACTTAGTTTTGCGAAGATTCACTCAGTTCGGAGGGACGTCCTCAAGGCGGGGGACAGTTGTTAACAAGGCGGCCGGTTTAACTCTAAAGCGGGAAACACTGGACAGACAGATACCGTGGGATAGTTGTCATGGTGATTCCCGCCAGGGGACCAGGGCGTGGTCACGTGGGCACAGAGGCATGCTGGGTTCTTTTAAAAATGGCGCTCACCTGCACAGGTGAGGTACATGTCTCCAGATGACCAGGCCCCGGGGAGTCGAGCCAACTCGTTTTCTTTGTCGACAGCTTCACGTAAGTCACTTTTGATGTCACTTCAAACGCTGCTTCATGTCAGAGGAAACTCCTCTCACGACAGCGCGCTGTTTTTAGCAACAAAGAAAGAAAAGGCGGTGAGGAGCCATCGGAGCAGGACCCGCGCAATTCAGGAAAACGCGCCAAAACTGCAGCGACCCGGATCATCATCAGGACGACAAACAGCACGGAGGAGTCCAGGTAAGTCTTACGAGTCCAGGTGAGTTTTGTTGGTGGATACGGAATCATTATTGCAATTAAATATAAAATGTGTTTGTTTGGAAATGTTGGGTGAATGAAGCTGCTGCATATTTACTCCGCGCTCTGATTCGTTTATGCAATGTGCAAAGTGGATTGATATAAATTAGGGCTGGGCACGTTAACGCGTTAACTTTGCATTAACTAATTAAGTCTTAAACGCCGTTAACGCAGTTTTTATTATTTATTTATTTATTTATTTTATTCTAAACGTCTGTTTCTCACTGGCTTTTATTTTGAAAAAGTCCACCGCGAGCGTTTCTTTAAGTTTGACGTCTTTTCTTGACACTTTTTTCACTTTTTTCTGACCACGTGAGATGCAACGACGGCCGCGGCTCCGGCCGCAGGCTCCGACTCCCGTCGCGGCTCTGGCCGCGAGTTCGGCCGCGGCTCCGGCTCTGAGCTGAGCTTATTTCCTAAGTTCAGTGCTGGAGTAACTGATTTACCCAGATACCATTGGAAGAAAAAATGTGATTGGTCCATTTCCATTCCATTATATTAACCCTTTGTTTCCTAAGAAATATCAGTCCAAGTTTATAACACTGAACTAGAAATTATTACTAGTGTAGTGTTCATTACTCACATATATTAGTAGTACAAACGTCCATTCAGTATTTTTTTTTGAGCCTTCCCTGAATAACTTGAAGGCTCTGAGGTTCCCCTGTGAAAAAAATGCTGTTTGCACAACAAATGTTGTTCATTTACATTTCCAATAAAAGAGCACTATACTCTACTTTTTAATTCATTAATTGGTTTTGCGTATAACATGCGATAAAAATGTTTTATTTTTGCCCAGCCCTAATATAAATAAAGCTTTGATGTGATGAGTTTCACATCATAATAATGCTTTGACTCTGTGTATGTGTTTTAAATGATGGCTCACTGAAAAAGGTGGATTATAAAAGAAAACATGAAGGTGCGGCCTTCAGGTGTGTCCTGAAACTGTCTGGTAAAAGGAAACTTAAAGAAAGGCCTTTAAAAAAAGTACAAAAGGAAACTTATGAAACAAAACCAACACGTGTCTCAAATAAAATCTCTCGGTATTTTGTTGTGTGAAAATGTCATTTATCACAAAGGGTGAAACCGGGGGGAAAAATGTGTTTTTCAAATGTAAAAACTTGCAATGAAAAGTTTTAAACATGTCCACCAAGCTTGGGACAATGAACTGGAACACAATGACTCAGAATGATATGAAATGAATGGAACATTTGTGGGAATCAAATGATCACTTTCCAAACAGGAATGATATAAGGATGGTACAGGACCTGCCGCAAAATACTCAAACATGCAAATTTAAACAAGTGCAATACAAAAAGTGGAAAAGTGCATCAAATGTTTCAAATTGGATGAAAACCTACTTGGAAAATAAAAATCTCTCATCTATCCTGGAAATTTAAAACCATACGAAATGCATCCAACTGTACAATGGACATGATGTAACCCTCAAACCCTAAAACATCTATTCTTTCCTTTTATTCTTTTCGTTGTGTCATCTCAAAACAAGATGTGAATGCTGAGGATTTTAATGGCTCAGATTTGGGCCTAAACTGGTCCAAATGTGTCATATTCTACACACTTTTATGGAGACTGTGTGGTTTCTCGTGGGTTGATCTGGTCTAAATGTGGACTAGATTTTAATGTTTAATTTCCACAGGTGGCACTTGGTTTTGGGTCCTTCTATTGCGTTTGGGGTGGTTGGTAATAATAAAACTGAAACAAGTGCGCAATTAAGGAAAATTGTTATGCACTCAGAGCACGTCGCTGGAAGAGTTTTGGGTTGAACGTCCGTCAGCTTTCCCTCAAAGGCCCAAAGGTAAATATAAAACTGTACGCTAGTATTTTGTCAAGTTGTTTCTAACTTTTCCTTTGTGTTTGCAGGTTTGGGTGGTGTTCTTTAACCCTTCTACAGGTGTCAGTTTATTATTATTATTTATATTATTATCATTGTTCAATAGTTCATAGTTAATCTAAGCTAAATCTACTTCATGTCTTGCAACTGTGAGACATGAAAATCATCTGCGACAACTGTAGCAGATGTTAGTTTATTTTATTTGAAAACAGCTAAAGCTAAAACATATCTGCCATATGTTACTGACTAACCCTGGAGTTTTCAGGTTTTAGGTTGGTGTCTAACCCTTTTACAGCAGCTCTGTGATATCTACTACTGCTATAGAAGCTAAAGAGTGCTTCTGACCAGTGAAAATGAACCTTTGGCTCCATCTGAAGTTAAAAAGGACCCAAGAACTAAGAAGAAGAATGGAAAATCTTATATCAGAGGCTCTGCTCCAAAATATGGACTGAATGAAAGAATTGATCTGGAGCACCTTGCTGGAAGAGTTTACCTAAACTCTGTGTTGGGTTGGGCTGGGTTGGGCTTCAGGCTGCTGCCATACACCTGTGCAGGTTTTGCACACAAAGGAACCTTCTTGCTGTGAGTGAGTGCTTAGTCACTTATCTTGACTTGAGTTTTGGTCCGAGGGTTGAGGCCCTTGTGTTCTGTCACTTTTTTGTGGTCTGAATGTAATAGTTCTGACCCTTTGACCTTGGGTTTGTGACCCACATAATCTTACAGGGATCTTTCCGTGCTGCAGGTTTCACTGGTTTTATTGGTCTGTTCATGCAGACTTTAACTCAGGTAGGTGACTTTAACTCAGGTAGGTGACTTTAACTCAGGTAGGTGACTTTAACTCAGGTAGCTAATATTTCTGTGTGAATCATTTCAAAACAAGAATGTTACAGGCTTTAGTTTTGGGCCTAAACTGGTCCAAAAGTGGGCTATATTCTAAACGTTGGCTCACTTTTATGGAGACTGCTGGTCTCTCTTGGTCTTATCTGGTCTAAATGTGGAGTGGTCCAGATTAATTCTTTACACCATAATTTCCACAGGTTGCACTTGGGCTTGGGCCCTTGTGTGTTTTTGGTGTGTGCCTCGACTGGTCTAAACATGGGCCAGATTTAAACAGGCTGGTAAAACATGTTATGGTTGGGTGTAACTGATATTACTTATTGTAAACTAACCCTTCTGCAGTTTCATTTGGATTTAAAAAGATCTGAAAACTGACTTGATCTTTGGATTGTGTGTATGTTTTATATTTGGTTTGGTCTGAACTGGTCTAAACGTGGGCCAGATTTGGACTGGTTTATAGAGTCTGATGGCTCTGGTCCTAACCCTGACACTAAACTGAAAGTCTAGTAGTCGTGTCCTAATCCAACTCTTCCACAGGTTTGCACAGGGTCTGTTCGTTTGAAATACGTTGACATTTCTGTTTAAACATTTGTATTAACTTTACAGGGATAAAGGTTAAATCTCATTAATATTGTTGTGTGTGTTGTAAAATTGTTTTCAGGTTTGTCTTGTGAAATGACAGTTCTAACCCAAACTCTTCTGACTCTTCTCATTGCAGCTCTAAACTGTTTTACTAAACTTTTAAATGAGTCTTTACAGGTCCAGAGGCTGCTGCTGTTTACTGTGAGTATGTCTGCACGCACTTACTAACACACTAACTCTGTACAAACACGGGCGGTGGGTCTAATCCAGCCACAGGGGGCGCTGTATGTGTCGCTCTGTGCCAGTCCCCAGCCTGGATAAATGGAGAGGGTTGCTTCGGCGTAAAACCTGCCTCTTTTAGCCCGATCTTAAAGTGTGTATGGCAGGTTTTTCTTAATATTTTTAAATTATTTTACTTGTGGTGAGTATTTATCAAAGTTTTACATCAGTTTTGTGTTAGTTCCTGGGAAAAAAGTTGAAAAGAAAAGCACAAAAGAAAGGATGTAGTGGTTCTAAAAAGGAATATGTCTGTTATCAAAACTTGAAAATGCGGTTTTAATTGAACTATTGTGTAAGGTTTTTTTTTTTAGACACGCTCCATTTTTCGCAGTATGGTTGCTAGGGTAAAATTTGGCTCTGTTCAAAATGCTGCTGTACATCTGTAAATGTAAATCTGTAAATGTGTGTAGAACTTAGAAAGGAAAAAAAAAAACATGTCTCTCAAACAAAATTATGAAATGTGGGGAAATCTGAGCTATACTTTTGAACTTTTGACTGAGTTTTACAGAGAAAAACCTAAGAACCAAGGCGCCATCTGCTGGAGAAGTAATACAAGAACCAGATTTGGACCCATTCCAGAGAAAAGATACACACTGAAGTGCAAATTAAGTCAAAGCTCTAAAATATTAAAACAGGACCGAACAGAAGTGAAGAATCTCAAACACAAACTGCACCAACAGCCCCGGACTGAACACTAAAGAACAGAGAGAAAAAAATGAATAAAAAATGGACATAGAGGAAACCAAGCAACGAAAAATAGGATTCTAAAGTCCTTAATGCAAATAAACTTTTTTTTTTGTTCTCAAAAGTGAAATCTTACACCTCACTCATGTAATGTTGATGGAGCCCAAAGGAAGGAAAGACCAAAGAAAATGGAACTAAATGAAGAAACCCTCATCTTTTAAAAACACAATCATTTGGAATAATCTTGAGGTACAGTATATTTCAGTAAACCTTTTTGGGGAAACACTCACACACTCATCTTGACTTGAGTTTTGTCCAAGGGTTGAGGCCCTTTTTTGTGGTCTGAATGTAATAGCTCTGACTCTAACACTTCAACATAATCTTACACAGATCTGAACTGTAATATAACGCAGTGCTGTGACCAGTTTGTCTCCCTCATGATAAATAAGTTTAATCTACACTGTCGAACATTCTACACAAAGTAATAACGTTTCCATGGAGACAAGCAGGTGGCAGACTCTCCTCTAGAAAGGTTCAGTGTTGGGAAGGTGACTTTTAAAATGTATTCCCCTACACATTACAGATTACATACACCAAAATGTAGTTTGTAACGTAATCCATGAAATTACTTAAAGTGAGTAATGTAATCTGAATACTTTGGATTACTTGATTTGCTGTAAAGAAGCAAAGACGAGGAAACCTTCACATAAGAAGCTTCGTCTGCTAAAAGAAAATTAAAAAAAACAGACTTTACTTGACCAAATTAAAAATATTATTGATAGAAGACGAGGAGACACGGTCCACACAGCAGGGTTTAGTCCTGTTAAATCCAGTTAAATCCTGTTTTATTTCTGTTTTAGTCCTGTTTATAGTCCTGGTTTAGTCCTGGTTTTAGTCCTGGTTTAGATCTGGTTTAGTCCTGGTTTAGACCTGGTTTAGTGTCCGGCAATGAGTGGAATTACCGGAAAAAGAAAAAAAAAAAGGAATATTGCCCTAAATGTGAAAACAGGAAAATACTGCCGTGTAATCCATTTATTTCAACAAAGTAACTGTAATCCAATTACCACTCACTGAAACAGTAACTGTAACTGAATACAGTTACTCATAATTTGTACTCTGATTACGTAACTCCGGTACATGTAATCTGTTACTCCCCAACACTGGAAATGTTACACAATGTAACTTTAAGATAAGATTTGCTTTTTATTAGTTTGTGGTGTGAATGTAGCCATTATTTTAGTGTTAAGTTGTTTGTTAGTTTGTTCTTTAACCAAAACGTGACGCTTCTACATAAATGCATTTAAGTAACATTCCCATTCAAATAGTTTGTGCCTCCCTGCACAATGACCCTGATTGTTAAGCACTCTCACGTTAGATAAATATGATAAACTCATATTATCACTGTTATTTTGCTTTAGCTCTGTGTAGAAAAGTGTATAACTGATCCTCCACCAGAAAAGCAGACAAAAACTGAGCAGAACGTGGGCAGTATATAAATGCTGAAACCTTTCTGTATATATCCAGTGTTGAGAAGTAACAGATTACATGTACCAGAGTTACGTAATCAGAGCACAAATTATGAGTAACTGTATTCAGTTACAGTTACTGTTTCAGTGAGTGGTAATTGGATTACAGTTACTTTGTTGAAGTAAATGGATTACACTGTGGTATTTTCCTGTTTTCACATTTTGGGCTATTCCCTTTTTTTTTTTTTTCGGTAATTACACTCATTGCCAGACACTAAACCAGGTCTAAAACGCAGGTCTAAACGCAGGTCTAAACCGAGTCTAAACCTGGTCTAAAACCAGGTCTATAGGTCTAAAGCAGGTCTAAAACCAGATCTAAAACCAGGACTAAACCAGGTCTAAAACCAGGTCTAAAACCATGTTTCTTCCTCTTCTATCAATAATATTTTTTAATTTGGTTCAGTAAAGTCTGGGCTTTTTTATTTTCTTTTATCAGACAAAACATCTTATGTGAAGATTTCCTCGTCTTTGCTTCTCTACAACAAATCAAGTAATCCAAAGTATTCAGATTACGTTACTCACTTTAAGTAATTTAATGGATTATGTTACAAACTACATTTTGGGGTATGTAATCTGTAATCTGTAAGGGAATACATTTTAAAAGTCACCTTCCCAACACAGTATATATCTTTACACAGTCTATGATTAAAACTATGATTATGTTTTTATTTGTACAGATTACACAGAAACAACACAACAACAGTATAATATAAATAACATCGAAGCTTTTCATAATTCACAAACAATCCACCGCAACTTGGAGCAGTGCATGTTGTACTGTGGGGGTCATCAAACTAAGGCCCGCGGGAACCGGTCCTATGAGACAATCCTCAAAAGTCATCATGGCCTGTTTCTTTTTTTTTAATGACGTTTTGCCAAATAATAACACATCTGCATTTTGTATTTTGCAGATTTTTTTCAATAAAAAATCTCCAAGTCCATATCCAAGTCTCAGATATTTATTGCGATATCGTGGGAGAGCTCACGATATGGCGTGGAGGCTCAAATCTCTTAAGACATTTACGCGATATTTTCACGATATACATCTCACAGTACGATATTTATTGCGATATTTTGTGGAGACTAACAAAACTGTTAATAGGCGACTTTTTCCTCTTAAAATAGCTTGACAAGCCTTAATCCAAAGAACTAAGACTTAAAAGTGTTAGAACTGTTGTTTCTTCTTGTAGTTTGCACTGAAATGGAGCAAAGGATCATGGTCTATGTAGTTCCCTCTGTCTTTTTTTTAGGTTATTGCTGCACCATTACTCTTAATTTAAGCAAAGAGACTTATAATTCGATATATTGTGAGAACTTTGACGATACAATATCACGATATTTCGGTTATTGTTACATCCCTAATTATATGAAGTATTTATATTTAAATAATTACATGAAGAATTTCAATTTGCTGTCGAATTTTCGTCACCTGAGAAACTCGAGAGCAAACAGTGACAGTCGATGTAGTGCAGTTAAAATGGCGAGTGTTAAAGTACGAAAAGTTGACAGACAGCGCAGAGTTTTCAAAGAACAGTGGACGACTGATTATTTTTTTGTTCAGTGTCAGGACCGTGCAGTTGTCTGATATGTAAAGAAAGTGCGGCGGTTTTCAAAGAATATAATCTGCGTCGTCAGAGTCAAACAATTCTGTTATACGAGCGATAATGTGACCCCCAGAGGAAAAAAGTTTGGTGACCCCTGTTGTACTGCACGATTCAAGACAGATTAGACATTTCGTATTTTTGTTCCAGACACGAGAGCCAAGGTGGGTGAAGTGTCTTGCTCAAGGACACAAAACTTATTTTTAGAGACATAAATCTATGGTATCATACAATAACAACATTACAGAAGAACGAACACCGGTACACAAGTAATTCATATGTTTAAGAATGTAGTTTAAAGGCGACATTTTAAGGACTTTTGACCACTGAAAAGAAGAATCAGTTTGTTCTTGTTGTTTGTATTTCTTTTGCACATTTGTATATTCTTCAAAGTAAATTAAAAACAATTTCGCCTGCTATATGGGTTTCAATTTGCATGAAATTAAGACTTATTCTTCTTCTTTTTTGCAATGTCCAAAAGTCCTCAAAATGGCGTCCATACCAAGAAACATTACAAGTTACATATTGAAAAAAGTAGTGAAGAGTTTACATGACACCACGATATTCTAAAGCGCATAAATATAAATAGATTATAACTGAGATGGAGGACAGGTGAGAATTGAAACAAAATGAAATGTTTTGACCAGCTTTAGAATTAATATCTTTGGAATTAAAGGGTCACACTTGCAAACTTGATTATATGCAGACAACTGAAGACACAAGATTGATATTTGATTCCATTTTTGGATCTAAACAAAAAACAAAAGAGGGTCAAATATTGTGGATTATAACTACAGATATGTAATTAAAGTGGGGGTATAATGCAAAATCGACTATGCTTTAATGTTATTCCCTTATCAGGCAGGTTTTAGATGCCATCCATGCATGTTTCGGTAATTTAGCGATCTCTCCCAGGCCCCATTCAAAGCCTCGTTATGGTTCGCTGTAAGATTCTGTCCAATGCTCCGCCCACATGCGACAATTCTCCATAAATATACAAAAACGTGATACAAAATAGCTTTACAAATTCATAAACCTGATGCGATGTGCTGTAGTTTCATTAGCAAAATGCACATGTGTCATGTTGTGATGGTTCTCTGAAGGGGGAATCACTTAGCATGGAGAGCAAATGGAGGGGTGGAGAGTCAAAAACCGAACTGAGGGCCTGTTTACACGAGAACGCTTGTGGGTAAAAACGACAAAATATTTTATCAGAAGTGCCTTTCGTTAAGACGGTGGCGGCGTTTTTGGGAGCTTAAAAATGCAAAAATCTGAAACCACCGTCCAGAGTGGAAAAGTTTAATACGCTCTGTCATAGCGTTTCCGTCTATACTGCCCAAGACGCAAAACTCTGGTCAGATCTGCTCACGTCACATATGCGTTTACGTCACATACATCACCACCGAGACGCCTGGCATGTATACCCAATCTAATTCCACACACTTTTGCGTCACCGTATGCACGAAGATTTCCTCCCAAAAACGCTCATTCAAACGCGGAATAAAAAGTGAAGACGCGACGCCACTTTTGCGTCGTCTTTTCAGACCGTCATCATGTATACGTAGCCTGAAACTTATAAAACATGTTAATCTGTTGTTTTTCGGTGAATATAACATTTTCAAAAAGATAGAGATAGAGAGTATTTTTCATTTACTACTCCATCGATGTCTAATAGTCACTTTACTTTTATCTCTACTATGGATTTTTATTAATCCCTTGTCCTCCATCTGAAATTTGAAGATTATTTATTTCTAGAACATGAATCTAACTCACTTCATCACCACATTTTTACCACATTTCAGCATTTAAAATCACAGAAAAGACGACAGCAGTTATGAAGCCGATGTTGACGTGAGCCATGATTTGAACAGCGCCCCCAAACAGTGACTGATCGACGTGAGAATCACGCTCAGACGGAGCCGGCACAGTGGTGCTAGACACTTCGGGGGCAAAATAAAAATATTTCTGCTCAAATACGCTGGAAGTTTCTCCGGTGTAGGTGGGGGTGGAGTGGTAGATCAGCAAATCTCGAATCCACTGTTCACTTTCATACGTGTGTTTGCTTTTCCTGGCTGTAAAGGAAACGCACAACATATTTTAGTTTGCTTAAAGCTCCACCATGTAACTTTTCGGTTATGTTCTTTGGATATCATGAAGTACGCTGGAGGGCAGAGTCCTGCACCCGGAACCCGCAAACATATGCTGAAACTGAATTTTATTGGCGGGTGGCAATTGCACACGAGGTCAGGACTAAACCAGTACTAAACCAGGTCTTAAACAGGACTAAACCAGGACTAAACCAGGTCTTAATCAGGACTAAACCAGGACTAAACCAGAAGTAGACCAGGACTAGACTAAACCAGGTCTAAACCAGGACTAAACCAGGACTAAACCAGGTCTTAACCAGGACTAAACCAGATCTAAACCAGGTCTAAATCAGAAGTAGACCAGGACTAGACTAAACCAGGTCTAAACCAGGACTAAACCAGGTCTTAACCAGGACTAAACTAGGTCTAAACCAGGAATAAACCAGGTCTAAACCAGGTCTAAATCAGGTAAACCAGGAATAAACCAGGTCTAAACCAGGTCTAAATCAGAAGTAGACCAGGACTAGACTAAACCAGGTCTAAACCAGGTCTAAACCAGGACTAAACCAGGACTAAACCAGGTCTAAACCAGGTCTAAATCAGAAGTAGACCAGGACTAGACTAAACCAGGTCTAAACCAGGACTAAACCAGGACTAAACCAGGACTAAACCAGGTCTAAACCAGGACTAAACCAGGACTAATATCAGACTTGAGAGAGAGAGAACCCCGAGCCTGTGGAGCAGGGTGTCTGCAAAGTGCAATCAGGCGATGGCTGCGCTTTCACTTCCAGTCACCCGACGGTCTACATGGGCGCACCTCAGAGCCCATCCCAACAGTCAGTCCTGGTTCATTTCTGGTTTAGTCCTCCTGGTTCAGTCCTGGTTCAGTCCGTGGCGTGTGCAGTGCAAAAGTCCGGCATCTCAATCAATGTTTCTTCTGCTCAGTAAATAAAGCCTGTGAAGTGATGACAGTCGAGTCGCGTCTGTGAATTTGTGTTTGTACTAAAGAAAGCAAAATTCATTTCGTGATTGTAATTCTTGACGTCGTAACTTTTCAATTTGTATTCTCGTGGATGCTTCATTTTGAATTCTTTTAATTTGTGTGTCCGGTGGGGTAAAAAGTGGAATGTTAACGGGTCCGGGCGGGTGCGGGTTTTACTTTGATATAATCACGGGTTAACGGGCAGGTGCGGTCCTGTAATGCATGGGTGCGGGCGGGTGCGGCTCTCCAAAAATGGACCCGTGCAGGACTCCGCGGGAGGTCCGTCACCTGCTTGTCTCCGTGAAGATGTGCCTAAATTATTCCACACAGTATGGCCATAAACTAATGAATCTCCATGGAGACTTAAGAACCAAAGTATGGGTTAGGTTTGTGGAGAGGCGACCCCACTCACAGTAAGAACGGATGTATTTTAAGATATTTTTGAGCTGTAGTTGAATAAATGCAGGACAGATTAGTTTTATGCCGTACTGTGAACAACTTAAACCAAAGCATTAACATCTCCATGGAGACAAACAGAAAAGTCACACAATGCACCTTTAATAATATACCAGATAAAGTCGTGTTCACTTTTATTTTACATACCTTCATTGACAAAAAAGTCGGCGAAGCAGAAAGTCATTCGGATTGAGATCGGCGTGTGGACGTAGAAGTCTCTGGTCCATTCGTACGGGTTCTTCTCTGGGTGATACTGGACGCCGTAAAAGGGGTAATCGTAGGCTAAAAAAGAGAAAAAATATTGGAATATTTTGGGGCAAGTTTGTCAGAATAATGTGCATTTTCTACAGTAGTGATTCTTAAACAAGGACTCAAGAAAATATGGGCAGGTCCCACGAAGAAGTCTATACTTTAAAGATCCTATATTACACAAATCTGATTCTTGTGAGCTTTAAAGATGTTCTGTGTAACTTCTCTGACAGAGGATTTGCAGATTTTATTGCTTTGCCTGGAATGTTCCACAGAATAGCATCAAAAATACACAGCTTTGCATTCATTTCGTTTTTGATTAGATTCTAAACTGCTCAAAATTATACTGAAAATAGACATTCTTACTGCGCTTGGGCTTGCCTTTCTACAGATCTGACCTGTAACTTGGCCTGGTTGTGCCATCTTCACAGCCAGTTTGCTTAAGATTAATATATACTGTGGAATATTCTAGGCTGGGGGTTTTCTCTGGAGGCGCCAAAGAGCCACCGAGGAGACGCAGCATTCGCAGACTAAACCAGGACTGAACCAGGACTGAGTGTCGGGACAGGCCTGAAGGTGCGCCCACGTAGACTGTCGGGTGACCGCAGATGAAAGAACCGGCACAGAGCTTCACGCCTCACAGGGCTTGGATGCAGTCGTCACCCAGTCACACTTTGCGCACACCCTGCTCCGTGGGCTCAGGGTTCTCTCTTTCTAAGATTAGTTTTTTCCAAGATTAGTCCTGGTGTAATCCTGGTTTACTCCTGGTTTAGATCTGGTTTAGTCCTGTTTTAGTCCTAGATCAGGTACCTGGTTTAGTCCTCCTAGTCCACATATGTCGCGTTTCCCCAGTGGTTCTTTGGTGCCTTCCAGGGGAGGCGGGTCTCACCTATTGAAAACCTCTGTCTTAGAATATTCCACAGTGTATTACTCTTGAGCAAACTGGCTGTGAAGATGGCACAACCAGGCCAAGTTACAGGTCAGATCTGTGGAAAGGCAAGCCCAAGCGCAGTAAGAATGTCTGTTTTTCAAGATAATTTTGAGCAGTTTAGCCTGCATGAAGTTGAAAATGATTTGTTGTTGCAAAAAATCATTTATGAAAGCACTTTAAAAAATATATATATATATATTATCAGTTGTTATTGAAACTCTTCATTGCAGGAACACAAAAGATGCATTTACTTCTGTTCTAGGCACAGTGATGATATCTCCATGGTGACAAGCAGGTGACTTACCTTCCGTCAGAGAAGTTACACAGTGCACCTTTAAGCCACGTTATAATGCTGTTACCTCATCAAAAACACAAAAACAGACCTGGAGTTGTGTTTTGTTTCATTCACACATGTCTGATGAATCCTTTATTCTTAAGCTGTTAACTTGAAAACTAGAACTTCATGACATCACAAGGTGGAACAGAGCATTTTGAGCTTTGGAGATGTACACAAACTGACTTTTTTTAAAAATGTTTCTTTTGTAGAAATTAGAGATTCCAGGGCTGAAATTATCCAAATGATTCAAGTAAAGGTGTATGGTGTTTCAAAACGCACTGAAGCACCTCCTGTATTACTCCATGACATCACAAGGTGGAACTAGATGGAGTATTTTCTGTTTGAGAGAAGAAGAAAGTCTAAATAGATATGCAGGATTTCTGTGTTAAACATGTGTGAATGAAACAAAACACATCTCCGGGTCTGTTTGTGATGAGAAAACAACATTATAACATAGATCAGATAAAACGTCCGTAGTGCTTTAATGTGATTTCTTGAGTTATAGAGGCCTCCTGTGCTCCATCTAAAATTATTTAACACATACAAAGACAAATTTACCCTCAAATGTGGAAATAAACTCTATTTTTCCATCTGTGTTTGTGGACAGCACTTTGTAAAACTTGTTCAGGTCTTCATTCTCGTAGTATGTCTGTAAAACACATCAACAATATTCAATTTCATTTCATTTAATTATTTATGTCAGGGCTGAAACTGGACTCATACTCACCTCCATTGAAACGCTCCACTTGTGTGCGTTTATGGTGATGGGCTCAGTGGCCAGAGCGGACATCACGTCAGGACGGAAATCCTTAAATAGCCGGCTCCCGTTCGCCTCTGGAAATCAACACGGCAAAACCACAGAAGAGAAAAAATGCGTCAAATTAGATTAAAGGTGCATTGTGTGACTTTTCTGGTGGAGGATCTGTCAAATGCTTTTTCCGTGGAGATGTTTTTATTTTGCACTGGTTTGCAGCCGAGTGTGAAGCAGCTGGGATGAGGATCAGCACCTCTAAGTCCGAGGCCGTGGTTCTTGACCGGGAAAAGGTGTCTTGTCCTCTCCGGGTGGGTGGAGAGGCCCTGGCTCAAGTGGAGGAGTTCAAGTATCTCGGAGTCTTGTTCTCGAGTGAGGGGAGGATGGAATGTGAGATTGAAAGGTGGATCGGTGTATTGGACCATTGTGGTGAAGATTTACCATCAATCTACATTCCTCCTCTCACCTCTGGTCATGAGCTCTGGGTAATGACTGAAAGGACGAGATTGCAGGTACAAGCGGTGTACAGGGGTGGCCGAGCTTTCTCTGTTGTTGCCCCCAAGCTTTGGAATGCCCTCCCTCTTCACCTGAGATCTTGCTCCTCCGTATCTCACTTTAAAACCTTCCTAAAAACAAATTTTTTTCAAGATGGCATTTAACAGCCCGTGAGCTCTACTTTAAACTATTATTTTTGTGCATCAAGTTAGTTCGTTATGTAATATTTTATATATTTATTTTGTTTTAGTGTTTTGCTATGCTGTGTTTCATGCTGTAAAGCACCTTGGTCCAACTTGTAATGATTGTTTTAAAATGTGCTATATATATAAAATGACTTGACTTGACTTGCTGCCCAAATGAGTTCCCTCCGCAGGGTGAGGTGCTCAGTCACACAGGGGGAGTTTGTTGCTCCTCCACGTCGAGAAGAGCAGCTGAGGTGACTCAGGCATCTGTTCTGATGCCTCCTGGGCGCCTCCCTCGGAAGGTGTTCCAGGTATTTCAAACCGGAAGGAGACCGGGGGGAATACCCAGGACACGCTGGAAGATCTATATCTCTGGGATGACCTGGGAACACCTCAGGATCCCCCAGAGGAGCTGGAGGAAGTGTTGTGAAGGAAGTTTGGGAGTCCCTGTTTAGAAGGCTGCAGTGATAAAACAAAGAAAGTTTTTACTTTGTCTGGAATGTTTCACAATATGGCATTAAACTTTTCTATCTTCATAGAGACCAAACTAAACCAAGTTCCAGGTCAGATCTGTGGAGAGGTGTCATACTGGGGAACATTCCAGGCAGAGCACAGACATCTCCATGTCTGACCATGTATATAAAAAATAGAAAGTAGTAAAAACAAGGAAAAACCATCGAATGAGAGAGTTTGTCCAAACTTTTGACTGATAAAACATTTCATACCGGCTGTAAAGTTGAGAGGCAGAGACACTGCGGTGGTATTTGTCCTCACTAGAACGCGTTTCTTAGCTGTGATTACAGCGAGCTGTTCAAACCCAAGACACGTGCCCCAAATCGGAAAATAGTCTCCTTTTTTATTTGCCTGTAAGGGACAAAGACAAGTTTTAGGAATATTTTCAGGAAAATGTTAGACGCAATTGTAATTTGAATGGATGCAATCAGCAAACCACAAAAACTGCAATTTCTGAAATGAGAAGTTCCATGTTCTGAAATGTGATTCTTGTATTCAGTTCAGATTTCACTCTTTATATGAATTTTCTGGATGTGTTTAATTCTTTTCAATTCAATTCTAATCCCAAACTGTTCAAATGTAAAAAAAAAAACAAAAAAAAATTAATAGGCCTAATAATGAAGCAAAATGCAGCTTAAAGGGCCAATATTACCTGATTTTCCGATCTATTTTATAATGTTTTCTCATCACAAACAGACCTGGAGTTGTGTTTTGTTTCATTCACACTTGAGCACTTCAGCATTTTGAGCTTTGTAGATGTAGACAGACTAATAATAAAGGATTACTCAATGTGTGAATGAAACAAAACACAACTCCAGGTCTGTTTTTGAGTAGATAACATTTTAAAATAGCTCACAAGAGTAATTTCTGTGTAAAATATTGGATCGTTAAAAACTACGCGTATGCACCTCAATGGCTAAATCGTAGAAAATGTTTGCAGCTGTGGCGTAACCAGAGTCCATGATGTTGGCAGCTCCTCCAGGAAGAAAGAATCTGGTAAAAGACACATGCTCAGACTTCAGACAGAACACTTCATACAGACCATTGTGTTAATGTGAGACTTATAATAAATATAAATGCATTAATAATATAACATTTACCCGTTAATGGCCTTGAATAACATCCTGTACTCCTCCTCAGGTCGGTTAATCCTTAAAAAAAAAAAAAATTAATTAAAAGTGGCTTATATGCAGTGTTGGGGAGTAACGGATTACATGTACCGCCGTTACGTAATCAGAGTACAAATTATGAGTAACTGTATTCCGTTACAGTTACTGTTTCAGTGAGTGGTAATTGGATTACAGTTACTTTGCTGAAATAAGTGGATTACAAGGCGGTATTTTCCTGTTTTCACATTTTGTGCTACATCCCATTTATTTATTTTTTTATTTCGGTAATTCCTCTCATTGCCGGAAACCCAAACAGAACGCGGCAGTAAGAGCGATGTAAACGTCATGTTAAAGTTGGCGGTGTCAGTCACACAGTGGAAGCAGCAGTGCATTGGTAAAAACGCATTTGTGTCTTGGAAATTCTTCTCCCGATGTGAGATATATATATAAAAAAAAACAAATATAAAATCGCCTACAACTTAAATGTGAAACAGGAGCTACTGGCACTGGTGAAAACAACCTGCATAGACTCATAATATCTGCACTACTGTCCTACAGTGACCTGCCACATGAGGGGACGTGCACACAAACACACACAAACACAACACACACAAACACACACACACACACAAACACACACAAACACAAACACACACAAACACACACAAACACACACAAACACAAACACACACAAAACACACACAAACACAAACACACACAAACACAAACACACACCTTCATCATCGTCATCAACGTGAGAACCCGCGGACCACGTCTCCTTCCGTAGTTACAGCGCGGACACCGCTGTCTCGTGCGCCGCGTGTGGAACGTGTTTTCTCGCGTAAATCGCGCTTCCTCCTGTGCGCCTCTAAACCAGAACTAACACCAGGACTAAACCAGGACTAATCCAGGACTAAACCAGGACTAATCCAGGACTAAACCAGGACTAAACCAGGACTAAAGCAGGACTGAACCAGGTTTAAACTAGGACTAAACCACGACTAAACCAGAACTAAAGACCTGGTCTAGACCTGGTCTAAACCAGGTCTAAAATCAGGAGTAAACCAGGTCTAAAAATCAGGACTAAACCAGGACTAAACCAGGACTAAACCAGGTCTAAACAACATGACACCTAACAGTAGGTTGACATAATTTAAGGTGATCTCATATAAAAAATAACTTCTCTATCAATAATATTTTTTAATATGGTGAAGGAAAGGCTGATCTTGTTTCTGTCTTTTAACAGACAAAACCTCTTATATTAAGATCTCGTGGTCTTTGTTTCTCTACAGCAAACAGTTGCTTATTCATGGAGACTTGGGCTCAGACAATTTGAAGACAACAAACAAGAATTTTCAGGATGTGGTTGCTACATTCATGTCGTTTAAAAAACATGACAATATCAAGTAATCCAAAGTAATCAGATTACGTTACTCACTTTAAGTGATTTAATGGATTACGTTACAAACTACATTTTGGGGTGTGTAATCTGTAATCTGTAGGGGATTACATTTTAAAAGTAACCTTCCCAACACTGCTTATATGTCACATTATTAAACAAATAAAAACGTTCACACCATTCAATAAAATCCCCTGTGCTGATTGATTTTATTGTTTTTATTTGTCTATGAATGTGACAAAGATTAAAGACATGCTGGTAGACTTTCGACAGCTTCCCCCTAGTGGCACTCAGGGAAAAGAAGTAGAGTTTGTCTCTGAATATAAATATCTAGGGACAATTATTGACAGTTTCCTACACTTTGAATCGAACACTGGTGCCAGCAAGTGCAGCAAAATAAGGAAAATTAATTATTTTAACGTCAGTAATGTTCTTATGACCCTTTCTTATCAGAGTTTTATTGAATCTATTCTTGCATTTTGTTTTCTCTGTTGGTTCGGTGTCTGGTTGAAATCGTCTGGCTCGGTTTGTCAAAGTGGCAGGTAAAGTTGTCTTCTTACAGCAGTCCCAGAAGGTGATTTGCAAAACCCAGCAAATAATTTAGAGCCCTGACCACCCGATCTTTGAGGAGTTTAACCTTCTTCCTTCTGGGCAGCGTCTGAGAATACCCCGGATCAGGACTCAGAGAGCTCAGACTTCTTTTATTTCTGAAGCCATAACTAGGACGAATGCTCTCTTACAGCTTGGATCAGTTGCGGTGAAATGCAGCTACACCTCTGTTCTTTTTTGACTATTTTAAAGATAATAGGCAATTTATTATTATTATTTTTAAGATAATGTTTGTCTACATAATGTTTGTCTGCATGGTTGAGCAAAGCATAAGCTGTGGTTTAGTGTGTTATTGCTGCACAACAATTTCCCTCTGACAAAATAATAAAGTTGAAGGTTTTATATTATACCACAGTCAGTGATAACGTACAAGTAGTTCCAGCAACAGCCAAATCACTGTTCTGTATCACTGCTCTGCGCTCGTCGCCGTGACGTCACCTTAGCAACAGGTAAACACATCCTCGACTGCTCTGAGGAGAATGTAGGGACTAGCTTCATTTAAAACATTAAAATAACTGATATTGTGGACATTTACAGACAGGGAACAGGTTTTTCACATTCACAAGTGACACATTTCAGTTTGTAGCCGTGATGTAAGCACATTATACGACGCAGTTTTAATGCACGGCTCCTCGTTGTTTCATGCTTTTACATATCACTGCTCTGCTGCCATCGCCATGACAACGCCATAGCAATGGGTAAATACATCCACAACTTTATTTATTTATTATTATTATTATTTTTTAAACAAATCTACATCTGCTTGGACTAAAATGTAGGGACTGGCTTAATTTAAAATACTGAAATAATAACTAAATAACTAACATTTTGGTCACTGCTCTGCTGCCATCTCCATGACAACACCATAGCAACGGGTAAACACATTCACAACTTTTATTTATTTATTTTTGGTATTTATTAATATTATTTTTATTTATTTTATTTTTTAAACACATCCACAACTGTTCGGACTAAAGTGTAGGGACTAGCTTCATTTAAAACACTGAAATAACTGATATTTTGGTCACTGCTCTGCTGCCATCGCCATGACAACACCATAGCAACGGATAAACACATTCACAACTTTTTTTTTATTTTATTAATTTATTTATTTTTATTTTATTTATTTTTGGGGGGTATTTATTCATATTATTTTAATTTATTTCATTTTATTTTATTCATTTAAAACACTGAAATAAGTGATATTTGTGATATTTACAGATAGTGGAAAGCTTTTCAGATCCATAGATTTCATTTCAGATTGTTTAATGCGTTATTTCAATTGATTCATGTACTAGTATATGAAACTTTGAGAAGACCTGTGCACAAAAAAATCAGTTTTCACCTACCCCCTATCTCTGCACACAAGTCTTTACTTACATAAATGATTATACATGTCAGGTTTATAAACATTACAGAACCTTATAACACAGATCAAGCTCTGACCCAGGCCTGTTTTGCCCAGAGAAATGAAAATATAACTACACATGTACAAAAGTGAAGCTTACATGATGGGAAGGACCCTGGCCCCAGCCGACTCCAGGGTTTTGACGTAAGATGCAGCGATGTAGCTATCTTCGTTTACCGTCGGGTTTTTAACGTCCTGCGCCATGAGCCCTGCACACACACGAGACAAAATCCATAAGTCTCACGGTAGATTTAAAGGTGCTTTGTGTAGCTTTTTTCTGTTGGAGGCTCCGTCAAATGCTTTTCTCTGCGGAGATGTTATCGCTTTGTCTGGAATATTTCACAGTATGGCATTAAACCTTTCTATCCTCATGGAGACCAAACCGGGGAAGTTACTGGTCAGATCTGTGGAGAGGAGACCATCGCTCACCATCAGAATGCCTGTTTTTCTAGGTATTTTTGAGCTATAAAACCACCTGTAATTTAATATATGTAAGCTGGATCTGTTTAATGTCATACTGTGGAACATTCAAAGCAAAGAAGTGACATCTCCATAGAAACAAGAAGTTGACTGTCCAAAAAGTTACACGGTGCACCTTTAAAAATACAATTAAAAAGTTAAAACCCAGAAAATATTTGAGTATTATCTAGGGGTGTAACAATTTCCAAATCTCACGGTAAGATTTTATTTATTTATTTATTTATTTATTATTTATTTATGATCCTTTGTGCCACTTCTGTGCTGATTTGACTTGACGAAAAAACTGTTCTAAACACTTTTAAGTCTTGGATTAGGACAGAAACAAAGGTCTGTTAATGTATTCTAAAATCAAAAAAAGTATTCACAATTTGGTTCGTCTCCACAAAATATTGTATTAAATATCGTACCGTGAAATGCATAATGTGAAAATATCGTATCGAGAGAATTGGATAAAATTACATCCCTTAGAAATATACTGAAGTAGAGATGAATACTCAAGAGATATTTCTGGATAAAGTGGCAGAGTACATTAGGGTACATAGGGTTAGGTGACATGGGGGAGTGTAGAGAGGACGGTTTCATAGTTTTGTTTTGTTTTGTTTTTCGCCATCTTTCCTCTCCGAGGGACTGAGAAATCTAAGAGGGGACATACACAGAATCTGAACCATAACACTGATCAATATCCCGGTTATGATCGGGTTTTTTGAGTAACCCGGTTTCTTCATGGTGTATGTACACACAGTATCCCGGTTTCAGTATCTCAAATAAGGCAGGATCCCGGTTATTAGAAACTGGGATACTGTAGCTGGTATATTCCGATAGTGACTGGGATACTGTGGCATGTAAACACAGTATCCCAGTTACTGCAACATAAAGTTGAGTGCGCATGTGTCCAAAAGGCAAACACTTTTCAGTCTTTTCACCGCAGCAGTAGAGACATAAATAAAGTGACCAACATAAATAAAGTGATCATACATGAGTGAAATAACTATAAAATAAACAGCTGCTCTAAACCTGCACACGTACAATCTGCACACGTATGATCTCTGAAAAGCTAAAACATGAACTATCTCCTATACGATGTACGCACAGAACAGACTCACCATCATTAGCACCTCTTCTGTCACAAGAAAAACACACATAATCCACTGAGTCGTGTCCTTTAGTCCGACAGAAGCTGATCGCATCAGGGCACAAGGAGCGAGCTGTTTGTTTTTTTCAGCTCTAACAGTTTAAGAAAATGAGTCATGTGGTTTTAAGTTTTGTATCTGTAAAACTTAAACAAATGTGATCAAAGCTGAATTATTTTATCAAACGGGCTGATGTGGCTCTATAGTGGTTATGATTTATATGTTGTAAAGTTGAGTTTATTTATGCAGAAGATTTTAATGAAGAATCTGTTGGGTTTGATCTGTGCAGTGGATTGTGGGATACCTCATAGCTCCTCGGCGTTGGTTAAACCTCCTGAGCTTCCTACACTAAAGGAGCTTTTTTTCCTGGTTTATTAACTTAAATTAAGTAAATTTTTGTGCTTGTGCATTTGTAAGATTATGCCAAGAAACCGGAAAACTCCATTTGATCATGTATACAAGGTTTCTCTGTGCACATGTATACGCAGTATCCCGAATACTGACAGAACCGGGATATGTCTAATAACTGGGATACTGATGTGCATGTAAACACACTCAGTAATCACATTTAGATCTGCAAAATGAAGAGGAAATAGAATAAATGCTTGCTGCGCTTCTAGACCTGTTTTTCTTGTAGGTTTTCTTACTAAAATTTTACCCACAGCAAATATCACCAGAAGAATGAGAATGAAAATAAAAATACAAAACATTACAACATGAAGTTTCATTCTTCAGTTTTTTTCTGAATGACAATTAAGAAATCTTTCATCTTTGTCACTCCTTTTGTTTTTTGCAAATGAAGCGAGGATTCAACTGGACGTAGTGGCACGATGTCAACAGTAGAGGGAGCTATTACACTTGTTTTCCATTTAAAATAATAGTCGAGTAATTAAACAGTCATCAGAAAAGACGTTTTGCAAGCATTGTTTTTGTTATTATATTCAAACTGTATTACTAATCATATTTTTATATTATTAGAAATGTGAAAGGAGAGAATTTGAAGACAGTGTTTGCCACAAATTCTGCAATAATGTGACTAGGTTTATTTATTTATTTATTATTATTATTATTATTATTATTATTATTATTATTATTAATTTTTTTTTTACATTTATGGGACATATGTTTGGATATACTTTCGTTTTGACCATAAACTATATACAGTATGTTTTTTTAACTCAAAGACTGAATGAACCAGTGGTGGAAAAAGTACTCGATTTTGTTACTTAAGTAGAAGTACAGATACTGGAACATTAAAAAATCAAGTAAAAATATCACATGGAAAAAATCAAGTTGAATAAAAGTATTAAAGTAGGCTACCCGTTTAAAAATGTACTTAAAGAGTAAAAAGTAAAAGTGTTTAATGCAGATTTTGAAGTCTTGCCAAGACTTTAAATGTGGTGATGTTGATACAGATTCAGGCTGAATTTTGTCCAATAGAAACAACAGAATCAATATTTTTTAATCAGGCGTAGCTGTTTATTTGTGTGTTTTTGTTTACTCAGATTATGAACGTGTTAAAAATAAACCCTTAACCTTTTCTGTGGGTCTCAAACAATATTACAAAACACTTTTAGTTTTCAGTCCTGTCCAAAAATGAAGTTGAGTAGAAAGTGCAGATACATGCTCTCAAATGTAGCTGCAGGGTCTTAAAAGTCTTAAAAAGGTCTTAAAGTTCATGTTCCTTAAAAAGTCTTAAATTATGTTGTCCAAGTCTTATTTTCTCCACAAAGGTCTTAAATTTCATTGGTCTATTTTTATTTTTTGTATACTCAGTGCAATCTCTGTCTCTCCTCCCCTCTTTTTCTCTTTCTCCACTGGGGTAGGCACTCTACATCTCTCTCTCTTTCCCTCTTTCTCTCTCCTTTGTTCATTTATTTTCTTTTTTCCGTTGCTGAACATGTTAAATGGTTGAAGCACTTTGAAAGACAATACGCGACAAGACAATGTGAAGGGTTAGTTTGTCTTGTTAGAATGTTATAAATTATTCTTTTGGCCATGTTACAAGCAATGCATAAGACTATAAATGAGTTCTGAATGAGATGTTATAATAAAGGTATTTTTTTGTTATTTAAAGCAGTGAGTAATGGTCATTATTGGAATTGGATCTGGTGTTTTTCTCCTGCGTAATGGGTGCGATTTTGGTCTTAATTTTCATTTAAGTGGTCTTTAAAAAGTCTTAAATTTGGAATAGTCAAAACTGGGGATACTCTGTAAAAGTAAAAAAAGTATAGTACAACATGTTCGCAGTGGGTTAGGAGTATTTAGGAGCCTGGGCTGTTAAACTGACTGATATTGTTCCAGTTTTAACCTCACACGCGCCGCAGAAACGCATTAGACGCAGACGCGAGGATCTGATTGGTCTGATTCGTCTAATGGACTTATAATGGAGCCTATGGACGGATCCAAGCTGCTCAGTCACGTATTTCGAAAGCCAGATATTAAAGAACAAACAAATTAAGCTATTTTATTGTGATTCATGCTGTTTAAAGTAGTATTTAAACACTTACGCAGCTGAACCATTTCAAATTACGCACATTACGCACGAGCCCCACTGCAACTCTCCGTGAACGCTGAACATTTTTGCTGTTTTCTGGTGATTGGAATTGAAAAAAAAAAAAAAAAAGAGCAAGACTTAAAGAAATGCAGATTATCTTACCAATAACCGGCCCGTAGTTTCTGACGAGTTCGGAGAAACACGGTGAAAGCAGAGCAGTGAAGAAGAGCAGCAGAATCATCTTGTGTGTGTGACAGAGACAGAGAGAGGGGAAGAAGTTTTGGCTCTGACTGTGGCTGCTGCTGCTGCTGCTGTGGTACATACACAACTCCCCCCAGTCCCCCCACTCCCCCCTCGGTGTTAAGTTGACGTTATTGTACTCTCCACAGGGACAATGTTCATACTATAGAGATTTACTTAACAAGAAAAACAATATGTAGCCCACAGCAATATGCACTCAGCAGTGAAGTCAGCGGAAATGTGTGGAAAGAGCCTCGGACAGCTTGGATTTTTTAACACTAAAACACTTTGTCATTTGCTTTTAAACCCGAATGTTCAATAGATTAAGTTTTAGAAATAGTCCGACTAATTTAATTATGTCAACTTGCTGTAACATGTTCTTCTTTTTGAGTCGTTTTAACATTTTTAAAAAGTTTTTTTAAGGTTTCACTTCGTAGCAAGAAACCGTCTGACCTCGCAGCGTTAGGATTTCTTCCCGAGGTCAGACGGTTTCACTTCGTGGAAACACAGCATTTGGATTTTTTCGCGAGGTCACACGGTTTCACTTCGTAGAAATCGTCCAACCTAGCAGCGTTAGGATTTGTTTGCGAGGTCAGACGGTCGGTTTCGCTTCGTAGAAACTGTCCGACCTTTTAGCATGAGGATTCCTTCGCGAGGTCAGACGGTCGGTTTCACTTTATAGAAACTGTCCGACTTCGTAGCATTTAGATTCCTTCGCGAGGTCAGACGATTTCACTTCGTAGAAACTGTCGGACCTCGTAGCATGAGGATTCCTTTGCGAGGTCAGACGGTCGGTTTCACTTCATAGAAACTGTCCGACCTCGTACCATTAGGATTCGTTTGTGAGGTCAGACGGTCGGTTTCACTTCGTAGAAACTGTCAGACCTCGTAGCATGAGGATTCCTTCGCGAGGTCAGACGATTTCACTTCGTAGAAACTGTTGGACCTCGTAGCATGAGGATTCCTTCGCGAGGTCAGACGGTCCGTTTCACTTCGTAGAAACCGTCCGACCTCGTAGCATTAGGATTCGTTTGCGAGGTCAGATGGTCGGTTTCACTTCGTAGAAACCGTCCGACCTCACACCGTTAGGATTCCTTCGCGAGGTCAGACGGTTTCTACGAAGTGAAATCGTCTGACAGAGTGTGGAGCAGGGATGTGCAAAAATATTGAAAAATATCGATATATCGTATCATTTAATGTGATGATACAGTATCGATATCATGGGCTGCTGTATTGATATATCAGCAAGAGTATTTTTTGGTATATTTTACTAAATTATTTTGTTACAGAGCTACAGTTTTGTTGTTTGTTCAGAGGAAGAAAACTCATTTATGCGACACATTTGACATTTTCACTGTTTTGATTATTAAAATGTTTGTGTTTCATGTGAACTTTGCACAAGAAGTGGTTTAACAAAGACTTTTAGTGTCACAACCAGGATTTAAAGCCTTTATTTTTTTATTGAATCGTATTGAATCTTTTTGAAATATATCGAATCGAATATCGAGGTATGTATCGTATCGGCAACTTCTGAATAATACCCAGCTCTACTATGGAACAATTAAAATTAATATCTTCATGGAGAAAAGTAGACCCTCCACCAGAAAAGTTACACAGTGTAACTTTAAGATCACTGGATTTGAGAATTTACAAGAACAACAACAACAACGAAAATCTGTCAGTGTTTTAGGTTTTCAATTTTACTTCCTATAATTAGTAATTATGACACTACACTAGGGAATATAAGGAAGCTGTTACCTAGCAACCATTCTGCACAGTATAGGCTATATGACCCAACTCCTCTAATGCACACAGGAACTATTATTTGACAAATACAATCATGAGAAAACACCTTTATTTTGTTTAAATCATGTTTACAGTGTTAGAAAATGTGATTCTTGTGTAAATTGTGCTGAACCTTTTGACAGAATTCTGTCTAATGTCATTTTTCAATATATTTTTCATCATTCTTCTCAAATTGCTTCTTTGGTGTAAAACTATAATTTATATTTACAACAGGTAATATCGCCTCAAAAAGAAGAAATAAGAGAATCTCCAGAGTCTGCCACGTCCTTATTTCTAATGAGATGTTGTTGTTTTACAGTAAGTACGTGCGGCGCGACAGTGATCAGTGACCAAACTATTCACAAACTAACTTTTGCAACCTGTTGTTTTGGACACGCTGGACCTGGACGAGCACCAGGTCTCTCTTTCTGCGTCCCATCCCAGCATGCACAAGACAGCGCCCCCCGCAGGTTTGTTTTAAATGTGTATGTACGGTGAGACTCATGAGGCACAGAGCTTCTCCTCAGTCCTGAAGGAGCCGCGATGATCACTCTATAAAACAAGTGTTCACATTTAATAACCGGGATATGTCTCTCTCTGTCTTTGTGTGTCTCTCTCTCTCTGTCTCTCTCTCTGTCTCTCTGTCTCTCTGTTTCTGTCTCTCTCTCTCTCTGTCTCTCTGTTTCTCTCTCTCTGTCTCTCTGTCTCTCTGTTTCTGTCTGTCTCTCTCTTTGTCTCTCGTTCGCTCTCTCCCTCTCTCTCTGTCTGTCTCTTGGTCTGTCTATTTGTCTCTCTCTCTCTGTCTCGCTGTGTGTCTCCCTCTGTCTCTCTCTTTGTCTCTCTGTGTCTCTCTCTCTCTCTGTCTGTCCCTCTCTGTCTCTCTGTTTCTGTCTGTCTCTCTCTTTGTCTCTCGCTGTCTCTCGTTCACTCTCTCCCTGTCTGTCTCTCTCTATGTCTGTCTCTCTGGCTGTCTATTTGTCTCTCTCTCTGTCTTGCTGTGTGTCTCCCTCTGTGTCTCTCTCTCTCTCTCTCTCTCTGTGTCTCTCTCTCTCTCTGTGTCTCTCTCTCTTTCTCTCTGTGTCTCTCTCTCTCTCTCTCTGTGTCTCTCTCTCTCTCTGTGTCTCTCTCTCTCTCTCTTTCTCTCTGTGTCTCTCTCTCTCTCTCTCTCTCTCTCTGTGTGTCTCTCTCTCTGTGTCTCCCTCTGTCTCTCTCTCTCTTTGTCTCTCTGTGTCTCTCTCTCTGTCTCCCTTTGTCTCTTTCTCTCTGTCCCTCTCTCTGTTTCTGTCTGTCTCTTTCTGTCTCTGTCTCTCTCTCAAGGAGGAGAATGACAGAAGAGAAAAACATGGACCTCCAAAGCCCCGTGTGACAGGTGCGTCAGGTGCGTCAGGTGTGCAGACAGAGTGGACGCTCTGCTCTGTGCACCTTACCCAAAATCCTGCAGCCGCCCTACTCCCCCGTGCACAAGATTATTTGTCCTGATGATAGAATTCGATCTTTTTGCATCATATTGACAAGCACAGGGGCAAGTCACTATTTTAAAACCACAAAACTCACAAGAAATCAGCAAAAGAGGGTAAATAACATAATATTCAAAAAATACACAAAGCATTTTTTTATTGTTATTGACTTTGGAGCAATTATTTATTCTAAAAAGGACTGGCGCCTCCTCTAACCGCACGTCGCTGCTCCTGTTTCCATGGAGACAAGCAAGTGACGCCACCAGGTTACAGGTCAGGGCTGTGGAGAGGAGACCCTGCTCAGAGAAAACCACATTTTGTTCGTCAGGTGAAAGTTACTCACAAGAAACACATTCATTCAACAAAATAAACAAATTTTTAAGCAAAAGTTGGGGTTTTTACCGTTCTGAAGCATGTATGTTCACACAGCATACATTGTCATTTAAAGCTATACTGTGGAACATTCTAGCCCAAACAATAACATCTTCAAGATCAAAAAATATTAAGTATCACCAGAGGAGTTGCATTTTTTATTAAATAATTGAAGTGTAATAATTTCCTTTTCACTCAACCTGTAACAAACAACTTGACCTCCTGTGGGCTTTGCATCATCTTTGCTTTGATTCATCGTCCCCCGACAGTGGAGCAGTGAAGTAACATGTGGTCTCTCTCAGGATTGAGTCAAAGTAAGTGAAGTAAAGTTATGTAGGCTGTTACCACGGTGACCACCTGCCCCTGTTTTGGTTGATTGCCCCCGGGAGGAAATACAGGAGTGTGACGGAGCCAGTCCGTCTATGATTTTAGGGGGCGTTTCCCCCCCTACACGTAACCGCGGTCTGCACTGGCGTGCCCGCGCGCACACACGCTGAGTCATCCCGCACACACGAGTTCATTCCCCGTTTCCCCGCTGTTTCATTCATTCACGCCGTATTCACTGTTATCGCCTTCTCCCCTCTTTCCCCCGTTACTAATTCGCCAAGGGTGCACACTTGAGCGCGTTAGAGTAATTTATTTCACTTGTCTCTTACCTGTCCGATGACGCCGTCTCTCTCTCCTCCGACGCGGCGCCTCTGCCAAACCGAGCCACTATTTCCTGGTAGTTGAAATAGGCGCTGTTCGCGCCGTGGTGCTGACCATGTGACGCGCATTATGTAATACGATTCTGTTTACGTTTTTCAGCTATTATTTTTGACATTTAATGTACATTATTACTGTGTGCTCAACGTAGCATAGACAAGGTAGGTTTATGGTTAAATTGTTTGTCTTTAGAATGATTTTGATATATTGCTCAGTGGGAGGAGTCAGGGGAGTATAAAGGGGAGCCGTTCCTGGCTGTTAATCAGTCTGCCACCGGTTACAGAGCAGGTAACGTCGGTGTGCTGTACAGATTCTTAAAGGGGACAGTTAACGCTGAACTCGACCCTGTTTCTTCGCTGTAAATACTTTTTGGACTGTTTTGCTCACTGTAAATATTCTGCACTGTTTTTGGGATTTTTGCACTTTGGACACTGGCACAATAAACCACCTGCACTCAGAATCTCGATCTTGCCTAAGTTTTTAATAGAGCCCCGCCACAAGGAGGCTCCGTTCCTGCACCACCAGACTCACTAAACAGCTTCATCCACCAGCTTCATCCAGGCTGTTAGGATGCTGAACTCTCTCCCCTCCCAAACCACCAGGCGGCCAAGAAGCGAGGAATCTGCGTCTCCCTAAACCAGAACTTTACACGTTTCCTTTTATTTTATTATTATTTCATTTAGAAGATTGAGAGTGACAACATGATTTAAATTTTTCATATGTTCACATGGAAATTTGACAATAAACTTTTTTTAATTTGAAACTTCAATGCTTTAAAGGTGCATTATGTAACTTTTCCTGTGGAGGGTCCATCAAATTAGCCAGGCTGGTGCCACCTAGTGCCTCCACTCAATTTCATTTCTCTCCAGCGACTAGGTCAGGAATCAAAATACACTAGGTGCCAAGAGCCATATATTCTGTGTTGTCAACGATTCCCAAGGTCGAGGATTTAAAGCTGGAATAAAGAGAATGTTTGGTGAATTTTATCAAGGGGAAAGACGTTATTGTCCTTCTTCCTACGGGATTTGGGAAAAGCTTAATATACCAGTTAACCTCTTTAGTGGCACATTACATACATCACTACCAAATAGCAGTGATTGATTAAATTTAAAAAAGTACCTGCCTACCGTTGAGCGAACGAATTCCAACGCTGCGAGGTCAGACGGTTTCCACGAAGTGAAAGTGGCTGATGAATCAAGCTACCATCCAAAGCTTTTCGCCCTGAAAATGTTATTGCTTTGTCTGGAATGTTTCACAGTATGGCATTAAACCTTTCTATCTTCATGGAGACAAACCAGACCAAGTTAGAGGTCAGATTTGTAGAGAAGTGAACCTACTCACAGAACGCCTGTTTATTTATTTAGGTATTTTTGAGCTATAAAACCACCTGCAATTGAATACATGTAAAGTAGAGATTTTTTATGTCATATGGTGGAACATTCCTGGCAGAGCAATGACATCTCCATAGAAACAAGCAGGTGATGGATCCCCCAAAAGGTTACATAGTGCAGCTTTAAGATGAGTCTGGTCACCGGTGAATCTCCCGTGTTTAGACAGGCATGATTGACAGGTGGATTAGCCAATCAGGGACACACACTGTCTGTCTTTATCAAAGTAAAACATGGAAAAAAATATCACAAGCCACGAAAAACAGTGAATTTCTGCAGAATCAGTGAATAAAACACAATATTCTGTTAATCTGAGGTAAGAGAGCTGCATTTTAATTTGTAAATAGATAGGTTATCAATGTGTCACTGATAAAAATAAATAAATAAAATAATATAATACGTAAATAAATAAATAAATAAATAAATAATATAAATATAATAAATAAATAAATAAATAAATAAAAATAAAAATAATAAATAAAAATCTTAATTTCTGGAGTTACCATTCAACCAAAATTATTCCAGTCTCTGTGTGCTACAGTTGATAAAAATTTGAAATAATATGTGTTGTTGAACTTATTATCTTTTATCCCTCACCCATCACCTGCTTGTTTCTATGGATATGTCATTTCACTGCTTGAAATGTTCCACAGTATGGCATTAAACAGCTTTACCTTACATTTATTCAATTACAGGTGGTTTTATTGCTCCCTAGAAAACAGACATTCTGACTGTGAGCGGGGTCGCCTCTCCACAGATCTGACCTGTAACTTGATCTGACTAGGTCTCCATGAAGATGAAAGATGAATCTGTACTCTGAATTATTTGGGATACTTTCAGCTCTTGAATTGCCAGTCTCTACTGAACTAAAGGTAAAAAAAGAAGCTGTTAACTTGAAAACTCCCACTACATGACATCACAAGGTGGAACAGAGCAGTTTGGATGATTACTCGAAACAAAACACAACTCTAGGTATGTTTTTTTTTTTTTTTTTTTTTTTTTTTTGATGAGGTAACATTATAACATGGCTAAAAGCTCAAGAAAAAATTTTGCGTCAGAAAGGATTTTTAAGTCGTAGTTTTATTATAAATTCATGATGTTGCATTCTCCGCTTGGGACACTAGATGGCGGTATACAGTTTGTAAATGGACAACTGCACTCTGAAAGCACCGGAGAAAGAAAATAAACAGGAAGTCAGTTTGTTTTCATTTTTAATTCAACGCAAAGCAGCTCCTGAACACGCTCGATCTGCAGAAACCCCTCCACGTGCTCACCGCTTTCACCGCAGAGACAAAGAAATACTCACAAAGATCGTCTGCCTGCAAATTAGAAAACTATCTGACTCTTTCCTGCAGTTTGGTCAAGGTAAATCACTTTTTGACTCGCTTGACACGCTTTGTCAGTGTAAAACGGCACGCACGAGACGAGGACGCTGCAAAAAATATCGCAATCAACATCGTAACGTGAATAGTCGCAATTAACAAATCACAAGGACTCCAGTGATTCAGCTTTAGTAGAATTTCCTCCACAGATTAAACGTGGAATTGCTGCCTTTTTAAATGAGAACTGAAATACCAATATAAATAAATAAAATAAATAAAATAAATACATCTTGTATAGCCTATTAATATGTTAGGAATAGATGGCACCTTTGCTGTTATTATTATTTTTAGTATTATAATTCGGCTTGGTTTGCTTATTATATTGCTTATTGTATTTTTTATTTCACTATAAATGTTGTTCAGCACTTTGGTAAGCTTTGGCTGTTTTAAATGTGCCGTACAAATAAATCTGATTTGATCTGAAGACTTCTCAATCATTAAAAAAAAAAAAAAACAGAAGTTAAATTAAAATTGAGGACGTTCCTTGCACAAAAAAGGACTTTGCTTGGTTAAAAGTCCTATATTATACAAAACTGACTCTTGTGAGCTTTAAGGCGTGTTGTTACCTCCTCAAAACCAGACCTGGAGTTGTGTTTTGTTTGAGTAACCCTTTATAATTATTCTAAGTCTTCGAAACTCAAAACACTCTGTTCCACCTTGTGATGTCATGAAGCAGCAGTTTTCAAGTTAACAGCTCCTTTTTACCTTTAGTTCAGTTGAGTTTGGCAATTCCAGCTCTGATATCATCCAAGTGATTCCAGTGAAGGTGTGTGGAGTTTAAAAACACAGTGGAGAGATTTACCTCACGGCATCACAAGGTGGAACAGAGCGTTTTCTGTTTGAGAAAAGAAATCGGCCTAAATATGATGGATTTGTGTGTTAAACATGTGTGAATGAAATAAGAAAAACAACACAACAGCAGGTATGTTTTTGATGAAGAAACAACAATACTGTATAACATAGATCAGAAATCTCATTATATGGACTCATTAAAAGCGTATTTTACAAGTAAAAAGCCCACTGCAACTTTTTTACTCACAAAATCATATGCGTGCCCATAGAAAGTAATGCAGTGTAAATCATTGTTTCCCAAAGACTTGGTTGTGGCCCTCAGGTGGGTCACAAGACATTTTTTTGGGGTCACTTTGTCACGATCTGCATGTAGGTCTGCAATATACAGCTGTGTATGTGGATCTGAGACCTTATCGTCATTCTGGATTAGCATTTTGTCAGAATATCTTGTCCTCACAAAAATGAAGATAAAGCACAAAAACAGACTGAACGCTGCATCTGATTTGCTGCTGCGCTCTCCTATACTACACCGAACTGGAACACGCTACAAAAACACAGACAGGCCCCCTTATCTCATGAGAAATGTTGAGATGTTAAGACCTGTTTTGTATCATTTCTAATCTTTTTGTAATTATTATTTTTTTACTATTTTGTTCCAATATTGCTGCTTCAATTGAAAGTTGAAAAGAAAAAGAAATGGGCAACATTTAAAGTCCAAATAGGCGACATATGGATCCTTTTTATTGCTGCTTCAATTACCGTTTTTCATTGTTTAAAACTTGAGTAATACTAATTGTTCAGAGAGACACGATCACTCAGTCAACAATAAAATATCCTCATTAATGTTCAATAATCCACCTTTATTTTGTGATTTACGAATAATGTCTATTGACTTGTGTCGTGGTCAATTTGGGTCCCTAGAAAAAACGTTTAGGAAATAGTGGTGTAAATAATACTTTAAAATCACATTTTTTGTAATCAGTGGTTTCAATAAACACTATGATTCCATTATTTTTGATTAATTGCACAGCTCTAATGTGAACTTAAAGCTGCACTGTGTAACTTTTTGTTTGGTGGTTCGTCATTGCTCTGTCTGGAATGTTCCACAGTATGACATTAAACAGCTGTACTATGCATTTATTAAATTAAAATGGATTTATTGCTCAAAAATACCTAGAAAAACAGGCATTCTGACTGTGAGTGGGGTCACCTCCCCACAGATCTGAGCTGTAACTTGTCTGGTTGAAAGATTTAATACTATACTGTGAAACATTCCTGACAAAGCAATAACATCTCCACGAAGAAAAGCATTTGACGGAGCCTCCACTGGAAAAGTTACACAATTTTTAAAACACTTCTTAACAATTGTTTTACATTTTACAGATTGAGCTCAACTGTGGCAATATGGCTTCAGAAACGGAGCGCCCCTTCACCTGTGAGGACTGCGGGCTGCGCTTCACATCTCAGGACGCGTTAAAATCGCACGAGAAGATGCACAGTGGAGTGGAGCACAGATGCCACGACTGCTTCAAGGTTTTTACCCTCAAATCTGACCTCAAAACGCACCAAGCAACTCATGTAACCGTGAGCTTCCCCTGCAGCGAGTGCCACGAAACTTTCCCGAGTTCGCACAAGAGGAAAATCCACGAAATGACCCATAATGGAAGATTACACAAATGCGAGGAGTGTGGGAAGTCTTTTACGTCAAAGCACAGGCTAAAGGTCCACGAGAAACTGCACACAGGCAAGGATCTGTACAACTGTGATCAGTGTAGTAAAATATTCGTAACAGTGGCAGAGCTGAGGAGGCATCTACTCGCTCACAGTGACGATAAACCGTTTCCTTGCGAAGTGTGTGGGAAGGTTTTTAAACTGTTGAAACATTTGAAGGAACACAGAGAAACTCACTCAAACACGGAATTTCCATGCGACAAGTGTGGTAAAATATTCCCTAATAATAATTTTTTGGTGCATCACATTAGAAGATACCACGAAGAGAGGCAGTTTGCGTGCGAAGAATGCGGGATGAGATTTCGGTGGCGCAGCGATGCGACAAAACACGCGATGGTTCACTCCGGAGAAAAAGCCTTCGCGTGTGATCAGTGTGGGAAGAAATATAAAAACGCGACTATTTTGAAAACGCACCAGCGCATCCACAGAGGAGAGAGGACGCATGTTTGTGACGAGTGTGGCAAGGCGTTTTTGGATAAAGTGGGACTACGCAGACACCAACGCTCACACAAGGACCGTCGGGAAAAGGTCAGCTTCCAGTGTGACGAGTGTGGAAAAGTTTTACTAACGAAAGTCAGCTTGGAAGACCATAAAAGGAAGCATGCCGGAATTGGATTGTTTCATTGCGCGACGTGCGGAAAAGGCTACCCTACACGAAGCAGGTTAGAATGCCATGAAAGAACGCATTCGGCTCCCTCGCACGTTTGCACCGAGTGTGGCAAAGCCTTTAAGACGCCGAGTAGACTCAAGTTGCACGTGGAAACACATCACGAGAACAAGCGATACAACTGCGAATACTGCGACAAGACTTTTACCCGAACTGACTCTCTGCGCAACCATATAAACATGCACACGAAAAAAACAGAGTACCCTTGCGAACAGTGCGGCAAAGTTTTTTATTTGAGAATGAGCTGGAAATTGCACATGACTTCACACGGGGAAAAGCCACACACCTGCGACCTCTGTGGCTTGGGTTTTGCTCAAAATTCACGTCTGAACAGACATAAAATCACGCATACAGACGTGAAGGAGCATGTGTGCGACGAGTGTGGGAAGGCTTTTCAACTTCTAAGCAGTTTGAGGGACCACAAGTACACGCACGGGGAGAAGCCTCACAAATGCAACTACTGTGAGAAGAGATTCGATCGTCTGTATAAGCTGAAGAACCATCTCGAAACGCACTCGGAAACAAGCCCACGCAAACCTTTCATATGTGAGAAGTGTGGTATGTGTTTTAGAACTATGGCGTTGTACAGAAAGCATCACAAAATTCACACCAAACACAAGATCTTTCCGTGTGAGCGATGCGGCAAGGCTTTCCTCACAGCTCGAACGCGGAGAAACCACCTGGAGTTGGACTGTAAAGGGAGGCGGACGAGCAGCGATGAAGCAAAGAAATCCTCCTTAACTAACTTCTCATTAAAACGACTTGAAATTAGACTCAGAAGAACTGACGATGTTTCGTTGAAAACACTGGAAATCAAACTACACCGAGTCGACGTGAAACGGTTCAAGACTGAATGAAGCCGGAGTAGATTTTAAAGGTCCTATATTACACAAAATTGAATGTTATAATTAGGGATGGGCATTCAGTGAAATTGTATTAATTGATTGTTGGGAGAAGTAGCGATCGATTAATCATTAACGTTTTTAAATAATAAGTATCATCATTATTATTACTATTACTAATCTGCATAAATAAACTCAACTTTACAACATATAAACAATAACCACTGTAGAGCCACATCAGCCAACTCCAGTGTTTGCACTGTATCTACGCACAGAAATCTACATTCAGTTTGTCGATTAGACATTAACGTAATCAACGAAATTCTTAATGATCAGTTATCGATAAGCCGACTAATCATGCCCATCCCTAGTTATAATGTTGTTACCTCATTAAAAATATACGTGGAGTTGTTTTGTTTCATTCACACCATGTTTGAGTAGAGAGTTTATTAGGCTCTTAATGCTCTGTTCCACCTTGTGATGTCATGTAGCGGTAGTTTTCAAGGAAAAATCTACCCTTTTAACTAGGGATGTAACAATATCCAAATCTCACAGTATGAAATTTTCACAATATACATCTCACGGTACAATATTTATTGCGATATTTTGTGGAGACTAACAAAATTGTGAATATGCTACTTTCTCCTCTTAAAATGCCTGGACAAGACTTAATCCAACTAAGACTTAAAAGTGCTTAGAACTGTTATTTCTTCTTGTAGTTTGCACCAAAATGGAGCAAAGGATCATGGTCCATGTAGTTCCCTCTGTTTTTTTAAGCTATTGCTGCACCATAACAATGAATTTAAGCAAAGGAACTTGTGATTCGATATATTGTGATGGTCCATGATATTATTGTGAGACTTTTGATGATGCGATATCATGATAATTTGGTTATTGTTACACCCCCTATTTTTAACCTTTTGTTTTGTTTTGGAAGAAGTATGAAATTTAAAAACTCAGTGGAGCATTTCCAGTATGACATCACAAGGTGGAACAGTTTATGTGTTAAATATGTAAATGAAACAAAACACAACTTCAGGTCTGTTTGTGATGAGGACTTGTGACTAGTGCCTGGAAAATTATCATCTTTATTATTTTTTGTTAGCCTTTTATTGAGATTCTTGGGTAATTTCTTTTCCTGAAATGAATTTAAGTTAAAAATGTGAGAATTTTACTCATAGATATTTTTTGTATTTGTTTTGTAATTGGCCACCGGTGTCCAGATTTTTACAACCTGTCTGATTTTTTTCTTGCAAATGTCTTAGTGTTAAAGGTGCACTGTGTAACTTTTTGGTTGGGGGTCCGTCGCCTGCTTGTTTCTATGGATACGTCATTAAAACATTAAACAGCTCAAAACGGCTAAAAAAAAAAAAAAAAAATGCACAGATCCGACCTGTAACTTGGTCTGGTTTGGACTCCACGAAGATAGAAAGGTTTAATGCCACACTGTGAAACATTCCAGACAAAGCAACAACATCTTCACGGAGAAAAGCATCTGACGGACCCTCCACCAGAAAAGTTACACAATGCACCTTTATTAAGATTTGTTTTTTAATACATCACTATTTTGTTTGAAAAAACAATGCGTGACCTACTGATCTTGTATTTCCAGCTTACAGATATTTTAATTTATTTACACACTCAACTTTTATAGTATCTTGTATTTATTAAATCAGGTGTTTTAAATAGCTAAATGTGAATCAGCTTGCCTCTCCACAGATCTGACATGTAATTTAAATGCCATGGAACAAGTTTTGTAGCTATTGCTGCACCATAACAATGAATTTAAGCAAAGAAACTTGTGATTTGATATATTGTGATGGTCCACGATATTACAGAGAGACTTTTTGACGATACGATATCACGATAATTCGGTTATTGTTACACCCCTAGTTTTAACCTTTTGTTTTTTTGCATAGTATTTGTGTTTTGTATGTATGACATCACAAAGTGGAACAGTGTGAATGAAACAAAACACAACTCCAGGTCTGTTTGTTTGGGGGGGGGGTAATTTTGAATGATTTATTTTCCTGAAATGAAATAAAACGTGAGAATTTTACTTCACCAATTCATGGAAATTTTTCGTATTTATTTTATAATTGGCCACTCCAGATTTTTACAACCTCTCTGAATTTTTTTTCTAAGTGTCTTAGGCTACGTTCAGACTGCAGGGCTTAATGCTCAGTTCGGATTTTTTTTGTGTAATCCGATGTTTTTGTGAGGTTGTTCACATTTCCAGTTAAATGTGACTTGTATGTGATCTCCAGTGTGAACCTTAAACGGCCCGAAAGTGTCCCGTATGTGCACTGGAGACACGACGACGTCAACCGCAGCGAGCGTCTCTGTGTTTATGGAAGTTGTCCAAACATGGACGCGAGCATTGAGCACCTGGAGACTTTAAAGTTCCTCACGTACCGGAGCCAGAACATGAACAACTTTAAGGAGGAGATTGAGAAGGAGAAGGACGAGGTTTTTGGTCGTGGTGTTTTGTGGGGCAGCGGCAGCGACGTCCGTTGAAAGGAACGTGTGGATGTGGAGACGGAGCCAAGAGTGGTGAGTGGTGATGTGCTTCACTTCAGTGACATGGAGTTCATTAACAATTTTCACCTACTTCAGCTCAGAATAGTGACGTTTGTGTCTTGTTGATAACGTGTAGGTGGATGAATGCACTTTGGCCGTTCAGACTGAAGTCGTATTTCAAAAGATCAGATATGTATCAGTTTTAGGACCACATATCCAAGTGTCCTGGGTCACATTTGAAAAAATCGGATCTGTGTCGTTCAGACTGACATTAAAAGATCAGATACAGGAACATAGGGGCCAAAAAATTGGATTTGGGTCACTTCATGCTGCAGTCTGAACATAGCCTTAGTGTTAAAAGTGCACTATACACCTGGTTGTTTCTATGGATACATCATTGCTCTGCCTGGAATGTTCCACAGTATGACATTAAACAGCTTTACCTTACTTTTATTCAATTACAGGTGGTTTTATAGCTCAAAAATTCTGAGAAAATCAGGCATTCTGACTGTGAGCGTGGTCTACTCTCCACAGATCTGACCTGTAACTTGGTTTGGCTTGCTCTCCACAAAGATTGAAAGGTTTAATGCCACACTGTGAAACATTTGACAGACCCCCTTATCAGAAAAGTCACACAACGCACCTTTAAGATTTGTTTTCTAATGAGTAATAAATATTTAAATTTCAAAACAATGACCTTTTTTTTGCGAAAGCGAAACAAACCACATGTATTTCCAGTTCACAGATATTTTAATTTATTTACACATTCAACTTTTATATCTTGTATTTATTAAATCACACGTGTTTTAAATAGCTAAATGTGAGTCAGCTTGCCTCTCCACAGATCTGACATTTAATTTAAATGCCATAGAACATTCAAGTCAAAGCAGTATCATTTTCACAGATAGCAGGTGATGAACAGTGTTTCTTTGATTAAATGAAAGACAAATATTAAATTGGCCAATATAATCATTCAACTCAAAGTAAACCACTAATCAAATATATTTAAATTAGTGAAAAGTATTTAAACGGAAATTATTATGAATTTAAGTTGTTTTAAAGGTCCCGTATTGCACATAATCAACTCTTGTGAGCTTTAAGTCATGATATAATGATGTTACCTCCTCAAAAACAAACCTGGAGTTGTGTTTTGTTTCATTCACACATGTTCAAGTAAACCTTTAGTCTGTCTACATCTCCAAAGCTCAAAATGCTCTGTTCCCTCTTGTGACGTCATGAAGTGGTAATTTTCTAGTTGTTAGCTTTACTTTTAACTTTTTTTTTCAGTAGAGATCGGCAATTCCAGATCTGAAATTAACCAAATGATTCAAGCGAAGGTGTGTGGAGTTTAAAAACACAATGGAGCGCTTGCTGTATTACCACATGCAGTGTTGGGAAAGTTACTTTTAAAATGTTTTCCCGTACAGATTACAGATTACATAACCGAAAATGTAGTTTGTAACGTAATCCATTAAATTACTTAAAGTGAGTAAAGTAATCTGAATACTTTGGATTACTTGGTTTTCTGTAGAAAAGCAAAGATGAGGAAATCTTCACATAAGAAATTTTGTTTGCTAAAAGAAAATAAAAAGCCCAGATTTGACTTCACCAAATTAAAAATATTATTGATAGAAGAGGAGGAGACACGGTTTTAGTCCTGGTTTAGTCCTGGTTTTAAATCTGGTTTAGATCTAGTTTAGTCCTGGTTTTAGTCCTGGTTTAGGCCTGGTTTTAGTCCTGGTTTAGACTTAGTTTTAGTCCTGGTTTAGACCTGGTTTTAGTCCTGGTTTAGTCCAAGGTTTAGACTTGGTTTTAGTCCTGGTTTAGTTCAAGGTTTAGACTTGGTTTTAGACCTGGTTTTAGTTCTGGTTTAGTCCTGGTTTAGTCCAGGTTTAGATCTAGTTTAGACCTAGTTTTAGTCCTGATTTAGAATTGATTTTAGACCTGGTTTAGTGTCCGGCAATGAGTGGAATTATGGAAAAGAATAAAAGAAAAAAAAAAGAGGGATTTAGCCCAAAATGTGAAAACAGAAAAATACCGCTGTGTAATCAACTTATTTCAACAAAGTAACTGTAATCCAATTACCACTCACTGAAACAGTAACTGTAACTGAACACAGTTACTCATAATTTGCACTCTGATTACGTGACTCTGGTACAAGTAATCTGTTACTCCCCAACACTGACCACATGACATCACAAGGTGGAACTGAGTGTTTTCAGTTTGAGAGAAGAACTCAGCCTAAATATTCAGTGTTTGTGTGTTAAACATGTGTGAATGAAACAAAACACAACTCCAGGTCTGTTTTTGAGGATGTAACAACATTAAAAGATCAGAAAATTTAGACCTTTAGACCCGATGACGCTTTTTACATCGCGTAACTGTTCAAGCCGAGGCCATAGGTCCACAGCCCGTTTGATCGGTGACCGAGAGCCGGCTCACGTCCACTCCTATCAGGGTGAGTTTGTCCTGCAGCAGGCTGACGGTGGCGCTGTCGAGGTGACGGGTTCGAGACAGGATCCAGGCGAAGTCGATGTGGAAGAGGCCGAAGTAGTCCGAGCAGGAGTAGACCAGAGCGTAGGAGCTGTAGTCTGTGTTCAGCACGATGTACGGAGAGTCTGGGACAACTGGAAGAACAGAGCACGAGTCGTTTATTGTTTTTGGTTATATTTTTGTGCATCTGACATAGGGGTCATTCCACGCCAAATCTCCGAATGCCCCCGTCCGATCATCTCAGATTTGACTGAAAAAAATCTAGGAGGTTTACACACTTTGCAATAGGAAAAGTCCCAAATTTTAGCTCTCAACTCCTTATAGTTTTGTAATTAAAAAATATTTTGTCAGCTTCCCCCTGACCTGTTTTGAGCAGAGTTTTCCAAGGAGCCACTTTCAGATTGCTGTATCTAAAAAACTATTTAAGATCGGTCCTTCAAATTTTCAAGGGTTAAAATTTGTCAAATGTACGTGTAGAATCTGGACTTTTACACATGTGGTTTTGATTTATCACGGATTTCTGGGGGCTTGAATTTGTTTGAAAATTTTACTTTTCAAATCTGAGGGCCATAAGGATTTTAAATGGAAAATGAATTTGCAGTTGTGTGTCTCATGCTCTGTGGTTTGAATGTATGGTGTCTGTCTTTCTTTTTCTTTTGTTATTTATAGATTGTGCACGACCAGAGATGTGCGAACTGAATTGCCCTTTGGGATTAATAAAGTTGTTGCTTGATTGATTGATTGATTGATCTTTGAAGGACTGTGGAAAGTTCAATTTCAAAGACAGAGGTTTGTTATTGAACATACACCTTCCCACGCAGGCTGTCGACTTTGTATTTTAACACTGAGCCTCTGTGATGAACATTCAAGAAGATACTAAGTGTTAAAAATGGAAAAAAAATGTATGTGGTGGCGTCTTTATCATGTTATACCAAAAAAGATGACAGCGCCCACCAACATCAAATGGACTGTTTTAGAAAGACTAGATGTCTGTTTTTAACATATCCAAAATTTGTGACGGAATAATATTAAAACTATTCTGATTACCACTACCATTACATATTAATAGCTGAACAAAAACATTTTGAAAAAGGTTGAACAAGGATTACCATGGAAACCAGATGGAAACAGGAAGTACCTTTGAAAAAGCTGACCGAGAGGATCGCAGGTTTGGCATGGTCTTCGACTTTGGCCGTGCCCTCAATCGAGTTTATTTTTCCATCCTTCCTGTGAAGAAAATACACGAATGAGTATTACTGTGTTTGAACGATATCAGTGATCTGTGTGCACACTTCAGACTCAGTCAAATAAGTGCTTCATTCAAGGGTATTTGGATGATTTCAGCCCTGGAATTGCCGATCTTTACTGCACTAAAGGGGGACCCATATTTTAAAAGTCAGAAATCTTCCTGACCCAAGTCAATAAACATTATTCGTAAATCACAAAATAAAGGTGGATTTGACCATTATTGAATATTAATGAGGATATTTTATTGTTGACTGAGTGATCGTGTCTCTGAATAATTAGTATAACTCAAGTTTTAAACAATGAAAAACAGTTAATTGAAGCAGCAATAAAAGGATCCATAAGTCGCCTATTTGGACATTAAATTTAGCTCATTTCTTTTTCTTTTCAACATTCAGTTGAACCAGCAATAATGGAACAAAATAATCAATAAAATAATTACAAAAATATGAGAAATGATACAAAACATGTCTTAACATTTCAATATTTCTAATGAGATAGGTGGACCTGTCTTTGTTTTTGTAGCTTGTTCCAGTCCGAGTACAGGACACATTTATGTAGCAGTGAAATATGGAGTAAGAAAGCTGTCAAAAATATTCGTGCGCGTAAAATAGAAATCCGTGCATATTTGGCTGTAGTTGCGCATAAAATAAATATTTGTAAACTCTCAAATGAGTCCAGTCGTACATAAAATATATTGTGTGTATTTTATCCATCAGAATACGAATTGAAAAATTACGACGTCATGAATTACAATCACGAAATGAAAATTTACAATTACGCTTTCATCAGTACGAATACGAATTCACAGACGGAACTTTACTGTCAAAAATACATCATCACTTCACAGACATTATCCATCGAGCAGAAGAAACATCGATCAAGATCAAGACTGTGCAGCTCAAGTTTGTAGCAGAGGGTAAAAACAGAGTGGCTGTAGCCGTGAATGTTTTTAATCTAAACATACAGAGAACCTGATATTTGTTAATTAGCCCTGGGATAACGTTACGTCGGATGTTGCCAACTGGCTCCACTATGTTTTCTAACATATAGGTGCAATTTCCCGTTCAAAGGAGGTGTTTCTACACAATATTATACAGCAGCGTTCGGTTCCCGAATTCAAGACATTTTTACAATAGATTTTAATTAACCCACTTGTTGGTCGCTGTTGTAGCTTCTTGTGCTTTTACTCTGTTTTTACTCTGCTACAAACTTGAGCTGCACAGTCTTGATCTTGATCGATGTTTCTTCTGCTCGATGGATAATGTCTGTGAGGTGATGACGTATTTTTGACAGTAAAGTTCCGTCTGTGAATTCGTATTCGTACTGATGAAAGCGTAATTGTAAATTTTCATTTCGTGATTGTAATTCATGACGTCGTAATTTTTCAATTCGTATTCTGATGGATAAAATACACACAATATATTTTATGTACGACTGGACTCATTTGAGAGTTTACAAATATTTATTTTATGCGCAACTACAGCCAAATATGCACGGATTTCTATTTTACGCGCACGAATATTTTTGACAGCTTTCTTACTCCATAGTGAAAGGAATAAACATAGAAATACTGGCCCTACTGAGGACAGGATATTCTGACCAAATGCTGACCCAGAATGACGATAAGGTCACAGATCCATCTACACAACTGTATATTCCAGACAGATCATGACAAGGCGACCCGTCAAAAAATCTCTTGTGACCCACCTGAGGGTCATGGCCCAGTCTTTGGGAAATAATGTTTTGTACTTACAGCAGCTCTGAGTTGTGGACGCGCACTGCTCCGTCCTGAAGAAGACTGTATTTGGCCTGAACACATTTTCCTCTTTCAAACATCGCAGGAAGTTTCTTGATCTCATACCAAGTCCCCAAGTACTGCAAAATAAACGTATTATTTAGTATTAATAAAAATATCATGCGTATAAAGAAACCAGTCAGGATCTTAAACAGGACTAAGGCTGTATACACACTCAGTTCAGTCCTGATCTTGACTTGGTTTGGTCCTGTTCTAGTCCTGGTTTAGTTCTTGTCCGCATCTAGTTCAGGATTAGTCTCTGTTTAGTTCCAGTTTTGCAGTTTTTATGCATGTGTGAACCAGACATAGACTGTAAGTGAGTGTGATGTCACCCACAGTGTCCGGCTCCAGTCAAATGAAGCTCACTGAGGCCGACAGTTACAGGAGTGAATCTGGCATGTTCCATATTAGAAATCGGACTTTAATTAGTGGGTAAACTACAGTATGTGCATGCAGTCGATGGAACCAGCCCAGCTCCAAATCAAAACCACCAGAATTCCACAGGACCAAGTAAACACAAAACCAGGACTAAAACATGTCTAAATAATAATAATAATGATAATAAGGACTTGAACCAGAATTTAAGTCTAATAAATAACCAATATGGGGCTGGGACTAAATCCAAAACACACCACCACACACCAGGTCTAAACCAGAATCTGAACCAGGACTAAACCAGGATTAAGTAAGGACTAAAAGCATAATAAATAGGCCTAAACTAAACCATGACTAAATCAGGTTTAGACCTAAACTTGGACTATACCTGGAATACGACAAGTATCAATTTCACGCTGATAAATTTATACTTTAGATCAGACATGTCAAACTCAGGCCCGGGGTCCAAATTTGGCCCACGATATAATTATATTTGGCCCATGAGATCACATCAAATATGTTTTAGAGTTGACCCACTGACTTCAGATAGACTATAGAGGCATTATTTATTTAAAATTTTGTTATTATTTTATATAATTCTTGTTCTGGATTCAATGTTTAACCAAAACTATTATTAAACTTTTATTTTAATAAGAAAAGGTTTAACATTACATATCTCGAAAGAAGAGAAAACATGCAGATATTGTTGAAATTTTGCAATAAGTATTTAGTTTGGCTCGTGACTTAGACCCAGTTTTTAATTTTGACCCTCTGTGAATTTGAGTTTGACACCTCTGCAATAGAATGTACTATTACTACTATTAAAATGGTTTATAGTAAAGTATTTAAATAGTTTTACCTGTGTGACATTGAAGTTTTCTTGCGGTTTTATCTTTGGGCAGGTGGAAAAGCGGAAAGACTGTCCGTAAATGGTCTCTGCAGCCACAAGAAACAAAAACACCACCTGTACGATGAAAAAATATGAGACTAATTAAAAAGCAAAACAAGGCAAGGTTATTATTACAATTTGTACACGAAGTAATTCAAAGTGCTTTAATGTTGACCCAAGATGTCAATACATTAATTTATTGTATTAAGTAAAAAAACAAACAAAACAAACTATTATTTTAGATGGAAAATGAACTCTAATTTCAATATATACTCAAAAATATCAACTAAAATGTAAAGTGATTTTTATGTGTTTGTTATTTGTATCTGTTTATGTCACACTAAATGTACCGTACCTTATTTTTTCCATGTATTTTAGCACTTTTTTCTTGTTTCTAAAGTCAAAATAAATCTGCTGCATGTTGCCTGCATCTAATTTGATAGTCAGATTGTCTGGTCAGGAAGTGCGCTTTAGCATGCTAGTTGTTTTTAGCTTTACCAAGGGAGACCAGAATTTCTAAATAAAAAACTAGAACATCCCCCTTTTTTTTTTTTTTTTTTTTTTTTTTTTTTGGTGGTTGGTAATAATAAAATTGTAAAACAAGTGCATAATTAAGGGTCAAAACTTTGCAATTCTTCACTAAAATCAATTTGTCAAGCAGCAGTTCTTCACTAGTGACGGGAAACAAAAGCTAGTATTGCAAAAAAAAACCAAAAAAACAATACCATTTTTTAAAATATAGAAACTCCTCTGCTGTAGGGAATTTAGAATAAAGATGCTGTTGTATCTTGTGAAAAAGCGTGCACCAAACTACTAAACCAGCGCATAAGCAGAAAGACTGAAGATTGTGTACATTTTAGAGACCATTTTGAAGACATTTAACCCTCTCAGGCTCAAATAAAATTTTAGTAACAGGAAAAAATCTGATATTTGGGGAAAATGATCATATGGGGCAGTAATATGCAATCCTGACTTTTTTTTTTTAGATAGACCTTCACATCCAATGCATTCTGGGACGTTGCAGATTTGCAGCATTGGTCCGGTGTGGTAAATTAACATTGAAGACTGAAAATGATATGAACGCTAACTTTATTTGTATACCACTTTTCGTAACAATGAAAACATAAATCAGAGTGTAACAGCTTTACAGTGGCAGAACAACATCACTTTTTCGTGTGGTGCTCCAAGAAACTATTTTTATCCTTTGTAAACAACAAAAGTACTTTGCACTTCTTGCACAGTCTGCATCGTCCACGTTTATCAGCATGGATGGGAAAAAAGGCTCCTGAGTAAAAAAAAGCTCATAAAATATGGATTTGGAGTAAGTAGGTAATTGGCATTTAGCTGTTGCAAATCTGAAACGCCTGCCTGGAGAGGGTTAATAACAAAAAAAAAGTGAAAAGTCCTCAAAATGTCGCCTATTGATACTTTGCAAAGACATCAAGCGTTCTACATTTATCTTCAAGGAAAATTGTTCTGCAGAGACCATTCATGACCAACATTTTCTTTGTATTTTGGTCGTTTTGAAGCAGCTTTTCTGTATTCTACCTAAACAAATCCTAATTTTTGCCTCTCTTTACTGTTGGCAAGTGTCAAATTGCTCAAAAATAGGGACATTTCTTGTATAAAACTGGGACAAATCAATGGTTTTGCATAAATCCGCTGGGACAGGGGGCACGGGGCTCAAAACTGGGACTGTCCCGGGTCTCTGAAAGTTGTGAAAAGCACTTAAAAACTCATCACGGTGAATAATTATGATGCTCTGAATGCATAAAATAAACGAGGAATAACTTTGGATCACTGCAGACTGTTTAAACTGGTCACATACTTAAGAAATAGTCATGCAAATATAAACTCAGATGTTGTTTTTGCATGACTATTGTGTCTAAAATCAGGAATTATCGCAAAATCTGTAATAAAATCGTAACGTTACCTTCAGTAGAGCCATGGTCAAGAGTTGGAGTTGACGAGCGCTGTCCAAAAATGACCCTTCCCTTCACGACTCAACGTAATATTTGCCTTTCTGAAGCGTGGACTTTGGAGCCAAACTTTATACCATTGTATTTCTATAATATAGGAGTGGTTTTTGCTGTTTGTTAAAGGTCTGAAAGGTCAAAACTCGTGATGCCCGCGCCACGTGACCCAACCCACGTCTGTGAATCACGTTGTAAACTTTTGTATATTAAGCCTCTGTATTTTCTGATAATCTGTAGGTGTTGTGGGTTAAAAGGCGTTTTGAAATGTGCAAGTCATTGTCTTGTTTTGTGCATTGTTTTGTTTGTTACATAAGAGGTTAAATACACAGTTGCGCAATCTAATTTTAAAGATTTTAAAGACTGAACCTTTAATGCACAGAGAGATTAAAGGACGCAATTACGCAAAATTGACTCTTGTGAACTTTAAATCATGTTATAATGTTGTTATCTCCTCAAAAATGTACTCAAAGTTGTGTTTTGTTTCATTTATGGATGTTCGAGTAAACCTGCATTATTAGTCTGTTTACATCTCTCAAAATGCTCTGTTCCACCTCGAAGCTGCAGTGTTCAAGTTTATCGCTACTTTTAACCTTTTGTTCAGTAAAGATTGTCAGTTCCCGGGCTGAAATTATCCAAATGATTCCATAGTGAAGGTGTGGAGAGCTTCCTGTCATTATCACATGACATGACAGGGTGGAACAGTGTTTTCAATTTGAGAGAAGAACTCGGTCTAACAGGGTTTGTGAATTAAACATGTGACTGAAACAAAACACAGCTTAAGGTCTGATTGTCATGAAGAAACAACATTATAATAAATCAGAAAGTAGCCTAATATAGATCCATAAGCGTTAGGGATGTAACGATATCCAAATCTCTCAGTACGATATTTATTGCGATATTTTGAAGAGGCTGATATAATTGTAGATGGGATACTTTTTTTTGCTTTTAAAATACCTTGACTTTTGATTTTGGTGTGAATTATTTCCGTCATAATCCCAAGAATTCAAGTAAAAAACATATATCTTCGTGTTGTCTGCGCTGAAATGAATCATGGGATATGTAGTTTCTGATGTTTATAAGTTGTTGTTACAATAAAACCGTGCATTTTTTTCAACTTCAGCTTTTGCACTGAACCAGGACTAAACCAGGACTAAAACAGGGCTAAAACAGGACTGAACAAGATCTAAACCAGGACTGAACCAGGACTTAAACAGGGCTAAAACAGATCTAAACCAGGACTGAACCCGGACTGAACCAGGACTGAGTGTTGGGGTGGGCCCGGAGATGCGCCTCCATACATTGTCGGGTTATCAGGACTGAGACCGGTTTAGTCCTGGTTTAGTCCTGGTTTAGACCTGATTTAGTCCTGGTTTAGTCCTGGTTCAGTGCAAAAGCTGAAGTTGAAAAAGTGCTTCGAGTGTTTTTGAAGGTGGAAAAGTGCTTTATTAAAATGTGACCATACCAACCTTGTTCCATCAATCTGTCATTTATTAACTTAGAGGTGATTTTATTGCAAGAAAAAAACATGTGTTCTTACTTATTTGTGTCTTGCTTCTCCACAGATCTGACCTGGTATCTAACTTGACCTGGTGGTATCAGCTTGTCGCCATGGAGACAGATAAGCATAATCCACTGTCTTTATATACTCCAATGTTAAAGTGCATGTTTCATTGTCCCAGCAAATAAAATAAAAATACAAAAGTAAATAAAATAAAATAAATAAAAAGTAAAAAATAAAATAAATAATAATAATAATAATAATAATAATAATACCAAAATTTAAAAAAATAATTAAAATAAAATAATTAAAAATAATAAATACATAATTTAATAAAATAAATAATAAAATAAATTAAAATAAATTAAAAATAAATAATACATAAATTAAAATAAGTTAAAATAAATTAAATTCAAATAAATTGAAATAAAATGAAATGAAATGATGAATTGCTAGAAACAATTTACGAAAAGAGCAAACTTTATTCAACAAAGCACCAATCTATACAATTTTCACGTCCAATTTGGTCTCTTTGAAACTCGTTTATTTATTTTTTTCTCTTTCTTTTACATAATTTACTCACAAATTTTTGGAACTTTCATGGCAAAAATATTCAAACATACGACACAATGTACAAAACAATGACAAAGAACAAAACATAAATTACATTCTTAAATTTGACTTTTATGTGCTACGACAGCTTAAATAAGTTTTGAAAAATTAAATTAAATAAAAAACTATGGAGTCAAAGAGCTGTAGAAATGTGGATCTGGAATCAAACTCTATGTAACAATGTACAGTGCATCAGGGAGACTTTGGCTGGAAATAGTGACGGGCGAAATATACCAAAATATAAAAAATCTGGAAAAATTTTAGAAAAAATATCGATCTGTTTGTAAAAATATTGGTATTTTTAAAAACATCCTCTGCTATTTTTTTTATTTTTAGACCAGTGTTTTCAGGGTGTCTGTGGGGTATTCATGGATTTCAGCTTCTTGTTTATTGACACTTTGCAGCTGATGTTACCAAAATTCTCTGGGTTTGTGACGCTAACTGGAGGCACTGCTCTGTCTGAAGCTCCGTTACTCAAGTTAGACTTTAATCTGAGCTTTGTTTGAACACAGTCTGACCAGAAACAGAAACTAAACAGAACCACGAACGCTCGGAATAATCACAGGTTTCTGAAAATGCGCAGTTTGAATCCATTTTGTGTTTTTTTTTCTTGAGCTTTCAGACTTTTTTGTCCATGTTTGCGAATATGTGCATTGTGTCACCATGGTAACTGCTGAACATCGCACCAATAAAGATAAATGTAAAACTGTAGAATTGTTTTCAGATGTTTACACTCTATGGCCCTGTTTACACGTACGCGGGTATTTTTAAAAACGGAGACATTTCCCTTCGTTTGTAACACGCAAACAGCGAATTCGCCTCTGAAAACGAATCTTTCTTAAAACTCCGGTTAGAGTGGAAATTCTGGAAAACTACGGTTTGGCGTTTGCGTGTAAAGTGAGATAAAGTGAGTTTTAGGAACTGACGCGCTGAAAATGTGGCCAATGTTTTCCTTTTGCTCTGATTTTGATGATGGAGAAGCATTCAGAGCTGCAGTCGCATTTCTTCTGGTGCAAACACTTTTCATGTGTTTGCATTTGCACACAGCTGATGTTCCATGACCAGAGACAAATGAGGCTCGAAGCTCAGACATTGTGCCACTTCTTTAACAGATCTGTGGAGAGGCGAGCCTGCTCAGTAATGCATGTTTTTCGAGGTATTTTTGAGTAATATTTACAACTGTGATGAAATAAATGCTACAGGTTTGAATCTAATCCAGAAGTTTGGCGTAGTTATGACGGAGCTCGATGGCGAATATATGCGGGTTGATGTAAACGAAAACCTTTCTGAAAACGATGCTGTGTGCACGATGTTATTTTGGAAAACGGAGGGAGGGAAATATTCGCTTCTCAACATACCCGGCTATGTGTGAACGCAGCCTATGGGTCCAGTCTGTTTGAGGGAGTTACTGCAGCCCTGTCCTCCGCCCAGAGCCCCGAGATCAGCCGACCAGCTCCTGTCGGTCCTGCCCAAAACTCGGCTCAAGACGAGAGGTGACAGAGCCCAGACAGATTCTCTCAGTCTGTAACGCAGTTTAAGACTAGACTGAAAACTCACCTCTTCTCCCTGGAATTTAGTACGAGTGAGTCAGGTTATCTTGTTTTTTTCACGTTATCTGTATATATGTGTACTTGTGTATATAACTTGTGTATTTAACTGTGTCTTCTGTTTTTGTTGAAGCACTTTGGTCAGCTGAAGTTATTTTAAATGTGCTATACAAATAAACTTGAACTGAATTGAACAGAATAGGTCACCCCCAGCGCGATGTCACTGCAAAGTATCAATAGGTGAGATTTTGAAGACTTTTTTTTTTGTTAAATATTTTGAAAATTGTCTCTAAAATGTATAAAATGAACCTCCAGTCTTTCTGCTTATGCCCTGGTTTAGTAGTTTGGTGAACGCTTTTTCACAAAATAAAATAGCATCTTTATTCTAACGGTAAAATTCCCCTACATCAGAGGAATTACAATGCATTTCTGTATAAAAAATAGTATTGGTATTTTTTTTGCGATACTAGCCCTTGTTTCCCATCACTAGTGAAGAACTGCTGCTCGTCAAATTGATTTTAGTGAAAAATTGCAAAGTTTTGACCCTTAAATGTCCAAAAGATGTGACGGTATCAAAGCAGTGACAACCTGTAAACACAAACATACAAAAGGAGCTGAGTCTGAATGCCCTGGAAATCATCAATCGTGTTTAGAACAAAATTAAAACGACCTCTTTTTTAAAATTTTTTATAATATTTTGAGTTTTTTTGTGACCAATTATTCGTGTCGCTGTAATGTTTACCGACGTCCATGTGTTTAACAATATGTGCCATATCTGTTTAAAAAGGGATAAAGTTTTAAAGGTGCAATGTGGAACTTTCTAGTGAGGATCCGCTACCATGAGATATTGATTTGTCTGGAATGTTCCTCACTGTGGCATTAAATGTAGCCGCCGTGTATTTATTGCTGAAAATATGTCTTGAGAGGCATATGTTTCAGGTATTCTTACGGTCAGTGGGGTCGCTGTTTTACAGATCTGACCAGTAACTTGGCATAGAGGCGGTTTCCATGGAGATAGATGTGTAGTTTTTTTTACTTTATTTTATTTCCACAGTGTTTTTTTGGTGGTTTTCAGTGGTGAGATGCAAATAGTGTAGTTTTTGTGCAGTTTTTTGTTAGGCGAAAGATACGTTTATATGTTTGTGTCGTACTGCGGAACATTACAGGCGCAGCGATAACATCTCCATGGAAACAAGCAGGTTGGTTGTTCCACTGTTTGGCATTAATCCTGTTTATCTTGCAGTTACAGGTGTTTATTGATAAAAGATACCTCGAAATGTGGCCGTCTCTCCACAGATCTCACCTGTAATGCTTGTATCCATGGAGCAACAACATCGCCATGGAAACAAGCAATTGACAGATCTTCCCACAGAAAAGTTACATAATGCACCTTTAAAAACTGTGAATTGTATAACTGTATATAAAGATGGATAAGAAAGCAAAACAGTTATTATTAGGACTTTTTTTGGCAGGTGTAGCTGATGTGTGCATTGTGTCGCTATGGCAACAGCTGAACATTTCGTCATAGGCGTATAGGCAGAACACCCCCAGCGCGATGTACCAACACAAAATGATACGGTGTGAGACGCTGGCCATCTTTACATACAGTCTGCCCTAAAGAAAAAACGACTAGCACCTTTTCTAGCACCTTTTCTCGAAAAATTTTGGCTTTTGTGTTGTTATGGCAACGCGTAGCGAGAACTATGTCACTTTTCCGGCGAAGGGTCGGCCGTCTGCTTTTCTCCACGACGATGGTGTCAGTGTATCTCCCGGGATGTTCCACAGTATGGCATTAAACTTTTACCCACATAGAGACACTATTAAGTCTAGGTGACGTCATGGCAACAAGCTCCGGGTCAGATCTGCGGAGAGTCGACCCCACAAACGGCAAAAACGCAAGCTTTTCAACGCACTCTAGATACTTATAACTGAATAAATACAAGTTTAATGCCATATTGTGAAACATTTATAACTTATCAGTAATATTTACATGTTAGTGGCAGACCCTCCACCGGAAAAGTTACATAGTGCGGCTTTAACGAGGTTGAAATAAATAAACATTCATCTTAAACAGTAACATCCGCCCATTTTGAGTTTTTGTGTTGTAGTTTGGGTCGTCTGGCTCTAGGGGGCGCTTCAGCGGAGCGGCGGGCGTCACGTCGGTCTTAATGGGTCTTGTGGGTCTCTATACAAAGCACTATGTACTGGTTGGAGCAGCTTCGCGTCTGTTGTCCGAGCAGGAGCCCGGAGGAGAGACTGGAGGACTGTCCCGTCACGGAGACGTGGTCCGCGCCCCAGTCCTCGCAGTGTTTGTCCAGGATGCGGTGCCCCCTGCTGGTCGAGCCGTGCCATATGTGCTTCTGAGGCCTGGGGAGTAAAGACGAGAGATGAAGTCGAGTCAGAAAGTCAATACTCAGATACTAATCAATACTTTAAAATCCGTGTGTCATTCATTCATTCTTTTTTCAGTATAAAACCAAAAATAAGAAAATGAAAAAACAACAATTTTCTTCATTATTTGTCTCCAAATCCAAACTGAAAAAACAGATAATGATAAATTTTTTCAGTTTTCGATTTTGTGTTTAAATGAAAAATGGAAAAAAACTGATAACGGTCGTTTCCTGTTTACGTGACTTAATCTGCGATGCCGGACTGAATCAGGACTAAAACAGGTCCAGGACCAGACCGGGACTGAGACCGGGACCAGACCGGGACCAGACCAGGACCAGACCGGGACTGAAAATGGTTTAGTCATGGTTTAGTCCGGGTTTAGTTCTGATTCAGTCCTGCATCACAGTTTCAAGTCATGGAAATGGGAAACCGCCGTTATCAGTTTTTGTCATTATTCATTTAAACACAAAATTTAAAACTGAAAAAACTAATTGTTATCTGTTTTTTCATTTTGGTTTTGGAGACAAATAATAAAGAAAATTGTTTTTTTTTTTTTCGTTTTCTTATTTTTGGTTTTATTTTGAAAAACAAATAAACAAATGATACATGAATTCTTTAAAGCTCCTATATGATGCAAAATTGTCTCTTATGGACTTTTAGCAAAAACAGACCTGGAGCTGTGTTTTATTTCATTCACACATGTTTCAATAAACCTTTATTATTATTCATCTACATCTCCAAAGCTCAAAATGCTCTGTTCCAACTTGTGATGAAGCAGTAGTTTTCAAGTTAACAGCTACATTTTATTTTTAGTTCTGTACAGATTGGAATTCCAGGACTGAAATCATCCAAATGACTCTAGTGTAGATAGATATATATTGTAAATAGATGGATGGATATGTACATTGTTTACGTAGAGAGACTTTTACTCACCAGAAAGGATCCACTAAAACGTCTCGTCCGTCAAAAGAGTAAATCGGTATCCGGGTGTTGATCGGAGCTCCATCGCCGCTGAAGATGGACCTCCAACTTCTGAATAAAATATCCCCCTAAAACAGAGAGTCAGATTTATTAGACAACAATACAAACAGTAACATCCTGCAAATAATTTCACACTAACACACCTACAATACGAGGCTCTGCAAGTACCACCAGACCTAAAAAAAAGATCTAAACCAGGTCTAAAATAAGACTTAACCATGATCAGCATCTCAGTAAGTATTGGGGCTTCAAGAATGATTAAACTGTGACTTTAATTGTTAGAATTAGCAAATCCCAAAGTCTAAAGTTAGTTTGTACTTGCAAATAACAAAATATACACACTCCATAGGGAATTTTGAGAATTTAAATTAAGTCTTGTGTCTAAAATGATTTTTAGTTGATAAAAAAAAAAGCTAATTTAGTTGATTAGATCCATAATAGTCAACTAAATTACAACCAGAACACATTATTATTGCATTGCTGTGTTATGGAAAAAAAATGTATAGATCTCTTCATCCATTTATGAAGCCTGGTGAGTTTTTGGAACACAGAAGAAGGTTTATTCTTCTTGTTACAGCAGATATGGACAGGGCCGACAGCCTGAAACCGACAGCCTCTCCTCCCAGAGCGTCTCCTCAGAGCATCTCCTCCCAAGTATCCCCCCCCAGAGTCTCTCCCACTGGAGCATCATGTCTGAGGCTACGTTTACACTGAAACAAATCCGCGTATCATCGCATCACTGTATTGGAAACGATCTGCATCCAGACACGTTGTTTCTGTGTCCGCAAGCCTTTCTTATCCACACAGATTTGAGCATATTTGTTTATGTTTTACAGAAAGTAAACGTAAAGCGATACGAACTGAGAGAAAATAGTGCCAAGCGATTATGAGGTCTGACTTTTTTGAGGACGATGGTTTTGTGATGCAAATGTATCACTCTTTTGAACACATATTGTTTTGAGAAGAAAAACGCTTTATTTTAGTGTCCCCAGCCAACTTGCCTGACTACTTTCGTCAACACCGAAAACGGCCAGTATCTCGGCTCACCGGACGCTGTCGGGGGTAAGTCGGTGTGGATGCACGACACTGCTCACGGGGATGACATACAGATTCATGCCAAAAAAACCCGAACTATCCCTTTAAAACCACGTGGCTAATTTGCATAAACTGAGCGCTCAAAAAACAGCTCACTATTGTGTCGCTGATGCAGTTCAGCTTCTGTCGGAGTAAAGGACACGACTCAGTGGAATATGAGTGTTCTTTCTGTGACAGAGGGGTGTTCTGCTGATGGTGAGTCTGTTCTGTGCTTCTATCGCGTTGGAGATGGTTCATGTTAAACTTTTCAGAGATTATACGTCTGCAGGTCGTACACACAGACTGTATATATATACTTCGCGGTGCAAAGACCTACATCAGTGTATCAGAGTTTTTAGGCGTCCATTCAGTGCTGGATCAGATCTGTAGTCAGATGAATTCGTGGGAGCTGGCGGCACCAGATCGTCCCGTCTCTGGAACCGTTTTCCATCGGATTAGTGTGGACGAACACTGCATCCACAACGAAAACGACTCGAATATGTACTAGTGTGGATGGGGCCTGAGCATCCCCTCCGAGTATCTCCTATGAGTCTCTGCCCCACAGCGTTTGAGCTCTGAGTATTTATACATAAATAAAAGTTACACACATATCAAAGCAGAGGGACTTTTGTTTCACAGGCTCGTGCTAACATACATTTGAGAACAGGTAGTGCAACAAAGGGTTTCCTGAGGGTGGGGACTGTTGTGTCTGTTAAGCCTTTACACGTGTTAATGACAGGTCTGGTCTCAGGTAGAAATCACATTCATTCACACAAAGACAGACAAAATCTTTCCACAATATAAAATGCCATCACAGCTGTATGGTGCATGTACAGATGTGAGCCTTGGATAGTAAGTTTTTATAGTCTGGTTTGAGGCTCTGAGATTGAAAAGTGGATGTATGTTGTTTTTATTATTCAACTAAAATATCTGTTCTTTTGGTGGATAAAAATAGTTTGTTTAGTCATAGTTTTAGTCAACAAAAATGCTAATGCTATTTTAATCCTTATTTTTTTCTTTAGTTTAAATCAGAAAGTCTTACCCTGAGGTTGGTGACGGGCAGCCGGTCCCTGTACCCGGGGTAGACCACGTGGAGCAGGTCCTGTCTCTGCGAGGAGATGAACGCTCTGTAGTTCGGAGACAGGCCCATGGCTTTGGCCTGGTCGTAACACAACCGGTCTGCAGAGTTCAGGCCCAACATCAGACCCGAGTGAGGCTGGTTCAGGGCCACCAGGTTGAGCTGAAGGAGGAGAGAAGAGAGAAGAGAGAAGGAGGATGAGAAAACAGAGGAGAGGAGCCCAGAACTGTGTGAAAGAAATAATAAATAATAATTCAAATACAGCAGATCCAATGATTAACACATGTATTAACGGTGCATGATGTGACTGGAGGAGGGTACAGAGACTTGCTTGTCTCCATGCTTGCCTGGAATGTTCCACAGTACGGCATTAACCTGATGCAGCAGCAAAAGCAGGTGACTCTACCAAACCAAGATCCAGTTCAAAACACAGTTCAATGTGATTTTCATGGTATTTTTCTAGGGACATTAAAGGGACAGTCTGGAATTTTGGACATAGGACCTCATTTCCTAGTGATCCAGAGTGTTGGAGACGTGTGGAGACAAAAATATTCCATCCAGTCCTTGTATTTGCAGAGGTTCGCTGGTCATAGTTATCCTGCCACTAAAAACAGTCTTACCCACACCCAAAGCAAATCTATTATTACACCAGACTGTCCATGTGAATGTCTGTGTTGATAGAATAATGTTTGAAATAAAAACTAACCTTGCATCGCATGAATCGTCGCATGTTGAGGGACTATTTTCTCATATATCAGTCCGCCGCTGCCAAACTTTCTATGAAGAAGTACAACTCGCTGCTGCTGCTCAGACATAAATCCTTCAAATCCAAGGTTGATTTTACTTCTAAAATTATTCTATCAACATGGACAGTCTGGTGTAATAATAAATTTGCTTCCGGTGTTTTGTGGAGTGGGTGAGACTGTTTTTAGTGGCAGGATAACTACGTCTCCACACGTCTCCAACACTCGCTAGGAAATGAGCCCCTATGTCCAAAATTCCGAACTGTCCCTTTAAAGATACATGACATGACTGGAGGAGGGTGCACCGCATTCTTGTCTCCATGCTTGCCTAGAATGTTCCACAGTATGGCATTAACCTGATGCAGCACAAAGAAGCTACCAAACCAAAACCCGGGTCAAATCTGTAAAAAGGTTTCTCTACTTGGACTACAAATATATACATAATGTGCTTTTCACGGCCCCTTGTAATCGAGTGGCTGCATTAATGCCATATTGCGGAACATTTTAGGCAGCTCAACATATCCACTGAGTCAAGAAAGTGGCAGACTTAAAGTGTAATTCTTACTCTGTCTTTAGTCGATCGCACTCGCTCCATCGTGGGCCCCTGGACCTGATACGCCACAGCATTACTCGGCTGAAGAAACAGAAGTGTAAGTGAAAAAAGAAACATAAACCACTAAATTGCGCTGATAATGATTAAACCGCACACCTCGTCTTGTGGAATGATGTTGTTGGAGAGGTAGATCAGACTGCCGAGCTGAGAAACAAAATAAAAATCAGTTACATCCTGGTACATTTGTTGACTCTACACGTTTAGATCAGTTTAAAGCGGCACTAGAGGCTGGTTTTGACGCTTTCGTGTGTTATTCTCAGCTGTACCTGTATCTCCTTCCAGCCCTGAGACACTTTGATGTACAGACTGGCGGTGGTGGACACAAAGGCCATGGTCCCCTCTGCGTCTCTGAGCGTGTGCTGCATCATGCTCTCGCGACTCGTAAACACCTTCATCTGAACAAACAATACAGGTTTTTAGGGGTTTTTTTTTTGGTGATAATTAACTATAACACACAAACGGTTAAATGATCTAAACTTTGACTCACGGTTGCCCCTTGTCCCGGTGGTCCTGGAGGTCCGGGGGGGCCTGGGGGGCCTGAAATGCTCACTGTAAATAACACAGAGACATATCACGGATCATAATGTCGAAGTTGTTGTTGATGTTTGCTTGGCACTCGACAGTGAGAGAAGAAACAATAACAGTGACAAAATTCATCCACCAGCATTCACATTCAGTCCGTGTTTCATTCGTAATGTAATGTAATTCGTAATAATAATGATTTGTTTTTTCAGTTTTCAATTTTGTGTTTAAATGAATGATGGAAAAAACAGATGACGGCTGTTTCCTGTTTCTGTGACTTAAACTGAGATGTCGGACTTTTGGGCCGCATTCGGACTGAACCAGGTCTAAACCAGGACTAAAACAGGTCCGGAACCAGACCAGAACCAGACCAGGAATGAGTCCGGGACCGGACCAGGACCAGGACTGAGACCGGGACCAGACCAGAACTGGGACCTGGACTGAGACTGAGAACAGGACCAGGACTGAGACTGGGACCAGACCGGGACCAGACCAGGACTGAGTCTGGGACCAGGACCAGGACTGAGACCGGGACTGAGACTGGGACTGAGACCGGGACTGAGACAGGACTGAGGCCGGGACCAGGTCAGAACTGAGATCAGGACTAAGACCGAGACTGAGATAGGGATTGAGACCGGGACTAAGGCCGGGAGCAGACCAGGACCAGACCAGGACTGAAAAAGGTTTAGTCCTGGTTTAGTGTTGGTTCAGTCCAGCATTGCAGTTTAAGTCACGTAAATGGGAAAAGGCTGTCATCTATTTTTTTCCATAATTCATGTAAACACAAAATTGAAAACTGAAAAAACAAATTATTATCTGTTTTGTTCATTTTGGTTTTGGAGACAAATAATGAAGAAAATAATTTTTTTTTTTGTGTGTTTTCTTATTTTTGACTTTATTTTGAAAAACAAATGAACAAATGATACATGGATTACATTCAAACATAAATATTTATGTGTAAACAAATGTCTAAGTTTTCTCAAATACCTGTTCCATATCTGGAGCCGGTGGAGGGTCCTGGAGGTCCTGGTGGTCCGGGGGGTCCAGGTCGGCCGTACCCAGGGACTCCAGGGGAACCGGGGACTCCAGGAGGCCCCGGGGGTCCCATCAGAGCGTCTCCTTTAGGACCCTGTGGAGGAGGAGGCCAGCTTGGTTCAGTTCAGTTCAACTTCGCTGGTTATTATTTATGTTAGTTTAGTTTGGTTTAGTTTAGTTTAGTTATTGCAATGAGACAGGGACAGTGCACAATCTACATTAACCTTAAAAAGAGAGATGTATTGTACCAGGTTATGGTGCTAATTTCCACCTGTCGTCCCCGGGCAGGTTGATGTTGTAGTTCATAAAATTTTAAATACATTCATCTCAGTTTTCCTGAATATCTCAAACAGTATTTTATTCCATTCAGATCCTCTTACAGTTTACGTCACGCAGATCAGATATTTTTTGTTGTCCCAATAGTCAAAAAACAAACAGAGAAACACTCATTAAAATATAAAGCTTCCCTCATTGATTCACGCATTAACCTCTGTCCCTTCATTTAAAAATGCTCTGGTTCAATATTTACAAAAAACCCGTAACTGTTTTGGATTATTTTGTTGTATTTTGTGACTATATTTGAACTGTGTCCTAGTTTTTGTTCAGTTTTGATTTATTATGTGCCTAAGTGTGAGTGTGCATGGTCGTGTTGATTTTGTTTTGTTTTTTCCATGTTTATTTGAGTTCCTGTAGCCTCATGTCTGCCCTATTTGTCTTCTTCTGATGTAACTATGAAGATTCCCTTGAAATCGAGATGGTCAGATATCCTCCAGGCAAAGAAATTCAGTTTTTCCGACCCAAACAAACCAAATGACGTGACGACGCTGTCCGATGAACTTTGATCTATTTTAGGGAAAATACAGACTAATTTGTGCAGCAGGAAACGCTTTATGCACGTTTGAACAATAAAGAGATCTGTGCTTTCCTCTCGATTGGGTCTAATCAAACTTTGACAAAATCACTGAGCCCTTTGTCCTCCGATTGAACGTTTAACCACTCGAATTCTGGAGTAATTTTCTCTTTGCACGAGAGACTCACCACAGGCCCAGGTCGACCCGGGAGACCAGGCTGTCCCATGAACCCAGACTCTCCTCTGTCGCCCTTTTCTCCTTTACGACCGTCATCTCCCTGTCACAAATACATCAAAATATAAGTACAACAACACAAGCGACACCAAATACAAAAAGTACGAAAGCTTAAAAATGATTTAACTCATAATTTTAAAAGGTGAACTATGCAAATTTTCTGAGATAGTGTCTGAAATGTGCAACTGTTTTAAATGTTCCACAGTATTTTATTCAATTTAACTGATTAAATGCAAGTTGATTGGAAGTATAATGCCACACACTGGGACATCCTGGGCAAAGCAATAACATCTCCATGGAGACAAGCTGGTGAAAAGTTAAATAGAGCAGCTTTTAGAAAGATTTGAGTCAAACTTACCCAGCCTCTCGTGAAAAAGTCTAAAAGCACAAAAGATAAAGGAGGTTTCTTAGACAATATAATTCACTAAAAGAAATACTGTGTCTAAGAATGGGATTAATGATACCTGGTGAAGGCAATCCAGGAGCTCCTCTCTCTCCTTTTTCTCCCTTTGTTCCATTTTTACAGTTACCTAAAGAACAAAAATTACATTAAGGGGCTTTGTTTGTATTATTCCCATGTATTTGAGCAAAATGTGTCTTGGCCCAGTACAGATTTATTGTATAAGCAGCTCTTGAGGTCAAAGTAAGTCTGCTGTGTACTGTCCTCATCTGATTATAATGCATTTTACTAACCAATGATCATTTTTTGCATAATAGTTGTTCACTCTGGTCACTGAGAGTTGTGAAAAGTGTTTATAAACTCAGGATTGAGAATAATTAGGAAGCTCTGAATGCATGAGTTAAGTGAACAATAACATTGGACGACTGTTTAAAATGAATTAGTTCTGTTTATCATGCTTTTAAGAAAGAAGTAAAAAATTTAATTATGCTTTAAGTTTACTACACACACCCTCCCTGACCCCCCCCCCTTTAAAAAATAAATAAATAAATAAATAAATATATATATATATATATATATATATATATATATATATATATATATATATATATATATATTATAATATAATAATATAATAATAATAATAATAATAACAAACAACAACAATATTATTATAATAATTATTATTATTATTATTATTATTATTATTTGTATGCATGTTAGTTTTATATTTAGTTAAGTCTGTCTTGTTGTGGATGTGCTGGGTATCCAATCCCTCAAACTTGACAAATTATAAATAAATACATTCAAAAAATTTTAATAAAAATGCTTTAAGTTTGTAATGAATAGCAGGAAATGATAAAGGGAAGTGATGATGTTGAAAATAATATTGGGACTAAAAATGTTTATTATTAAAAAGAAAAAAAGGAAGAAAGAGAGAGAAAAGGAATTAAAATTTTGAATAGGCCGTAATGTGTCAATGTAAGGTGGCCTAGTGTTGTGTTTATGTTGCACAACCGCATTACTTTTGTTTAATTTAGCCAAATTTGTGTCAGTGTGTGGCCTTTTTGTTGTTGTTTTGCATTTGTTGTGGGTGATGCTTTATGTTTTTGTGTTTGTTTTAAGTTGATTAATGTAATTTGTTAAATGCTTGTTGTATTTGATTCTTGTTGTAAATGATTGTTGTATTTTTTTAATGTTATATTCTGTTGTCCTTTATAATAATAAAAAAGAAGTAAAAATCAGGTACGGCGTGTTTAAGTTCACTGACAACAACTAAAGTTTAGTTTAGTTTATTTAATTAATGAGACAGGGACAGTGCACAATCTACATTAACCTGAACAGGAGAGATGCTTTGTACCAGATTGTAGCACTAGAGCAAATTTGTTATAGTCCATAAAATCAAACATATAAAGAAAATGTCTTTATAATGACCGGAGCGACATAACAATTCTGTATCCTCATTCACACCCAGTTTTCTCAGCATCTTAATTGAGAAGAATCAATTAAATGTTTAGTCCACTCACCTGCTGCTATTGTCCCATCTGGATTAAGCTGCAAAAAGGATCATATAATGTTATTTAAGAGTTTACTTATACTTAAATAAACTTTTATATTTAATTTAAATCAAATCACTTCAATTTGTACCTGTTAGTGACTGTCAAACCATGCAAATATTAGTCACTGAAGACTACTGGTGCATCATAACATGCAAAAACGTGAACAAACAACATGCTAATAAAATATTCTACATTTAACTTTTCAACTTTTTCACATTTCAAGAGGGTTTGTGGTTTATTCACAAAAAAAAAAAAAAAAGAGTGTTTTGCGGTCGTCGTGTCTGTCTGCCTCTCACACTGAGCCACTTTTGAAATGTTTTGTTTGTTTTTTAGCTCAGTTTTTAACTTTATATCATGACATTTTAACCAACTAAAAAGAAGTGAGAATGTGCAGTTCAAAGGACACAAGTAAAGGACTGCTGGAGTTTGTGAATTGAGCTGTTTGTTTATCCCGTATCCATGGAGGCCGTGCAAGAGGCTGGGTAAAGAGGCAGCTATGCACATTGAGACGCTACAGGATTTTTACATCGTATGTGGCAGCAAACGTGGCAGAAGTATACTAATATTTTAATAATAATGCATCGGTTTTATATATTGTTTTTCTTGACACTCAAAGACACTTTACAGATCATTATTCATTCACTCTACACTCGGTGGTGGTAAAATACTTGTGTAGACTGGGGCAGACTGACTGAAGCGAGGCTGCCAGTCTGCGCCATCTGCCCCTCCGGCCACCACCATCACTCACACACACTGCACTTTCACACTAGGCAATGTGGGTGAAGGGACTTTGAGGGAATGGCCCATAATTTCAACACCAACCAAAACCCCAGAATGGAATAAGAGCGAGGCGTTTCCTTTTGTGTTCACATGGCGCCCCCTGGAGGCTGCTGTGATGCTGCAGGACACAGATTGGGGACAGTTTTGGATTTTCCTCTAATCAAATTGTCCTGACACAGATCTGCTGACCCTCCCTGACCTGTCCTCCTGTTAAACTGCACTCAGATCTTTGACTGAGACACAAAGACATCTGAGACGAGCAGTGAAAATGCAGCAAAACCTGAATTTCCCTCGGGATCAATAAAGGATCTGTAACAGTTTCATCTTATGTGAATTATCTGATTTCTTTCTGATTGTTCCCAACTTTGACAAGGAGAATTACTATGCCAAAAATTGTGTGACAAAATGTGACAAAAACAAAAATAAAACAGAAAATGTTGAAGAGCTGCAAAGCTTTGAGGGCAGGAGTGCTACTTGGATATACAAAAATTGTGCAGAATTGTCCTTTTGGTGCTCTTCAGTGCAGGGACCAGTCTCAGATACAAAGTAGGAAAAAACTGAGGCACTCAAAAAGTAAAAAATAATTAAAATTAAAGTTAAAGTTAAAATCCCGCACGATTTTAACTTTATCTGCCATGCGGTATTAAAGGCTTTTAATTATTTTGTACTTTTTGAGTGCCTCAGTTTTTTCCTACAATGTTAAAGAGATATTTGAAAATTAATTGTATTTTGTCTTCCAAATACAACAACAGTTACTATAAAATCCATTCATTCACTGACACGTGTCACTGGATGCACAGCGTTTTTTTGTTGATCAGATTTCTCTTGTGCTGTAAACACACACTAAAATCAGATCTAATTATTGGATTATCTGATTATTACAGATTTTTTATTTTTCTGTCCAATGTCCACACTGTTAAAAATAAAAATAAAATTCAATTAGAGCAACATTAAAACAATCTACAATTTTTTTATGCATTTTTTTTTCAACACAACAAACTTCACTGCTGGCAGGACTTGATCAAGACTCTCTCCTTGAGCGATTGCGCCCTCTATTGGATCATTTGAAGTATTACAGTGAGAAATCCCAACGTTGCTACAATATCCAAAGTTACTTTAATAGGTCTAATCTAAAATCAGAGCTTGTAAAACCATGCATTATTGATCAGATTTAGCAGGTTGTGTAGTGGTTAATATGTGGTAAAGGTTGACGTGTGTAGGCCTGTCACGATAACAAATTTAAAGTGGCATATATTGAAGTAAATATAGATGATTAACGAGGATATAGAAACCATAAAGCAGAATTATTTTAAATGTACAATTTTGTTAAAAAAATACAAACTGCTGTACATAAATAACAGAATTTGACACATATATATTTCTTAATTCAACCTTCTACAGCTCAAATCTCATTAGAGTGTAGAAAAATAACCAGAAATTTCCTCTAGTGAAGAAAAAAGTACTCATGATAAGTATTGATCCCAAAATTATAGCTCCATCTGTCATGTATTAAGTGATAAGTTGATATTTATAGTATTGTATCGTGACAGGTCTAGGTTTATGAGATCTCCACATGCAGGATTAGGTTGCAGAGGATTCAGGACTAAACTGGGACCGTCTGGAGACTTACAGGCATTTTGCAGTGGGGTCTGGGAGGGATGGGGAACACTGTCTTCATTTGGTAAAGAGGTACAATAACGTAAGATTACAAACAGATTTAAACGGTCTACACGAGTTAAAGACGCCGGGACTTACTCCTTTGGGGCAGTTGAAGATGCCTGGTCGACCTGGAGGACCTGGAGGCCCGGGGGGTCCCTGTAAAACATGACCAAAATGTTATTTTATTTTTTTTTTTTAGCTTCATAACATGTGTGTGTTGTGTGTGCGTCATTGGTGGTCATTTTGAATTCCTGTATGTGTCTGTAGTCCTGTTTTAGACTTGACTAGATTTATTTTAAACATTCTGGTTTAAGACATGGTTAAAATCCTGTCATATTCACACAGCTGAATATTTTCTTAGCTGGTACTTAGTGTGAAAAGTTTGAGAATCACCGTGTTAAGAGCTCAAATGCTTGATTCCACTTTGTCATTAGGAAATTATTTGTCATCCAAAACCTAGCACCTTAATTTATTTAATGTAACCCCTTCATAATATCTTGCATAATCTTGAATTACAAATGCAAATAAAACAATAAAACAATATACCGTAAATTCCAGACTATTGAGCGCACCTGAATATAAGCCACATCAACAAAATTTTAACAAAATTTTAAAATTGTACATATATAGGCCGCACTTCAATATAAGCTGCAGGTGTTCACGTCTTCAAGAACGTTTTCAAGTTCGGGCCGTCTGCTTTTATCGCCTCTGAAAGTTTTTGACGTCTTTTTGCAATGAGTCAGTTTGTCACGCTGCCGTCGACAAAATCTCACCATCGACTCACTGATGTTGAGTTCACGTGCAGCAGCTCTGTTTCCTTCTTCGACAGCCACATCAGTTGTCTGTTAACTTAAAATCTACATCATCTGCATTTCTTCATGTGTTTTCCATGAGGAGGGTGTGTGTATGAAGCGCAAAATAACTGTTCAAAACACAATCAAACTAGAATCTTCCTCGGCGCATCACCCCCATCTCTAGGCGCATGTCTCCTGCAGAAAGAGCCTCTGTCCTGTCTGCATCATGTCAGTGTCTCGGAGGATTTCAGCAGATTTCAGACTCTCTCGGGGGCGGGGTTAGTTCTATCAATCAGGTATGAGTGGATGTCCGGCTACTGAAGTTTGAGACGTTAATTCTCGCCATTTACGCGCACGGGTAAAACGTATTCTGCTCACTAATGTTCATTTATCATCATAACTTATTTTATCACACGGCGATAAACTATTTGAGTGCGCTGACAATATCGCAAACTAGTGTAGCAACTTCATGTGAACGCTAGATCCATGTGTAACCTGCACAGACAGCAGCAAACCATAGACCGTATATGAATGGACAATGTGCCAAACAAAGAATCCGTCCATATATGGTTGTATAAGCCGCAGGGTTCAAAGTGTGGGAAAAAAATAGCGGCTTGTAGTCCAGAATTTAGGGTAATTTTCTCACTCACCATCTGACCAATGGAGTCTCCTTTCTCTCCTTTTTGTCCATTGAAGCCTGGGCGACCCTGCATCAGAAAAACACATATATCTGGTTAGTGTTTGTGTGTTTAGTGTTGTGACTTTGACCTAAGATGCGTTTTGTGATGTGGTCAAACTATTCTTGTATTTTATGAGAATGTTTTTATGTAAATATTAAGTTTTTTCTTGTTGTGGAACGGGCTGATCTCACTGGGTGACCTCACTTTGGGATCCATTTTGTGTACTGTTGTCCAAAGCAAGAATAATGACCTGACGAAGCTTTTGGACACCGGCCATCTGAGTGTGCTATGCGTTATTTTCATTTTTTATAGTGTTTGACTGTTGTTATTAGAGTAAAAACAAAACAATAAAAATAATATCATAATTCTTACAGGTCGTCCTGGGAATCCAAACTCTCCTTTTGGTCCAGGAGGGCCAGTAGGTCCCTTTAGAAAGAAATAGTGACTCATTTTATGCATTTAAAAAACATAAATTAAACTTTAAGTAATTAGTCTCTGTAAACTTTTATAGTTATTTTGTCAAAATCACTTAATCACTTAATACTCACTTGTGGTCCGGGTGGTCCAGTTACACCAACATCTCCCTGTAATTAAAATCAGCACAATTAGTAATGTTTTGTATTGTAATGTGAATTATTTATGGTGAATATGAATGATAAAGCCTGACCTTTTCTCCTTGAGGCCCCGTTGGTCCTGCAACAGCTGAAATCATGGTCCCATTGGCAGTTATGATAAACCCTGGCTCTCCCCGATCACCCTGACATGAAATAAACAAAGCAAATAAAATAAATTTAATGGAAAACAATTGCAGATTATTGTCTCAACCCGTTTCTAGTATGTTTGGGATTGTGGCTGCAGTGTCTCTCCCAGTATACAACATAAATAATTTGCATCTTTAATATTTTATACTCAATTTGTGATCTCATCCTTGTGACGATCTGCTGTTTTGGTAAAATTTTTGGTCCTAATCACTATTTTTGTGTATTTTAACGCAGCTGTCGGCTCAAACACAGATACTTTTTCCCGCCCACCTCTCCCTCTTCGATTGGCTCTCCTCTGAGTGAGTGACAGCTGGATTTGACCAATTACAGTGAAGCATAAACCAGATTTCTTAAAGGCAGTAGAAAAATACAAAGTGTTGATGAATCGTGATTAAAACTGAAATTGTGATCTGACTTTTTTTGTCCCATCGTTCTCCGCTAACTATAAAGCTCAGTTTAAATATTGTTTTGAGTTTCATATTTTGTTTTTGAGTTTCCTTACCTTAAGTCCTGGAGGTCCTTGAACTCCTGGTAACCCCATGTCTCCTTTTGGCCCCTGTGGCCCCTGAGAATAACAAAACAATCAAAAACAGTGTGATTTATTGCTGAATTATGTGAATATTAATGAGTCTTTGAAACATTACAACAATTTATTAACTTTAATGTAATAGCCTTAATAAAGGATGAACAAAAACTTGATTCATAATGAAAAATAGTTTGGAAATGATTCAGTCTCCATGGAAAAGTTATTGCTTTGGAAAGAATGTTCCACACTATGACATTAAACTTATCTGTCACCATGACCACCAAACAAAGTCACAGGTCAGATCTATGGAGAGGTGTTTTTGAGTAATAAAACCACCTATAATTACATATTTAATGGCAAACTATGGAACCAAATCAATAACACCTCCATGGAAAAGAACAAGTGGCAGAACCTTCACAAGAAATGTTACATAGTGCATCTTTAATTAAGGAGTTCGGGTATTTTGTGTAACACTGTTTTAACTTACAGCTGGTCCAAGAGTGTCCAAAATCCCTGAGAAATTGAAGGCACCGTCTGTGTCATTCAAAAACTGTAGAAACACAAGCAAATTTCACTTTTCTGGAAATTATGAAAAAATCTGAAGCGTTTTATAAGTTTTTTTTGACGCTGCACTGACTTCTTGGAGGTTGATGATTTGTCCTGGAGCTCCGGGGGGTCCTGGGGGTCCGGGTAAGCCCACTGCATCCCGTCCTGCCTCTCCCTAAAAAAAGCAAAAAACATGATTTAGTTTATAAATGATTTTAATTTCTCCAGATGTAAATGGAGTAATAGATGTAGCTTTTACCTTTTGTCCTCGATCACCTTTGTCCCCACTGGGCCCCTGTACAAAACACAGAGACAACATCAAATAATTTTAGCTGATACGCCAAAAAATGTCTGTGTATTATCTTTCAAACGTGAATATTACATTTTTATTTTATTTATTTATTTATTTTTTTCATTTTGAGTTTATATTTGAACATCTGCTATGGAGCGCTCACATGTTGCTCTGGTTCTGAATGTACATTTTCCATTCATTTTTCCCGCAGACTTTAAAAAAAAATTCTAATATTAGAGTTCAAAGGCATTGTTGAGGCTAAACAGCTACGTGCTAATACTAATATCCATAACACGGTGGTTTTCCAAAAGAAAAAAAGTAAAAAAAAATCCAGATTAAGAGGCAAGATTGTGAGAAATGCTTGAAAAGCTTGTATATTTTTTTTGGAAAAGTCTATGGGAAAAATTAATGAGAAATTTACTACCTGAAAGTTTTTTTTGTTTTATTTGCAATAATTACATCTGTAATTTAAAACAGTGCATGCAATAAAATATGTTTAATGCTGTTCTGTGTAATTTTGTAAGATAAACAATAACAACAGATGTCAGACTCCATGAGAAAAACTCACCCGTTCCCCCTTTTCTCCCTCCAGTCCTGGGAATCCTGGTCGTCCAATAAAACCGGGCTCTCCCTTTAGAAAGGATAGAAAATAAAATTAACATTTGACAATAGACACAGTGTAATAATAATATTTTTAAATAATGTGAGACAAACCTTTTGACCTGGTTTTCCTGGGGCACCAACTGCTCCATCATTGCCCTAAAGAAATAAAAGTCACAGTTAATCACAAATGGTTCAGTTTATGTTTGGTGACAATATAAAAAAACAGTGATGATTTTCTCACCTTCGGTCCAGGAGGTCCAGGGATGCCAGCCTGACCCTGAGGAAGAGCAGTAGTTTAGTCAAATGTACTTTATAATATATAATAATCAGTGTTTCTTAATATGTGGTCCTCTTTGGTTCTATTAGTCTAGGCCAGGGCCCAAACTTTTTTCTCGACAGGCCAAAATGAACTCACATAAGAGGGTCAAAGGCCAAACATAATGACAGTTTGTTCCAAAAAATTTTCTTATCTAAAGAAACTAAGCAGTAAATTGACTTAAAATATTAAATACAAATCAAATAGATAAATGTATTCATGTAAACATTTTATAGGTCAAATTTAAACTAAGTCCAGCTCTGTTTAAAGCCCCAAATTGGAAATATTTGTAAACCTTAGTCCTGGTTTAGTCTAGTCCAAGTTTAGTGCTTGTGTAGACCTAATTTAGAGCAAGTTTAGTCTCAGTTCTGCTTGTTATTGTAATACATTTGTGTGCTACCTGTGAACTTCTGGTCAGCAATGGTCCATACCCGCTTTGCACCTCTTCCTCCATGTCCTGAAAGAAAAACATAAGCTATTACTTTAACACAATCTTACTATACACAATTCAGTATTTCTCTCATGTTTAAAATGTTGCTAAATATAATCACAATACTTCAAAATTGTGCAAACTTATAGGATGTGTTCACACTTGGTTCTAGTTTGGTCCTGGCTTGAGACCAGTTTAGTCCTGAATATAGATCGTTTGGATCTGTTTTACCTCATAGTCCAGAGCGTATCCCCGTCCTGGAGGTCCTGGAGGTCCGGGGGGGCCGGGGGGACCTCTGGGACCGGGCTGCCCCTCAGGACCCTCTGATCCTGGGATACCGGGGAAGCCTGCAGGGCCCTGGTCTCCCTGGAGGAAACAACAGGAAAAACACAGCAAGGTTTTTGATTTACTGCAGAATTAAATTGTTTTAAATGTACGTATAAATACATGTAACATAGGCCTGGGTGAGACTAAGATGGAAAATGACCAAATCAGCGTTACAAGTTGAATATTAATGAATTTTGAAATAAATGTTTTATGATCTATGTTGTTATTTTCTTCATAAGATCGTAAGATAATTAGCCAAACCTAAAACCTAATATAACTGAAATGTAAAACCTGAATTAAGAAATCACTTTTGTTATAAGAATTACCTTTGGTCCCGGTTGTCCACTTAAACCTGGTTCACCCTGAAAAAACAAAACAAAAACAATTAATTGACAAAATGTGACTGTTCTGTCTTTCGGAACGTTATTTTAGTTCATTTTAATGCATACGGTTTTATTTTGAAATCCGTGCTTTTATTTTGGTGCTCCACACCAGACCGTGAAACCGGAAGTGTGAAAAGTAAACAAAAGAAATGAGAACGCGAGGTGACAAATGGAGTTCGCTAAAAATCAAACTTAGTGCAACTCCTACAGAAGCACGTTTGTACATTTAATTTGTGTAATTTCATGAGTGTATAACTTACTTAAAAACGAAATTGTAAGTTAAAAAGACGTCGTTATTATTTAAAGTAGTCTGTTATTTATGTATCACGCATGCTCAGATAATATACTAATGATAAAAACAGATCTGTGATAAATGCATGTATTTATTTTCATGTTAAAATAAGCCAACTTTTATGGGCAATTTCTTGTTACTGTTTTACTACAAGTTTCTGAGCTCTCAATGTACATGTACTGAAGTGTGTGAATGTGTTTTGTATTTTCTCTTGCAGTTTCACTCTACATTTTTAAGATGAGCATTAAATGTGAAAACTACAACAAGTGTCTCGTCATTGAATCAGAGTTTACCTCGCTGTCAAGAGGAGAAGTGGAGGACAGTACACTGACTACTTTTTGCACCTTGAGCCTTAAGCTGTGAGCCTAAACAGCCCACTATGCATCATATTATATTATTAACAGAATATATGCTTAAAATGTCATTACAGTTCACAGTAAACTCAAAATCTGTGACTCTTGTGAGCATTAAGCCATGTTATAATGTTGTTATCTCATCAAAAACAGACCTGGAGTTGCGTTCTGTTTCATTCACACATGTTTGAGTAATTCTTTATTATTAGTCTGTCTACTCAAAATGCTCATAATGCTCTGTTCCACATTGTGATGTCATCAACAGCTACCTTTTACCTTTAGTCCAGTTTTGTTGAGAGAAGAACTCAGCTTAAATATGCAGAGTTTGTGAGTTAAACATGTGTGAATGAAACAAAACACAACTCCAGGTCTGTTTGTGATGAGAAAATAACATTATAACATAGACAGCAGTGTAATAATATAATAATGTAGCGCAAGGGTCATCAAACTAAGCCGAGCCCACTCTGGCAATCCTCAGAAGTTGTCATGGCCTATTTTTTTTATTTTATTTACTACTTTTTGGCAAATAATGACATATCGCATCTCTGCATTCTGTTGATTTTTTCAGTTAAAAAAATGATATTCATATTTATATTAAGTATTTATATTTAAATAATTATATGACATATTTACATTTTTGTATTAAGTAATTTTCATCACTGACAAGCTCGAGATTAAACAGTGATGGTCAACGCACGTGCAGAGTTCTGTAGTGCAGTTAAGGACAACAAAATGCAAGTGTTAAAGTACAAAAAGTTGACAGAAAGTGCAGAGTTTTCAAAGAACAGTGGACGACCGATTATTTTTTTGTTCAGTGTAAGGACCGTGCAGTTTGTCTGATATGTAAAGAAAGTGTGGCGGTTTTCAAAGAATATAATCTGCGTCGTCAGGGTCAAACAATTCTGTTAAACGACCAACCCGACCCCCAAACCCCATCACAGTCAGGAGCCCCCAGAGAAAAAAGTTTGGCCCCCACTGTAGTGTATAATATTCTGTTTGTCTCATTTACCTTGTCTCCTTTCTCTCCAGCAACTCCAGGTTCACCATCTTTTCCATCAGACCCCTACAAAACAAAACAAATCTTATTATCAAAATTTTTAGACAAGTTAGACCAGCGAATTTGACTAATCACTACAGAAAAAACAAAGTATGGACTCTACTGGACACAATCCTTACCTTTATTTGCAGACATAAAGTATAATTTAGACGTGTCCAGTATATTTAAAACATGCCAGCTCTTATGGTTTTGTAATCGACAGGAGCGAAAGCAAAAGCCGCTAATAATTAGAAAAGACACATCTCCCCAACTCTGCAGCTACGACCATGTTCACAAACAAGCTTTAAGGTCCTTTATGATGCATTTTTCAAGGTTTAAAACAACCTTTGAACACCTTAGATCTGTTATTTTATAGTGTATTCATTGAAAAAAAAGTAATGTGATAATATAATGTAAGATGAGACCACAATTTCCTGATTGTTACATACAAAAAGGCACCAGCAGAGGGCAGTAGTACTCAATGTGCAGATGAACTGGGCAGTCTACAAGCACTATAGACGGTAGCAATGTGGTTTGTTGTTAATAATTTCTGAGTATTAAAATGATTTGAATGAAACTAAATTAACTTTAACCTTTACAAACTGTTCATTTCTTAAAGACATAGAGGAGCACTTCTGATTGGATTATGATCAGATGACATTAAGGGGTGTGGGTGAGTCAAAGTATAAAGATTTATGCAAAGATGTGTGAATCAAAATAATAAAAATAAACTTATCTTTTAAATCAGACCTGGGCATTGTACAGTCCTTTGCTTGACTCTGACCGGTCCGTTTAAGCTCATTTGGAATCACAAAATAAACATGTTTTATAATTTTACCTCATGCAGGGACTAAAGCTGCTTTGCTTTTATTTTAGAGATGGTTTTAAATGACAAATTTGACTAATTACTACAGGAAAACTTGGACTCTACTGGACACAATCCTTATCTTTAATTACAGACATATAATTTACATGTGTCCAGTAAATTTAAAACATGCCAGCTCATATGACATTATAAATCTGTAGGAGCAAAGCAAAAGCCGAAAATTTGAAAAGGCAACTTCACTTTTTCATTGCTTAGTCATGACATAAACTCTTACCAGCTCGTCAAAACAATTTACTGATATTTATAAAGAAATACAATTAATATTATGGAGAATTGAGTTAAACATTTGGGTCCTCCACAATATTTTCTGTTTCTCAAGGGGTCTGTGGAAAAAAATATTGTTCATTCCTGTTTTAAACCAATAAAAATATGTAAGTATATGCCCATTTTTTCTTTACTTTTTTCTTTTTCTTTTTTGTAGATATGTAAGCCTTTATATTTTTTAGAACCAGTCCAGGTATTTTTTTTGTTGAGGAAATGAGCTAAAAAAGTGAGTTTAGCAAAATAAAGGACCTTAATAATAAAGAAAAGCTCTGAATAGAAACAGTAAAAGTTAAAGTTTCAGGCAGTGGACGGAACATGGGACCATAAACCGTTGGGGAGATTCTGTCTTTCCGTCCCTAAAACGGGACTTTTGTAATACCTGACCAGAACCAGACCAGGACTCAGGACCAGGGCCAGGTCCGGACCCAGGCTCAGAGCCAGAGCCAGATTCAAGACCAGAACCGGACCCGGATTCAAGACCAGAGCCGGATTCAGATTCAGGACCAGAGTCGGACTTTGAACCGGTTCCAGACCCTAACTCAGGGCTAGACCCGGACTCAGTTCTAGACCCGGACTCAATTTTAGGCTCGGACTCAAATTTAGACCCTGACTCAGGACTAGACCCAGTCTCAGTTCTAGACCCAGACTCAATTTGAGACTCTGACTCAATTCTAAACCCCGACTCAGGTCTAGACTCTGACTCAGGACTAGTCCCAGACTCAATTCCAGACCCGGACTCAGGGCTAGACCCGGGCTCAATTCCAGACCCGGACTCAGGGCTAGACCCGGGCTCAATTCCAGACCCGGACTCAGGGCTAGACCCGGGCTCAATTCCAGACCCGGACTCAGGACTAGACTCGGGCTCAATTCCAGACCCGGACTCAGGACTAGACTCGGGCTCAATTCTAGACTCGGACTCAATTCTAGACTCGGACTCAAGGCTAGACCCGGATTCAGAATCAGATCCGGACTCAGGCTCAAAATCTGATCCAGAACCAGAGACAAGTCTATACCCAGATCCCGACTCTGAACCAGACCAGATTTCAGACTCAAAACCGGATTCAGAGCCAGACTCAAGCCCAGAGTCAAGTCCAGTTCTTGACCCGGACTCTAGACCCAACCCAGACTCTAGACCAGACCAGATCTCAGGTTCAGGGCTAGGTTCGACTGTAGACTCTGAGCCAGACTCGGACCAGGACTCTGGACCAGACCCAGAACTGGACCCAAACTCAGTAAAAGACTGGGATCCGGACCCAGAGGCACTAAACCACTCTTCAATAACCTGGGGACACATTATACATAAAAGTACTTGTTTACAACACAGTTCATGAATATTTGTTGAAATACTTTCACTTTCTTATTAATTCAGCAAAAAGAAAAATGCAATATGACATACAGTAGGAACTCGCTTAAAACCTCCTACTTCTGGAAATTAAAACTGCAATTCTATAGACAAATAATATTTAATAACATGGGGGCAGCTAAAATGAATATTGTGAAAATGAAGATGTTTGTGGTTCTAGGCTCTAGTCACTGAAAGAAATCAATCAAGAAATCAAATACAATGAGAATACAATCGAATCATGAATCACTACATCACACTCACACATACACATGACACTATGACAAAATCACCAATACTTAACGTAAAATTAACGTAAAATGAAAATTTGAAATACTAACATGTCATCACATTAACATGAGCGAGGATCTTATCAAACAGTCTAATGAGGTTCATCTGAAAATTTGTTGTTAGATTCTTTTTCCAGACCAAGAGTTTGTTTTCATACCTGACTGTTTCGACTGCTCACTAGCGCTCTTCCTCAGAGTGGTCACATGATTTAGTTTGTCAGCTGATTTAAACAGGTTTTGGTGCTGTTTTCCTACAGGTGGAGGCAGGACGACAGCGCCATCTGCAGCAATAATGTTTGTTATCTTCTGTCCCAAACATCATTGGGACAAACGACAACAAACATCGCCACTGGATTAAAGAACAAATCGAAATATGGAAACGTGCCCATGGGACTATAAACCGGGACGATGGGGCTTTTTTACTCTCACACACCTGGGACAGTGTCCTGAGGAAGTCGGACTGTAGATGGCGCTGTCGTCCTGCCTCCACCGGTAGGAAAACAGCACCAAAACCTGTTTAAATCAAATGACAAATCACATGACCACTCTGAGGAAGAGCGCTAGTGAGCAGTCGAAACGGTCAGGTCTGAAAACAAACTTCTGAAAAATAACCTAATAACAGAACTTATCAAACACATTGCATCGGTCCCAACTCAATTCTCTGTTTACACCGTGAAACAGTGAATAACTCACAGGCAGCCCCGGGTCGCCCTTCTGCCCGTCTCTGCCTGGAGGTCCAGGGACCAGAGCGTCCGAGGGGGAGCCTGGGGGTCCAGGCTGTCCGGGGGGGCCGGGGGGTCCTGGGGGGCCCTGGGTGTGACATGAAGATATGGTTTAGAGGGATATAACTGTAGATGTACTTCTACTACTACTACTACTAGTAGTAGTAGTATTAGTAGTTGTAGTCCAATAAACTGTACTGAAATAAAAACTTACTCTGACAATCTCTGCGTCACTGTCAAAGTCGTCAAACCCTGAGCCCTCCTGAAAACAAAAAACACAGTCAGAGAAGAGAATAAACCCAAATGAGTCCAAATAAATAAACTGTTTAAAAAGTTCCTAGCCAGAGTAATGAGGTGAAATAAGAGATGGATACATGATGGAGTGAATACTCAGTTGGTCAGTCTATCACAAACAGACAGATTGAACGTGAGCCGTACCACAGACGTCACTCGTCCTGGAGGTCCAGGAGGCCCCGGTGGACCTGGCAATCCCACCCCTGTGTCTCCCTAAAGAGGACAGGATGGTCAAACATCATGTGTCATTTTCATACAGACATTTTTAGTCTTAAGTCTAGAGTTTTATTATCAGAGATTCTACAGCAAAAGAGTTTAACCTTTTCCCCTTTAGGCCCGAGCTCTCCCTGAAGTCCTGGGAATCCTGGATGTCCATCTGGTCCCTGTAGATATCAAGATAATAGTGTTAGTGTTTTCTGAATGTTCAAGTAACAAGAACTATTGTGCAATCTTGTTCATGTATTTTTAATTGAGTTAACTCAAAACAAGCAGATACTCACTGGTTCACCATTGTCTCCTTTGCTTCCCTAAAAACAAATAAAACAATATTAGTCATGGGAGACAAAAGTTTCAAATGTGCAGTTTTTCATGATGTCACCAACTACTTGAAACTGCAGAGGCCACTAAAAGCAGAACACACTTAGATTTAAGTGTTCTGGACCAAAAAGCTGCAACTTTACTACATTTACTACAGTTGCCAAAAAATGACTAAGAACAGTAGATAATAAATTAAAACACCATGTACACAGTTTCTTTAATCACACTAAGTGGTTGTAAAACTGAGCTTATGTAACTCACAGGCAGCCCGTCTCTCCCTGGCGCTCCGGTGGGTCCTGGGACTCCCTCTGGTCCCTGTGGTCCTCTGGGTCCAGGACTGGCTCCAGACCCGGTCCCCTCTGAGGCGGGTCCAGCAGGGCCGGGGGGTCCGGGAGGTCCGGGGGGGCCTTGGTCTCCTCTCTCCCCCTTCAGTCCTGGAGATCTGGACGTCTGCACCAACTGGAACAGATCCACATGAATGTTTCGTGCACGAGGGGGATTCTGCTTCTACTTTGCCATCACACCAGAGACGACAGAAAACTCAGCTTCACAAAACTGTAACTAGACACATGTTTTCCATTCAAACTGTCCAACAGAAACATGTGACCAGGGGATTTTTATTTGGAAATCCTGTTTTAATTCACCTTTGTGTATATTTAAAATGAAAATAAATCTCTAATCATATCCTTTTACATCCAGGCCTAATAAACTAAACTAATTCATATGTAATACCCATTTATCACTTGGCTGCCCCCTAGTGTTGAGTCTGAATAAACAGGAGATGGAACAATTTGTGAACTGTTCAAGTTGTAATATTTGAGAAACTGCAGAGTGTAATATAATTCATAATGACTCACTGTGTTTGGGGTGTGGGCAGCAGGGGTGGGGGCTGGGGGGGTTACTGGAGGTGAAACTGTAAAAACAAAAACACAGTTATCATGTGTTAGATTTGCTGTATGCGCTACAGCACCATCTGGTGGTAACATCAAGTATTACTGCCAAAACAACATTCTTGTTTACTTGTAGTTAGATAATATTTGTTTTATAAATAACTTTCATGCATAATTATATTTTTTATTAAAGTTAAAGAGACAGTTCAGAATTTTGGACATAGGACCTCATTTCCTAGTGAGCCAGAGTGTTGGAGACGTGTGGAGACACTTTTTTAAAATATTCCATCCAGTCCTTGTATTTGCAGAGGTCGCTGGTGCTAGACTAGTGCATGTCAATGGCCATAGTTATCCTGCCACTAAAAACAGTCTTACCCACTCCACAAAACACCCGAAGAAAAACAATTATTACTCCAGACTGTCGATGTAAATGTCTGTGTTGATAGAATAATGTTTGAAATAAAACTAACCTTGCATCGCATGAATCGTTTCATGTTGAGGGACTATTTTTTCATAAATCTGTCCGCCGCTGCCGAGCTTTCTATCAGGACGTACAACTCGCTGCTGCTGCTCAGACATAAATCCTTCAAATGCAAGGTTGGTTTTACTTCTAAAATTATTCTATCAACATGGACAGTCTGGTGTAATAATAAATTTGCTTCCAGTGTTTTGTGGAGTGGGTAAGACTGTTTTTAGTGGCAGGATAACTACGTCTCCACACGTCTCCAACACTCGCTAGGAAATGAGCCCCTATGTCCAAAATTCCGAACTGTCCCTTTAAAGATACATGACATGACTGGAGGAGGGTGCACCGCATTCTTGTCTCCATGTTCCACAGTATGGCATTAACCTGACGCAGCACAAAGAAGCTACCAAACCAAAACCCGGGTCAAATCTGTAAAAAGGTTTCTCTACTTGGACTACAAATATATACATAATGTACATAATCGCTGCTGCTGCTCAGACATAAATCCTTCAAATGCAAGGTTGGTTTTACTTCTAAAATTATTCTATCGACACAGACATTTACATCGACAGTCTGGAGTAATAATAGATTTTCTTCGGGTGTTTTGTGGAGTGGGTAAGACTGTTTTTAGTGGCAGGATAACTATGGCCATTGACATGCACTAGCCTAGCACCAGCGACCTCTGCAAACACAAGGACTGGAGGGAATATTTAAAAAAGTGTCTCCACATGACTCCCACACTAGGAAATGAGGTCCTATGTCCAAAATTCTGGACTGTCCCTTGAAGCTCCTGTGTTCCCCGTCCTCTCTCTGTACCTGTCTCCTGCTCCTCTCCCGATGTCCCCTCTATAAACGTGTCTTCGTCGTCCTCTCCTCTGGACTCGGTTGGAGGAGCTGGGACCGGCGTGCTGTGGGCCTCCAGGTCTGGGAAGGACTATAAAACAAAAAAACAATAAGCACAAATATGAATTAAAGATAACATAGTAGTAATATGGAACATGTGCAGAAAACTAAGTAGTTGTGCAGTAGTCGTAGTAGCAGTAGTAATAGTAGTACCATATTTTCCGAACTATTGAGCGCACCTGAATAAAAGCCGCATCAATTAAATTTTAACAAAATTTTTAAATTGTACATATATAGGCCACACATGAATATAAGCCGCAGGTGTCCACGTCTTCAAGAAAGTTTTCAAGTTCAGGTCGTCAGGTCTTTTATCGCGTCTGAAAGCTTTTGTTGTCTTTTTGCGTTGAGTCAGTTCGTCGCGCTGCCGTCGCCAAAATCTCACCATCGACTCACTGATGCCGAGCTCACGTGCAGTAGCTCTGTTTCCTTCTTCCGCAGCCACATCAATCGCCGTTAACTTAAAATCTGTATCATCTGCATTTCATCGTGTGTTTTCCATGAGGAGATTGTGTGTATGAAGCGCAAAATAACTGTTCTACTGCGCATGTCTTCTGCAGAAAGAGTCTCTGTCCTGTCTGTATCATGTCAGTGTCTTAGACCATTTCAACAAATTTCAGACTCTCTCGGAAGCGGGGCTAGTTTTATCAATCAGGTATGAGTGGATGTCCGGCTACTGAAGTTTGAGACGTTTCTTCTCGTCATTTACGCATATGAGTAAGACGTATCCCCCTCACTAATGTTCATTTAGCATCATAACTTATTTTATTACACGGCGATCAACTATTTGAGTGCGCTGACAATATCGTGAGCTCGTGCAGCACAGACAGCGCTGTTTTCTGCACTCACTGTGTCGCCAAACCATAGGCCGTATAAATGAATGTGCCAAACAATGAATCCGTCCGTATATTTGCCGCATCGTTTTATTAGCCGCAGGGTTCAAAGTGTGAGGAAAAAAGTAGCGTCTTATAGTCCGGAATTTACGGTATTTTAATTGCCATTAGAAAAAAGCGAAGAGTGCCCTAAAAGCAACCACATACAGCAAACAACTGACCTAGTATTAGCCTTAGTAGTAGTAGTAGTAGTGATTTCCTCTCTCAGCCCACATCAGAAGGAGTACAATATCAAAGTACTACCAAACTACATCAATGGCAATACGCACCAGACGTACTTCTAATTGAAAACTCCCCTGAGCTTTGTACTTGTGGTTTTTCTGTGTATTTATTTTGAGCTTTACTGTCAAAACAATGGGACAGTAAACAGAGCGGAGGAAACAGCCTTTTTCTGTGCTGTTTGTTTTAAAATGGGCCGGGTCTAAAGTTCACTTATGGGAAAAATCTGTGGGAAAAATTGGCAAAACAAGCCCAGCTGCCCACACTTCCCGGTTTCCCTCTTTTTCCAAACTTTGAAAAAACTTTGAAAAGGTCACGGCCAATCACGGAGCTCCAGTCTGCACCGGCGTGATAAGAGACGTTTGTGTTGACTTAAAGGGCCCGTAGTACGATATTTTCGGATCTATGTTACACCTGGAGTTGTGTTTTGTTTCACACACAAACCCGGCGCATTTAGGCTGAGTTCTTTTCTCAAACGTAAAACACTCAGTTCCAGCTTGTGATGTCATGTGGTGATACAGAAAGTGCTCCAGTGTGTTTTTAAACTCCACACACCTTCACTTGAATCATTTGGATCGTTTCAGGGTCTGTTTACACGAGACAACGCGACAAAATATTTTATCAGAAGTGTCTTTCTTTTAGACTTTGACGGCATCGTTGGGGCTTAAAAACGCAAAACTCTGAAACCAACTCTGAAAGTGTTTACATCTTCACTGCCCAAGACGTAAAACTCTGGTCAGATCTGCTCACGTCGCGTACACGTTTACGTCACATACATACAGTAACAGAAACAAACATGTCTCTGGCAGCTCTAATAAACTTACAGGAGGCTCCCAACAAATGTAAGAATCTGCAGAGACACTATTAGTGAACAGAGAAGGATCTGCAATCACCTCTGTCAAATTCTGGATGCACCAGTTCGTCGCAGGCGAGTCAGACGGGTATGGACCAGGAGAACTAATCGATGATGGGACGACTGTGTGGAAGGAGCAGCTGATGAAAATGGCGTAAAAAACTTCCGTATGTCCAAAGATGCCCTCGTTGCTTTAAGTACATGCACACCAATCGGATTCCACACACTTTTGCGTCACCGCATGCACGCAGATTTCCTCACGAAAACGCTTGTCTAAACGCGGAATAAAAAGTGAAGACGCAACGCCACTTTTGCATCTTCTGTTCAGACCGTCATCGTATAAACGTAGCCTCAGCGCTGGGATTGGTCACTCTGTACTGAACTAAAAGGTAAAACGTAGCTGTTAACTTGAAAACTGCCGCTTCAGCTGAGCATTTTGAGCTTCGGAGACAAGAAGGCGACGCTATCAGGCCAGTTTACAGGTCAGATCTGTGGCGAGGCAAGCCCTGTTACAGCTACCTTTTACTTTTTCAGTTCAGTAGAGATCGGGAACTCCAAGGCTGAAATCATCCAAATGATTCTAGTCAAAATGTATGGAGTTTAAAAACACAGTGGAGCACTTCTTGTATTACCACATGACATCACAAGGTGGTACAGAGTGTTTTCCGCTTGAGGGAAGAACTCAGTCTAAATCTGCAGGGTTTGTGGTCACATGTGTGAATGAAACAAAAAAACACAACTCCAGGTCTGTTTGAGATGAGGAAACAACATTTATAACATGTACACAAAGATGATTTTAAGACGGAACGTTAAAGTTTTGAAACCCTTTAAAATAAATAAAATGTACCTCGTTGATCTCTTTTATGTCCACTTGCCCCCGTCCTTCTTTTCGTCCTTCCGGCCTCTCCTCATTGTCATACGAGTCTCCACTGCCGAAACCAGACGCCTACAAACAGAGAAATAAATATGAGACTTACAGTTCTCTGGAGCAATGGTATATATTTGAGTCTCTCTTATTTATTTATTTTTTTATTTTATTTTTTTTACAAGTTGTATTATTATTATTATTATTATTATTATTATTATTATTATTATTATTATTATTATTATATCTACATATTTTTTTAAGCTGTTTTAACACAAGGATGGGGGGAAAATGGGGAATAAAAAAATAAACAGAAACATTGTGTACTACTGTCATATGTCAATCAAGTATATATATTTGTATTTGTTTTGTGAAACTTTGACACAATAAAGTATATAAAAATCTTACTGTAACAATCTCTAATTATATTTTATGCACGACTGAGTTTTACAGAAATTGTTCTTTCAAATGTTCAAAAGTTAATTTACTCAGAACAATCATCATATCATCTTTTGCACTTTTTTCTCACGACCTCTTGTCTATAATTGTAATATACTGTATTTACATTACAATATTTGTTTTTTACTTACTATACACACATTTATATCATTTATGTCTTATTTGACTTCGGTCTTTTGCTTTTTTTATTGCCACTTTTTAGAAATTATTGCTACTTTTGAGAGGTTTTTGCTACTTATTTATTTATTTATTGTTTTTATTCCTTTTTTTTTTTTTTTTTTACTCTTTATTATTGAAATATGATGTGATATGTGAGCTACTGTGTCTATTTTTTCCTTGTGGATCAATAAAATTTGTCTAAGTTTAAATCTAATTCTAAATCTAGGTCTAAATGATGCAAAAATGCACCATCTCTGAAACTTTTATAAAGACAAAAATGAATATTTTGTTGATTTTTTAAATAATAATGTGTGAAATTCTTTGTACTGGTGTAAATTAACCAATTCTAGTCCCAGTTTAGTCCCAATTTAGTCCTGATTTAGTTCTAATTTTATACAGAGTCTGTGCAAGTGAAAAAGGAAAGTTAAAAAGTCTACATGTAATTCCTGTGTTCCGCCACTAGAGGGAGCACTGTCCTTGCATTTACTAGTCCAGGACCTGTTTCCCTGATGGACACAGCTGAACTTTCCACTTGTTTATGTTGTTTTGTTCACACATGTTGAGTCAGTCTGGATTATTAAACTGTCTGCATCCCCCAAAACGACAAATGTTTCACCTTATGATGTCATTCAGTGGTGGTTTACTATTTACTACTGCATTACTTTTAAGTTACTCTCACCAAAATAACTGATGCTGAACTTTTGCACCGTGTATGGACTGAACCAGGACTAAACCAGGACTAAACCAGGTTTAAACCAGGAGGACTGAACCAGGTCTAAACCAGGACTAAATCCAGACTGAACCAGGATTAAACTACGTCTAAACCAAGACTGAACTAAGGACTAAACCAGGGCTAAACCAGGACTGAACCGAGGACTAAACGATGTCTAAACCAGGACTAAATCAGGACTAAACCATGTCTAAACCTGGACTAAACCATGTCTAAACCTGGACTAATCCAGGACTAAACCTGGACTAAACCTGGATTAAACCAAGACTAAACCAGGACTAAACCAAGAGTAAACCACGACTGAACCAGGACTAAACCAGGACTAAACCAGGATTAAACCAGGCCTAAACCAGGACTAAACCAGTTCTAAACCAGGACTAAACCAGAGCTGAACCAGGACTAAACTAAATCTAAACCAGGACTGAACCGAGGACTAAACCAGGACTAAACTAGATCTAAACCAGGTCTAAACCAAGACTAAACCAGGACTAAACCAGAGCTGACCCAGGACTGAACCAGGACTAAACTAAATCTAAACCAGGACTGAACCAGGACTGAACCAGGTCTAAACCAGGACCAAACCAGGACTAATCTTGGACTAGAACTTGGAATCTGCGTTACGGCAAAAAGCAACACATTACAGTAATTCGTTACTTTTATACCGCGTTACTCCCATCACAGATTTTAAGGTTAACAGCTCCTTTTAGTCTCATTTAATATCCATGTTTTGGCTTTTGTAGAGTTGAAATTGTTAATAAAAAGTCTCAAAGTGTCAGCGAGGCCAAAACAACAGCTGTAACTTCAAAAAGTCCAGCGCTGAAAAGATCCAAATGATTCAAGTGAAGGTGTTTGGAGTTTAAAAACAGAGTGAGGATTTCCGACATTAACGCTTCAAAACAACAAAAGGTGTTTTCAGTTTTCAGAGAGAACAACTCGGCCCGAATGATTTGCGTGATAAACATGTGTGAACGAAACAAAACACAAGTCCAGGTGTGTTTGCGAAGAGGAAACGACATTATGACAGAGATCGGAAAAAGTCCCGTACAGGTTCTTGAAATGATTTTGTGGAATTGTGTTTTTGTTTGTTCGACTCACGTAGGGGTCGTCCTCCTCGCACTGGTCGTCCGGGGCCGTGGGATCAGACTTCAGGAGCAGCTGCTGAATCAAGCCCTGCACACAGAAACAGAGGGATGAGAAGAGGAGGACAGGAGAGAGAGAAAGAGGGAGAGAGAGGAAAAAGAGAGGAGAGGAGAGAGGAGAAGAGAGAGAGAGCGAAGAGGGAGAGAGAATGAGGAGAGCAGGAGGGGAGAAAGGAGATAGAGAGAGAGAGAGGAGAGAAAGATAAGAGAGGAGAGAGAAAAGAGAGCGGGAGGAGATGGAAGAAGGAGAAGAGAGAGGGAGGAGAGAGGGAAAGAGGAGAGAAGAGAGGAGAGAAAGAAAGTAAAGCGGGAGGGGAGAAAGGAAGAGAGAGAGAGAGAGAGAGAGGGAGGCGAGAAAGGAGATATAGAGAGAGAGGGAGGAGAGAGAGAGAGGAGAGAGAAAGGGACCGGAGAAAGGAGAGAGAGAGAGAGAGAGAGAGAGAGAGAGAGAGAGAGAGAGAGAGAGGTGAGAAAGGAGATATAATATATATATATATAGAGAGAGAGAGAGAGAGGGAGAGATGGGAGAGAGAGATAAGAGAGGAGAGAGAAAAGAGAGCGGGAGGAGAGAGGGAAAGAGGAGAGAAGAGGGAGGAAAGAAAAGAGAAAGAGGAGAGGGAAAGGAGAGAAGGGAGAGAGGAAAAAGAGAGGAGAGGAGGGAGGGGAGGAGAGAGAGAGAGGAGAGAAAGAAAGCAAAGAGGGAGAGAGAGGGAGGAGAGCAGGAGGGGAGAAAGGAGATAGAGAGAGAGAGAGATAAGAGAGGAGAGAGAAAAGAGAGCGGGAGGAGAGACAAGAGAGAGAGAAAGAGAGAAAGACAGATGGTAAATAGAGGAGAGAGAGAGGAGAGAGCACACAGAGTTTGTTGTGTAGCGTGAAAATAGAGATCATTTTCTGAATCGTCAGAGACTCTGAGCCAAATCATGTTTCCCACATCAACCCGAGGTCCAAGAGCAGGAGCAAAAGGACAGAGGAGGGACAGAGGACGAACTAGAGGATGGATAGAGGAGGAAGAGAGGAGAGACAGAGGAAGGACAGAGGAGAGACAGAGGAGAGACAGAGGAGGAACAGAGGAGGAACAGAGGAAGGACAGAGGAGGGACAGAAGAGAGACAGAGGATGGACAGAGGAGGGACAGAGGAGGGACAGAGGAGAGACAGAGAGAGACAGAGAGAGACAGAGGAAGGACAGAGGAGGGACAGAAGAGAGAAGGAGAGACAAGAGGAGAGACAGAGGAGGGAGAGAGAGAGAGACAGAGGAGGGACAGAGAGACAGAGGAGACAGAGGAAGGACAGAGGAAGGACAGAGGAGGGACAGAGGAGGGACAGAGGAAGGACAGAGGAGGACAGAGGAGGGACAGGAGGAGAGGACAGAGGAGGGAGGAGGAAGGACAGAGGAGGGACAGAGAGACAGAGAGACAGAAGACAGAGGAGGACAGAGGAGGGACAGAGGAGACAGAAGGACAGAGGAGGAACAGAGGAGAGACAGAAGAGAGACAGAGGAGGGACAGAGAAAGACAGAGAGACAGAGGAGGAACAGAGGAAGGACAGAGGAGGGACAGAGGAGGGACAGAGGAGGAACAGAGGACGAAAGTGGACGGACAGAGGAGAGATAAAAGACAGATAGAGGACGGAACATCTCAACAATGAATCTGAACTCTGAGTCAAAGGTTCACAGTGAAAGAAAAATGTTTTACACCTGTTTAGTTACAAAACCATTAAAATAATAGTGTGTAATGACAATCATCAATAATAATAATGAGTTCCAGAACATCAGAAAAGGCCCATTACACATTTAATGGAGTTTGAAAATAAACGTTTCACATGGACTCACAATATTTAAGGCCAACAAACTTTTAAAGGGCCCATCTCATGCAAAATAACTCTTTTCACATTGTATCTTCTGCACATAAACAAGCACAGTGTGGGTTTTGGAACGTCCATTACACAATAGTTATGAAATCTTACTGATTTCTTGGAGGCGTCACAGACCAGGAACTATGAAAGACCGACTATCACTCCTCCCCCCGCCCGTCCTGAGAAAGCACAGGCTCCGCCCTCCAAACGTGACGTAGGTTCTGAGTGAGCCGCCCTTCCTCCGCCATCTCAGGGAGGGAGGGGGAGACAGACGTGACCCTGATAGCGGTAGAAATAAACTTTTATTCATCATGATGATTCAGCGCGTTCAGCCGCATGTGTTGGACCTGGAATCGGACGAGGACTTTGAGGTGCACGAAACTGATTGGTAAAATATTAATAAACGCTAGTAGATAAACTTATTATATCACTGCAGTGTAGAACAATGAGCTTATGCTGTCACTTTTGTTTAGATCAGGGGTGTCAAACTCATCTTGGTCCGGGGGCCGTATCCAACCTATTTTTATCCCAAAGGGGCCGGATCAGAAAACTCATGGCATATAAACCCCAAAAATAGTAATAGGTTCAAATATTTGTGCAGAGAAATGCAAATCTATTACAAAAAACTTTTTTAATTGATGAACTCTTTATTTTACAAAATGTTATACTCTTATGAACAACCTGAAACTTTAAGAAAAATGCAATTTCAACACAAAGTTTTAACATGAACTTGTATGCAAATAGGAGTAAGTCAATTTTTCACTCTGCGTCCACTTTTCTCCTTTTTGACATTTTTCTGATGAGGGTGTCACGGTCAACAGTCAAAACGATTGTCCTTTAAGAGCGTTTGGAAAGAGACAAGTCTTCATTTGTGCTGCTCTGGTGGGAGGGGCCACGCACAGAGACGCTGGAGACCAAATTACCAATATTTAAATAGAAAATATAATTTAAATATTTTAGTAGAAAATCAGCCGAGGGCCAGATTAAAGGTCTTTGAGGGCCGGATCTGGCCCCTGGGCCTTATGTTTGACACCTGTGGTTTAGATGTTCATGTGGGAATTGTCAGTCGATGCGGGGTGGAGGCGGGGTGGAGGAGCAGGGTGGAGGAGCGGGGGACTGTTGTGAAGCGCTTTATGTCAAACGCGTCATAGGTGTAGTTGCTGTGTCATCATTGTAGCAGCTTTAGTTTGTTGTCACGTGGGACGGTGGCAAAAATACGCTGCAATTTGTTAAAAAAAACACCAAACCAATCTCAAAACCACTTCGGCGACATATACAAGACCCACACATCACTGTTAGAAGGTAGAAAGCTCTGAAAAGTTGATTTTGCATGAGACGGGCCCTTTAAATACAAATTATGTTGCTGTGAAGTTGCTTATAAAAACAGGTTTCCATCTACTCCATAATGACACTGATTAAAGACACGATATGTAACTTTTTAAGGGAGTTTGCTACCTGATCGTCTCCATGGAGATGTTATTTGTTTGCTTGGAATGTTCCACAGGAGGACTATCTATTTAACTTCACAGAGAAAAGCAGGTGGAACTGGCCCGAGTTACAGGTCAGAGCTGTGGAGAGGCGACTTCATTTGCTGTGATTGAATTACTGCTACTGACTTTTAATGCAAAAATATGGAACTTTACAGACAAAGTAAAAACATCTCCACGGCAACAAGCATGGACTCTCCACTAGGAAAGTTACAGGGCACTTTTAAAACAGATTTTTATTAATCTAGTAAACAATAACTGATCCATAAACAAAATTACAACAACAACGACACCAACTACTACTACTACAACTACAACAACTACTACTACAACTACTAGAACTACTACAACAACAACAACTACTACTACAACTACAACAACTACTACTACAACTACTAGAACTACTGCTACAACTACTACAACAACTACAACTACAACAACAACAACTACTACTACAACTACAACAACTACTACTACACAACTACTACAACTACTACTACAACTACTACAACTACTACTACAACTACTACAACTACTACAACAACTAAAACTACAAACTACTACAACTACTAGAACTACTACTACAACTACAACTACAACAACTACTACTACTACAACTACAACAACTACTACTACAACTACTAGAACAACTACTACTACAACTACTACACTACAACTACTACTACTACAACTACAAACTACTACTACACTACTACAACTACTACAACTACTACAACAACTACAACTACTACACTACTACACAACTACTACTACTACAAGACTACAACAACTACTACTACACTACTACTACAACTACTACTACTACAACAACAACTACTACTACAACTACAACAACTACTACTAAACTACTAGAACTACTACTACAACTACTACTACAACTACTAGAACTACTACTACTACTACAACTACTACTACTACTACTACTACTACAACTACAACAACTACTACTACAACTACAACAACTACTACTACAACTACTAGAACTACTACTACTACAACTACTAGAACTACTAACTACTACTACAACTACAACAACTACTACTACTACAACTACTACAACTACACTACAACTACAACTACTACTACAACTACTACAACTACTACAACTACAACTACAACAACTACTACTACAACTACTAGAACTACTACTACACAACTACAACTACTACTACAACTACTACAACTACTACAACTACTACAACTACTACTACAACTACTACTACTACAAACTACTACTACTACTACTACAACTACTACAACTACTACTACAACTACAACAACTACAACAACTACAACAACTACTACTACAACTACTAGAACTACTACTACTACTACAACTACACTACAACTACTACTACAACTACTACAACTACAACAACTACAACTACTACTACAACTACAACAACTACAACTACTACTACTACTACTACAACTACTACTACTACTACTACAACTACAACTACTACTACAACTACTACAACTACAACAACAACTACTACTACAACTACAACAACTACTACTACAACTACTAGAACTACTACTACAACTACTAGAACTACTACTACTACTACAACTACAACAACTACAACTACTACTACAACTACTACAACTACTACTACAACTACAACAACTACTACTAGAACTACTACAACTACTAATACTACAACTATT